GGCTCAGGAGAAGCTGTTCCCTCTCCCCCCAGAGAATTTAAATCCGGGGCCTTGCCCCTTAGGGGAGTGACCACTGGAAACAACATTTCTGACTCACCTACAGGGCAGGACAAGCTGCTGATCACCGGACATCTGTTCTCCTCCTTGGCCTGCAACAGCGTCCCACCCTCCTCAGCTGCAGGTGCTGCGGCTCCCCCTCAGCTCAGAGAGCCGTGTGTCCCTCAGCTGCCCGCTCTGCCTCTGAACTGGCTCCTGTGCCTGGGGTTCCCACACGCACGCAATTGAGTTTAGTCATTTTCTCAGGCTGGTGCGGCTCAGCGGATTGCACGCAGGACTGCAAACCAAAGGGTCCCCGGTTCGATTCCCAGTCAGGGCACATGCCTGTGTTGCAGGCCAGGCCCCCAGTAGGGGGCGCACAAGAGGCAACCACACATTGATGTTTCCCTCTTTCTCCTTCCCTTCCCCTCTCTCTAAAAACGAATAAAATCTGTTTAAAAAATTAGTCATTTTCTCTTGCTAATCTGTCTCATTTAATTATTGGGTGAGCCAATAAAGTTTCTTCATCCATATAGATATGAATATAAAAATATGTGAATATGATTGTGTATGAATATATAGACATATGTGAAATATATGAGTATAGTCATATATGTGAACATATATATACACACACACACTCACATATGTTCCATTCAAGAAGTCCTTCTCCAAGTTTCCTAAAATTGAAGGATGAATTTCAAAATTTCAGGAGCCAGAGTAGCTAGATTTCACCTGGATGTGGAAATGCCACCTCAAGTCCCCAAAGTGTTTGCATTTTTTAGCCCTTGAAATTCAGCCCCGAAAGGGATATGTTTAGACTAATTTATGCCTTGAAATTCAGCCCTGAAAGTTGCACTATAGATTTCCGAACAAGTTAAATTTAATTCTTTTTTAATGTGGGCACGTAACTGGTACTTACAAAGCATCGTTTCCATAGAAACACGAGGAAACACTCTCCGAGGGGGTCTGGGCAGCAGGGGGGGCGGGCAGGGGAGCGGGCAGGGGAGCGGGCAGGGACACCTGGGCTGCGGGCATTTCAAGATAAGAAAGCTGGATAGCTTTATGTGAAATTCCATCAACTGTTCCTCCCTGACTCACTAATCTCAAATTTTGATTATGGACTTAAAAATATCAACAATTCAGATGTCTACTTAAAAGAATAAACAAGAACAGCTCTGAAGTGTACTAAGGAATGCACATGTGAAACTTCTCCAGTTTGCTGAGGAGCCCACCAGGCCCCAGGGCGGAGTCGGGTTGGAGAAACTCCCCTGGCCGGTGCCCCGGGCAGAGGCGGGGGTGGGGAGAGGGCGGCAGCGGAGGAGCTGGGAACTGCCCCGCCCTCCCGTGTTTGCTGGCAGAGACGCCATGAGAACAGCTGTTTCCCTGGGGCTCCCGTTCCCGCTGGCATTCACAGCCCGCTGTGCGCGGAAATCAAAGCCGGGGGAGAAAACCCCGGCACAAAGGCCTACAGTTTCCTGTCCTCTGGGCTGAGATTTGGGTCACCCTGCCCGTTTCTCTCTTCTCTCTCTCTCTCTCTCTCTCTCACACACACACACACTCACCAGTAACTCCTCAAGGCACCCTCCAGGAAACACAAAAGGCAGGGGATGTTTTAACACAAACAAAGATTGTCTTGTAGTGTATTTTCCTCCTTTAAAAGAAAAGGCCTCTAATGCTCCAGGAAAACTGGTTTAAATCTCCTCTGACCAATCCCTCCCGTTTGTGCGGCATTTACTGGAGGAGGAGCCCACCTCACTGGGAAGGGCCCCCCCCACCCCCTGCACTGTGTGGGTGGGTGGAGAGTCCAGCACAGGGAACTGTAAACACTTTGCCAGGAGTGGGTGGGGTGGGGGAGGGGCGCGGCCTTGGGGATGGCCGCCGTCCTGGGTCCCGTTCCTGCCACAAACCCCGCAGTGTGGGGCGAGGGCTGCCTCACCTGGTCTTGCAGGGCGCCGGACAGGCACAGCACTGCGGCTCTGGGGACCCGCGCCAGAGGGACCGGAAGTGAGCCCTTCACGGCTGTCCCCGGGTGGTGGCAGAGGAGGGTGGCGAGAGACGAAACGACTGGGCGATCAGGGGGGTCGCTTTCGTTTCTGGGAACGGGAAGAGACAACACTGCTGGAAAGGGGACAGCACGTCCCGGTCCCATCGGCCACGGCACTGAGGACACACGGTGGTGCCACGCGCCCCGGCCACGGAGGTGGAACTCTTCCCTTCGGGTGGCACAAACCGAGGGCCCCGGTGGGCTGAAGTGAGCCAGCTTCCCTCTTGACAACACCGACCCCCCCACCCCCACCAGCCCTTCAGGGTGCCTGCTGACGACTCTCATCTTCTTTTTCAGGAGCTTACTTCTACAACAACCCTCGCGGTGTAAACCCCCACGGAGAGGCCGCCTGCCCTGGCTGGGTCGTGACAATCACTCCCCGATCACTCGAGCAGGACGGGGCCTGGGAGGTGACCGTGAGCCGCCTGGGCCCACTAGGCCCCCTGGGAGCTGGGACGGGAGCTCGCCTCGGGCTCAGCTGGAGGCCCCTGAAACCCAGATGACCCCTGCTGCACGAAGGTCGCGTCCTGTGACTCATTTACGGGACTTGCCAGGACACGGCTCCGAGAACGCAGATCCTGGTTTCACAAGCAGGGACAGAAGTGGGAGGAAGAGGCAGCTGGCCTTCCCTCCCACCCCCAAACCTGGGGGTCAAACAGAGGGGAGCGCCGGCCCAGGCACGCGTCCTGACCCTGCGAGTGAACCCCGCGGAGGCCGGTTCCAGAAAGCGAGGCCTTTCCCAGAAGCGGCCTCTCGGGTTCCAAGTGGAGCCTGGTGGCCTCCCGGCAGGCGGCGCTGCAGCAGGCGGGTTGCGCATGGACGAGCGTCCACGAGAGCCTCTATTTGACGGAGGGAAGGAGCGCGGCCAGGAGGGTTCCCAGAGCTGGCAGGGGCCCCACTTGCTATTGATCGATCGCCTGGGAGAGAGAGCAGAGCATGCGGGAGGGCGGCGGCGGGCGCCGCAGCCCTGACAGGGCCCACATGTGTCCCCGGGAGGCGGCACGGCGGGGGGGGCGGGACTGCACCCACAAGACTGCACTCGGATCCGATCATCTGGCAGAGCGGACAGGCCAGGAAACTCTGACACATCTCCTTTCCTCTATTTTTTTTTTTTTTTAAAGAAGAATGTTTACTTTTCCATCGAGGAGGCCTGTGAGCCTTTGAAGGCCTTGTGGTGCCCGGGGGGGAGGGAGGGGGGCCTGCTTCCCATCCGGCGGGGACCCGGGCGGCTCACAGCCCCTGGGTGCTGCTGACACTGGGGGTGAGGCCTTCCGAGGTTTCACGGGGACGGGGTGGACCACTGTCCCGACTGCCCGTGTCCGTAACACATCTCCACGGAGACTCCAGGGTCCCAGGAGCAGGGTCGGCGCTCACCGGCTCCAGCCCAGGGCTCCCCAGGGCTCGTCTGGGAGACCTCAGATGCCGGGCCACCCCGGCATGGGAGACACCACTGACAAACAGGGCCCCTCCGCCCTGGCAGGCGCAAGGCAATGGGTTGAGCACCAGACTGTGAACTGAAAGGTCGCCGGTTCAATTCCCAGCCAGGGCACATGCCTGGGTTGCAGGCCAGGTCCGCGGTTGTGGGCCTGGCGAGAGGCAACCTGTGTATCTCTCACACAATGATGTTTCTCTCCCGCCCTTCCCCTCTCTGAAAGTAAACAAACAAAGTCTTCCAAAAACAAGAAAGAAAGAAAAGGAGGGCCCTGTAAACCCAAGCCGGCTCACACAGTCACTCAACGCCCACCCTGAAAAGCAAGCGGGGTGCCATGGGAGTCCCCACTTCCCCTTCTCAGACCTTCTCCCGCACCCCAGCAGCCCTCGCCCACCGGGTCTAGCCCTGGGGCCGCCACTCTGCCGCCCCGAAACCTGCAAACCCGCCTGATTCAGGCCCCGCCTCCAGGAAGGGGCCTGATTGTTCCCGGGGAGGCTCAGCAGCACACCGGGACGCGACCCTGAACTCGACTCTGCTCCCCTCTGACTGGCGGCGTGGGCGGGCGGGAACCCCAGGCCGGAAACCCCTCTCCGGAGGGTCTGGGCGGGTTTGCCCCACGGGGGTCCGGGAGCCGAGCTGCAGCCGAATCTCACATCCCGCTCCGGGTCGGGGTCCTCGGCCTGCCGCCTGCTTCTCCCCCCATCTAGAAGCTTCCAGGGCCCTGCCTGAGGTCAGGCCCTCCGGCTCCGAGAAACCGCCCTGGACAACGGCATCGCTCCTGGTGTCTCCGTTTCCGGGGCCCACGCTAGTCTAGTCGGACACTGGGTCCCCTTCATCCGCGCCCTGACCTCTCGCTCTTTCCTTCCCGTTCTCCGTCCCTTCGGCGTTTCCTCCCCTCCACCTCGCAGAAGAGCCCTCCTCGTTCTCCGGGGGGCGGAGTCGGGCTCCTGGAAGTCGCTGCAGGGAGCCCACACAGACCGGGACTGGTCCGCAGGGTGAGCTCAGCGAGACCTTCCTGTCGGCCCTCTCCCCTTCTAAGCAGAACGATCATTTCCCCGTTTGGCTTCTTCTGACTTTTCTTTCTTCACGCAAAGAGCTCAGGCCCCGGCCAGGTGGCTCAGTGGGTTGGAGCGTCGTCTTGTACACCGAAAGGTTGAGGGTTCGATTCCCGGTCTGGGCATGTACAGGAGGTAACTGATCTCTCTCTCTCTCTCCCTCCCTCTCTCCCCACACCTCCTCTCTCTCTCTAAAATCAATAAATACATCCTCGGTGAGGATAAAGAAAAAGGAAAGAGCACGGAACTGTGGCAGATTTTGGAGACACCACTGCTTTTCACCACCAAATAAATGTCCAGACAGATTTCCAGCTTCGCCTAGCTCCTGCCAGAGCCACTGAAGGGGTCACACCAGAATCCCAGCATTCCTTTCGGGATGTACAACACGACGCACGCGGACACCACGGTGGGAGCCACGGGCTGGACTTACCTGTTGAAGTAACAGGCGACCACCGCCCCTGCCACGGTCACCTGCTGGCCCGTGAGGACAAACTCGCTGGTCCGGACCAGGCCCACCAGGGGGTACCCCCACAGGCGCCGAAAGCCCTCGAGCGGCGTGTACTCCACGTGGCCGTCCCCGGTGACCCGGGCCGCTCCTGAGGAGCAGAACACAAACATGCTTCACGCCGTGTCGTGCCAGAGACAGGAGGTGGTCCGACGGCCGCCCCTCCTCGCACTGGGCCTGTGGCGTTCCGTGGCACGCGGACGCCCACGCCGAGGGAAGTGCCACCGTCGTGTACGACCTCCGTGGCAAACACGAGAAGCCCTCAAGGCACCGGGCACGCAAGGACTCCAAACGCAGTGATGACAGGGACGGGCTGGTAGGCGAGGCGACGTGAATGTCAGCGCTCACCCCACCGCGTGGGCGTGAGGACCAGGGCTCGGAGAGTCGCAGAGCTTCCGTGACGCCTCCCTGCTCCCGGCGCGCGGCAGGAGCCCGGAGAGCGGGGCCCGCTGGACTCTGAAACCCACGGCCTCCCACCACGGCCGCCGCACTCTGTGACACAGAGCCCCATGTCACAGGAAATGCAGCCCCTTCTAGAGCAGACAGGGGGACCTGCCGTCCGTCTGGGGGGTCCGTCTCAGGCTTCACTGCGAGAACAGCGTCTCCCGGTGTGCTTCCCATGTCTGCGGGGCCGCACGGCCACCCTCCCTCCCACGCCCAAACCCCAGCCCTTCCCCGCCCGGGGAGCCTGGTCAAGCTGCTCGGCCTCCTTACCCTGGACACCCCCTCCTTGAGGCCGTTTGAGGGAGACTCCCCGGTAAGGGACCACGACAGGAACTGGGCCCCAGGAACGCCACTCCAGACTGGTAATGAGCACCACCGTCGTATTTCAGGAGCACGAGGCCGGCTCAGACCGAGGCCCTCGAGGCGGCCCCACAACCCGGCCACTCGTGCGGGTGCCTCTGTTTTGCGGGCCCCCACCTAGAAACCCCCGACTCGGCCCCACAGGCCGACTCCACGTCGCCTGCGTGCGTTGGATCCAGAGCCCAGCTCTGCACCCCGTGCGACTTCTGGAGGTTCTCCGCTCCGCGTTTTCGGTGAGCCCGGGAGGAAGGTGGGCCCTCGGGTCCTCCGGGCCTGCAGCCTGCGCGGCATTCAAAGATAGCGCCGTTTCCGGTCATGGCTGGAGACGGCCTTCAGGCCCACGGCCCCGGCGTCTCTGACATATACGGCAGCGTCTGGGCGAAGGAAGCGAGACAGACTCCGGCAGCGCCGCTCCCCGCTCCCCACTCTGGGTGCCGCCCAGCAAGAGTCGCATTGTGCGGAGGAGCGGGCGGGCGGCCTGGCCTGCAGGGGGCGCTGACATTCACCGCACACGGGGCCCTTGCTGCCGAGGGGCACGTCCCTGTCCCTGTCCCTGTCTCAGGGCAGCCCTGACTGACAAGGGCGGCTGCTGTCCCAGAGTGGGCAGGTCTCAGAAGGTTCCAGAGCAGGTGGGTCTCGGAAGAGCGTCCCCAGGACGAGGCTGACGGGCAGGGCAGGGCAGGGCAGGGCAGGGCAGGGCTGGGGGGTCGGATGGGCGAACCTCCGCCAAGCAGCACGCTGGTGCCGGGAGGGGCCGCGGTGGCACGGGCACGCAACACCACACTGGGTTTGGGGCGGAGGCTGTTTCCTTGGAACGGGAGGGGGAAGGGGGGTGCCCTGCGCTGCCCACGGCACAGGCACACCCATCCCAGCTCAGCATGCGCGTGGCACGTGGCGCCAGGCGGCGAAGGTGCGACATCGAGGCCCCCGCAGGCCCCCAGACCCTGGGCCCCCCCCCCGTGACTGGGGGCGGGCCCCCCATCTCTGAGCACCCGCGGCAGCTGCCCCTCTGTGTTCCTCCGCTTTGGTCTCGGGGCAGGGTGTGGGCTCTGCCTCTCCCAGGCTGTCCCCAGTTCTCTGCACCAGCTGCCGCTCCTGCAAGGTCCTTCTTTGTGGGGGTGGGGGCGGGGCAGGGCCGGGCCCGTGCGTCGTGGGGTGTTCCACAGCGTCCCTGGCCTCTACCCACTCGATGCCAGGAGCACCCCCTTCCACTCCCCACGTCATGCCAACCCCAAATGTCTCCAGACGTGGCCAGTGCCACCTGGGGGTGAGGGCGCTGCCGGAGAACCCCCTGTGAGCAAACCTCTGCAGCCTCACCTGGGAAGTAACCGGGTGGGGGGCCAGCTCACGGGCAAGGCTGCCCTCTCCTGGAGGGCTGCGTCCCTGCACTCAAGGGCCCCATCCAGGGCCAGTTGCTTTGTCACTAAGGTTTGTTACACTATAGCTACTGAGAAGCGTAGCCCACTTCCTGGGACCTGGCCTGCAGACAGAGGCCTGGACCACAGGTCTTGGGGTGGTAGGGGAAAGGACACTGAACTAAGAAGGGACTCGGCTCCAGGCTCTGCTCGGACACGTGGCAGAAGCCACCTGGGCCTCAGTTCTCTCACCACAAACATAGAAAGGACAGACAGGAAGAAGCCCGGGGCAGGGTCACAGGCGTGGGCCGAGTCACATGTCTGCACTGACCCCCAGGGCTGACGGATCTCAGCCTGAGTGTGGGGGCTGGTGGGGCCTTTTCACACCCCAGTTCATCCTCCCCGAGTCACCTGCTTCCCACGGCCCTGGGGCTGCACTCCCAGCTCTACCTGCCACTCACGCCGCTGCCGAGAGGGTCAAACGCAGAAGGGGCCTGGAACAGTAAGCCCAGCACGGGGCTGCCCACAGTGGACGTACAGGTGGGCAGGATTCCAGTGCTGAAACGCACAGCGGCTCATTAAGCATCTGCTGCACGCTGGCGTCGTGCTGAACAGCGGCTATCACAGCAACGAGAAAGCAGCCAACAAGAAATCAGAAGATACCATCCCAGTGACCTCCAAGGCTTTCCCCATCCGCACCCCGCTCCCCACCCCCCCAAGGGCCTTCCCTGCTGTTTCTGAGAAAATGAAACCACGAAACCATGAGGAGCCCCTGCTGGAGGCCACGCCCCCACCCGCCCGCCCACCCGCCGTCAGCGTGGGCCCCAATCTGATCCCCTCAGGGTGATAAACTGTCCCTGACCCCAGGCCCCGCCACATCCTCTCTCCCCATGGCTCGGAGGCACCGAAGCTCCCCGGTCTCTCGCTCCACGCGGACACTCCTCTCTACACGATCCTTCTCATTTATCTCACGTCCTTTCCAAGAATCTGCCCGGCACGCCCTCTCCTCCTCCGGCTTCCTGCCTCTTCCCTGCTCCTTCCACGGCCACAACCTGCACTCTCTCTGCGTCTCCCACCTCCCCTGCAGCGCACCGCCCACGCGTCTCCGGAGCTGTCGGGCGTCATCTCCGCGTTGCGAAACCCAGAGGTCCATCCCTGCCGCTGACCCGACTCATCGCAGCTCCTGGCCCCGGGGCCGTCTCTCTGCTGCCGCGGGTTCTGGGGCGGCCCACGCTGGCCCCCCCCGCCCCCGCCCTGGGCCCCTCTCCTTGGCCTCCGTTCCTCCTCCTCCTGTCTCCACGACCTTTCGACCCTGCAGGGCCCGAGCACAGCCGTGGTCTCCTCTCTCCTCTTCTCCACGCTTGTTGTAGCATCGTGGCTTGTAATACCGCCTGCGCGCCCCAGTTCCCGAATGTGCATCTCCGGGGAACCCAGATCCAACAGCTTCCTGCCTCTGGGACCCCCCACCCCGTCTGGCTGCTGGAAGACACCTCCATGAACCCGACCCGAAATGACCCCATCTCCCCTCAAACGCGCCCCTCAAAGCCTCGCCCCACCTCAGTCCACGGCAACCCCCTCCTCTGGTTCCTCAAAGCCCTCAGGGGTGCCCCCAGGTCCTGTCACTCACCCCCCTCAACGGATGTATCAGGGCCCCCTTCAAAACAGGTGCAGGCCCAGACATGACCCCCCATCCACCTCCGTGACCCTGTTCTGAGCCCACTGCCCCCCACGCCACCCCAGAATCACTGCCCTTCAGGCAGGAGTCCCAGCACGCCACCAGTTTGCTGAGAGTCTGCCATGGCTTCCCACCTCGGATTAGAGGCCAAGTTTCCAGGAGGGCCTGTGAGGGCCTGTGGGGGCCTGTGGGGGCCTATGGGGCCCCGGGCCTGGCCCCTTCTGATTCCCCCCTCCCCCCACACCCTCCGCTCGGCTGACGGGCCCCTGGCTGTGCGCCAGCACCCAGAGTGAGTGTACCGCCTCCCCCGGCCCCCCTCCGGGGGCCGCAGTCAGACCCGCTGGTCAGAGCCCCCGTGTCCACTCTGTGTCCACCGTGGCCATGAGGCGGACACAGGGGCAGAGGCTGCGGCACGAGGCCGAAGGGGCCGGAGCCTCGGCCACGGAGGGCGGTGCCGGCCTGGGCTCTCCTCTGGTGACTTGGTTTACTCGAGAGTGTGTCACCCGGGGTTTGGTTTAAGCCACTTTGTGAGTCCTCCGTGTCCCAGCCGAACGCCGTCCCGGTGAGTCCTGGGCCTGTCCGACCAGGGTTCAAGGGCTTGTGCTCCATAATCAAGTTCCATCGGGCAGGCCTCCACGGAGCTCCCAGCCACCCTGCCGACAGAGCCCGCCCCCCCCCCCCCCCCCCCCCCCCCGCGACACCCTGGCAGCTGGGGACGCAGGTTCCCTGGGCCGTGTGGTGCAGGGAGACTGCTGACCGCCTTGAAGGGGCCGGCGTGCCCCCGAGGGGGGTGGGGGGAGGCCTGGGCATCACAGCTCGGGTCCTTGCAGTTGTGACCAGAGCTCAGAGGGCACGAGACAAGCTGATCAGCCGCTGGGACGACATCAGCTGGAGGTTCCCAACCGCCGGGCCGCAGTCCCAGGGAGCAGCGCCCTCTGGTGTCTACACCCCAGAGCGCCGCCGGGCCCTCCAATAAAGCCTCATTGATTTCCTTAAGATTTGGAGAGATTTCTCTTTCTAGAAGCATCCTGGCTTAGAGGTGCGGAAGGAATGGCGGCCGTCAGGGTGTCACAGTTTTCCAAACATCTCAGAAAAAGGGACAGACACCAGCCTGCTCCCAGTGAAGAAGGCTGCCACCTACGAAGCCGTCATCCAAACAAGCCCACCCGAATGCGACCCCCAAGCTGTAAGACACGCAGGGAACAGAGGAGCACGTCAAGAGACACCGAGGGACGCCTCCAGTAGCGCCGAGAACGGGAAAGTCCCCCGACAATAGAAATAACCGACACAAGGGCCCCCGGGGTCAAATCGGGGCTGACAGGCCGCCTGGGGCAGGTGAGCGCGCCCCGCCCGCCCGAGCCCGTCCCTCCTACGTCACAGGTGCGGGACGGGAATGCGCCCCAGGCTCCCTGCCGAGCATGCGCGGAAAGTGAGGCGCAGGCGCAGTAGGCATGGCCGTACCCTGGGCGCCCGCGCGGGGTCGCGCGGCGCCGCTGATCCGCCAGCGTCCGGCATGACGGGCTGGGCTCTCGCTTCTGCCCCCGCCTCGCTGCAGCGCCATGGAATGCCTGCGGAGCCTGCCCCGGCTCCTGCCGCGCGCGCTGGGGCCGCCCCGGCGCGGACTGTGTCCCCTGGCCTGGGGCCTGACCTCCGGGCGCGCCGCCGGACTGCTCGGCGGGCGCCGGGCCACGCCGCCCGGCGCACCCTGCGGGCCCCGCCTGGCAGGTACGCCCGCCCGCGGTGACCTCGGGCCCCTGCTCCACCGCCCCCCGGCCGCCGCGAGTCCTCGGCCTCCGGCCCGCCCCTAGCCCGACTCCGGCCCGTTCTTGCGGTCCCCTGTGCAGAGCTCTCCGCCCGAGTGCTCTGGGCAGCTCTGGCTTTAAAATCCAGTTTCACCCTTAGTCATGAAGATCGGGCTCATTCACCCGAAATAGTTGCCTTAGTTTCTCCTGCCTGCCTCCTACCTACCTCTTCCTCGCGGGCGCGGTGACGTTTGTCCAGGTAACGGGTGGGAACGCACTTGAAAGGGAGACTTCGTGGTAAGAGCTGCTCGTAAAGATGTAACGTGCGTGACCCGTGCAGCCGACAGCCAGCGGTCGGGAGGCCGGGAGGAGGACGCGGACTTAGGGTTGTTTCACCATTAACGTTTCCGCCCATGGGAGAAAGTGGTGCCGACACCGCCGAGAAACCAGCGGCATTTAAGTGTTGGCTTCTCACCACTGCACTGTCGTCGGATGAGTGGTCTCAGCTGCGCCCCCAACGCAGCCCAGCGCCTCCCCCCTTCCCAGCCCAGTGGAGAGCCTGAGTCGGGTCCATCCCAGGTTCAGCCCAACTTATGTTTTAGGACTTTGAGAGCCAGAACCTCATCCTGGTAGCGCTTCACGTGACTCATCAGCAATCGCTGATTTATGCTCTGCCGCTCAACTCGGCTCAGCTGATCCTTAGCGCGCAGTTTGTATTTTGCAAAAAGGGTAACGAGCCTCAGCTGCTAACCAACTCCACGAGTCGTTGAAAGTAGGTAATGAGAAGGAGTAAGATCAGAGCTGAGGATGTGTCTGCACATTCTGTGGGTTCAGTAGGATTACTGTGGAAGCATGAAGTAATTGGTAGTGTTTTTACACTGCTGCCCACTCTCCTCATGTTTATTATTTTAAACAGTGTTTTTTGTTAGATACTAAATTGACAGTACTTCAGAGCTCACCTCAACGCAATCTAATCACGTGTTTTAAATTTCTTTTCAAATAAAGATTTGTCTTCACCCCAGTTCAGGTGGCTATTTTATAAGCAGTAAAAATAAGTGTTTCTGTGGAAAATAAGTTAATACAAAGAAGTAAAGCTTGTAGGTTGCATGACTTACAGGTCAAGCAAATAATCCTGATATCGGAATGCTGAAAACTCAGCAGTACTTGGGGTCTGTTTTCTAAAATATATCTACCAAATGATTTGCATGAAGAGCCTTATTAAATCATGCAAAAAAGGTCTTTTCTTTTGGTCTCAGAACACTGTTGTGCAGTTGTGCATCCACGTCAGATAAGTTTGAAGGAGGAGGGTGGCTGGAATGCACGATTACTCTGCCGCCTCACCTAAGACATTTTAAAGATCGTTCCCTGTTAAACCTAACAGAATCACCTACACATATTAAAGTGCACAAATGTTTCTTTTTCCCTCTAGGAAAAAGATTCAAAAAATAACAAAGTAGTGTGAAGACCACTTAAAATGAGTGTTGTATCTAAGCTACATGTGAAAACCAGCCGTGTGATCACAGGAATTCTCTGATTCATCCTTCAGGTGAACTGTGCCGGTTAGGATCGTCCGATGTCTCCCAGGCCACGTTAGCCAGTGTAGCCCCGGTGTTCACCGTGGTGAGTACGTTTGGTTCGCGTGATAACTCAGAGCAGGTACTTCTCACGCTTACTGCGTCAGCCGGGTTGGACTGGTTGGCCAAGATTGGCTTATTTTTTTATTTATAGTCATTATAGTTGTGAGTCCTGGTGCCTCTGTGTTTGCTCAGTCAGTGACACCTCACCAGTGACTCGGAGCCCTTCTTCAGTGCCAGAGCAGGGCGTGGGAATCACAGGGCGGCACTTCCCACCCGAGTGCAGCCATATCTCGGAGATGTTGCAGGTTCAGTTCCGGACCACCGCAGTAACGCTAGTGTTCCAATAAAGCAAATCATCTTTTTGCTGGTGGAGGGTCTTGCCTTCAATCTGTAAAAAGCACACGTGTGAGGTGTAATCAAGCCAAGCACAGTGACACGAGACCTGTCTGTCCTCAGCACTTCCTGTGAATCCATCAAGTCCTTGAAGCCTGCTAGCTGTGGAGGGCTCGCCCGGTGCCGCGCCACATTGACGTGCGCAGAAGCACTGTGCAGGCCCACAGCGTAGTCTTTAGGAGTGCGTGCTTCGAAGGGCATGGCCCCCGCCACTCTGAAACGGAACAAGAATGAATAAAAGAATGCAACCTCTCTGAAATGGTTCAGGAAAAAATGACTGAAATAACAAGAGTCGTGTATCACACGTATATTTAGAGAGATAAATAAGGCCATGGGGGCAAAGTGTTAAAGAGCAAGTAGGTGAGAGTTACGTGGGAATTGGTTGTAATATTCTTGCATCTTTTTTTATAGGAAGTGTAATTTTAAAAATGTTTGCTTTGAGCCAGAGTTCCTACATTCAAATCTCAGCCCTGTCTTTTACTACTAACAGGTGGACTTGGACAGGTTATGGTAACATCATTGTGCCTCAGTTTGCTCATCTGTAGACTAGGCACAATGGTACCTACTTTATAGAATTGTTGTAAGGTTTATATCAACTCACATGTGTAAACCCTTCACACATGATAACCATTCACTAGATATTAGGCATTATTATTATTAGCCTACTGTTATTTAGGCTTATTAACATAAGACTTTTTCTTTATAAACTGTATATATGTACAACAAAATAGCCCCAGAATGACATGTTGCAGTTTTTGCTGTTACTCAGTGTTCCAGAAGGTTGGCCAGTTCAGCTGCACAAGAATGCAAAAATCAGATGCTGAATATTGAAAGCAGGTTCTTTGCAGGGGAAATCATTGCCACCAAGAGCAGTTAAGAAAATCAGTTGATGCTACTTGAAATAACGAGACTTTAGAAAGGGAGCCAATAAGCTCACATTTAATGTGAGTTGCATTACACAGTAAACATCCATGGTTTTATGGTCTTATGTTTCAAATCAGAAAAATCCCATTAAGCTCTGGCTGGTGTAGCTCAGAGGACTGAGCAGGGGCCTGCGAACCAAAGGGTCACTGGTTTGATTCCCAGTCAGGGCACATGCCTGGGTTGTGAATCAGGTCCCCAGTAGGGGGCGCATGAGAGGCAACCACACATTGATGTTTCCCTCTCCTTCCCTTCCCTTCTCTAAAAATAAATAAAATCTTTAAAGAAAAAGAAAAATCCCATTAAAATGACAGCTAAATATTGAGATGCTGAAATATTTAGTATATTAAATTGAAAGGAGGAGAGACTGCAAGGGAGAGTGTCTAACATGAGTATATTTAATAGGAAAAGACTGAAAGGTCAGTGATAGAATATTAGCATTAGCATAGTGTTCTCTAAAGTTTGTCATTTCAGGTGATTAGTTTTATTTTACCTTTATTTTAAAATTTTCTGCAGCAGATGTATGTATTTGTGAAGCACATTTAAGGAGGAAAGCTAGTCTGTGTTACGGAAAACACCCAGCTTCCCCGGGGGGCGCATTTCCCTTTAACAGTGATGCGTCGTGGCGCTGGCTGCGTGTGCGTGTCCATCTCGTCTCTGCCAGGAGCACCACGCCGGGATGCGTACTGCGGGGTTTTGTTGTGTGGGTGACACGGCATGCACGTCTCCAGGGCAATTCCCCCGACTTGGGTTGCACCCACCACGTCTGAGAGTGTCTTTCTGAGAATGCGTGTCGGATAGTAATTAGTGCGGCCCAGCACGCCGTGACTCGTGGCCTGTTATTATTGGACATCTCCAAACTCGACTGTGGACAAGTATTACAGAAAAATGCCTCCTCTCACGAGATAAGTGCGTTTTCTGCTGCATGCCCTCTCTCCAAGCTGTCAGAAGAGGCCTTTCCTGTAAATCCTAGTCGATTGGACAGTACCCACCAGATAACCTCACAGCCTCCCTGGACACTTGAGTCCTGGGAGGACACAGTGGTTCCGGTGGTCAGCGGGAGAAAAGACAGGAGGCACACGGAGCAGCGCCGGCATCTCCTGGTCGGCAGGTGGCCTTGAGTGTCCGGGGGATGCTTGGCCCTGTGCGACAGCCCCAGGGCGAGGGCGCAGTGAGGTCCGCCGGGGCTCAGAGCCCCACGCGCTCCAGTGGCCCCAGTGCAGGCGTCTCTGAGGGTCCCGCAGACGCAGGTCCCGCGCTCCCCCAGGACCCTGGCTTCCCACCGAGGGTCCCGCGCCATCTACCCTCCGTGGCATTTTTACAAGCAGTGTTGCCTAGTAACACAACTTGGTCACATTTCCAAGACCCACGTAGAAAGTTAATTCAGGTCAGATCTGCCCAGCAGAGGAAAGGGGAGTCTTCCCGCCTGGACTCTACCCGCCGTGCACTGAGCGAGGGGCAGTCAGGATGTCCATCTGCGTCTCCGTCTTCCTGAGACACGGTGCCGCTGTGCAGTGTAACACCAAGAACAGCTACGAATTTGGGAGGAACTAATATTTTGTTTTTGTTTTCTCTCTCCAGACGAAATTTGACAAAGAAGGAAAGGTTACTTCTTTTGGTGAGTACCTTTGAGCTGCTTCTAAGCCCCTCTGAAAATCAGTGATGCGGGAATCCAGAGAAATGCAGACCTCGCGGTGCTTTCAGTAGAGGGCCCTTCGGGGCGGGTGCGCGCCTGAAGGGCCTTTCCTCTGCGTCCGCCCCTCGGCCGGCGCCTGGCCGGCACTCGAGGGACGCAGGCCTGCTCCCTGGGTCCCTTCTTTGGTCTCCCGCCCCCCGCGGGCCACTGGCGAGGCCGCCGCACGCGGAGCAGGAGGGAGCCGGACGGACGCCGCCCGAGGCAGCTCCGTGCAGCGCACCCGCCCGTGCCGGGGTTTCTCGCGCGTAGCTCCGTCCGAAGACGGCGCCGTGCACTGCGCAGCCGCAGGCGGTTTGGCGCAGGCGCAGACCGCGCGCTCACCGTGGGGCGCCGTCCCTGAGCGGACTCGCGGGGTCAGGCAGAGCGAGCGGGGAGTGACTTGTTCTTCTTCTGTGCTCGAGCAAGAAGAAGGAGACTCGGACTAAGCTCTTCACAGACCTAAACTGCTGGGGATGATGACGTGGCGGCCAAAAAGATAGAAACTAGGGTGCTGGGCAATCCCCGTTAGAAAAGGGGGACGGTCCGTGGGGCCGGAGGTGGCCCCGGCGCCGGCCGTGCGCTGAGGACTGCCCTCCCCTTGCAGAGAGGAAGAAGACCGACCTGTACCAGGAGCTGGGCCTGCAGGCGCGCGACCTGCGCTTCCAGCACCTGATGAGCATCACCACCCGGAACAACCGCATCATCCTGCGGATGGAGGTGAGTGCGCCCTCCGCGCCGTAACGCGGCGGGGCGACCTGGCTGCGGGCGTGACCCGCGGCCCACGGAGGCCTCACGTGGGTGCCGCCCAGGGGCCTGCGGCTCTGCGCCGCGCGCGGGGTGCGTGTCACCCCCGGTTTCTGACGGTCGGGAAAAGAGCCTGATGGACAGCGACTGACGTTGGTTTCGGAGGGCAGTCACGTGTGGTCACAGCTGCCCAGAGCCGTTCTGGCTTCCCGAGGCCCAGGACCGCCGCTCGGCCGGGGGTTTTGCCTCCGGAACGCGCCGCACCTCCCCGTCTGCTGCGAGCACAGCGGGCCCGGCCCGACTGCCCCGGTGGTTCCGAGTGACCGCGGGCGGGAGCCGTTCGGTGGCCGAGGGCGACGGCTCCGACCAGCGGAGGGGACACGGGTCCCCGCGGTCCTGGCCCCGCAGTGCCCGCCAGACTCGCGGTATCCGGAAGGTCTCTGGCGGTGCGCTTCGCCCGTCTCTCTAGAGTTAATAAAAGATAAAATAGGGGCGCCGGCGTCCCCGGGCGATTTCCCGCAGGCGGCGGCCCTCCCTCCCGCCGTCAGCAGCCGGCGCCTGGGAAACCGGCGTCTCGGTGACGGGCGGGAAAGTGCGTGATGAAGCAAATTCGGCGTTTTAACTGCATCGGAGGCACGTGTATCGTTCGCTGTGTAATTTTTCTGCACAAAACCTCTCATGGTAAAATGTTGGAAAATCCAAAAAAGAAAAGGCCCTAATTTTTGTGCCGCTGATACAGCGGCCACAGGCCGCCCCTCGGTGTTATTCTCCCGACGGGAAAGACGCCGGGTTTCCCTCTAGAGCCCATTTCCCGTCCCGCTCCGCAGTGTTCGTTCGTGAACGGAACGCAATCCTGCGGGCTCCGAGACGTCCCCGTCCCAGCGGATGCGCCGCGTCTCACCACTTCCGGGTGTGCCGCGCGGACTCCCGCGCGCCTGCGCAGCCGCGGCCTGCGACCGCGCTCCCTGCTGTGCGGGACCGTGCGCCCCCGGGACCGCAGTTCGTGCTCCTTCCTCCCCCCACCTCCGTCCAGTCCGCCCCCCCCCCCCCCGCCCGCGCCCCCGGCGCAGCCAGCAGCTGGTTCTCGTGTCCGAGTGTTCTGCATCGCTGTGTGTTCTGTTTCCGCGGGTTCTGCGCGGGAGAGCAGCCGCGTGCTGCCCGTCTCTCTCTCTGTCTCACTCCGCTCCCCGCGCTCCCTGCTGGGTCCGCCCCTTCCTTGTCGCGGGTGGCAGGGTTTCATTCCTTTTTGCGGCCAAGTCGTAGTAGATCCTACGTCTGCACCCCACCTCCCCCGTCCACGCGTCCGTCAGCGGGCTCGCAGGCGGCCTCCACCGCTCGGCCGCCGTGAAGAACGCCGCGGTGAGCCCGGGGCGCAGACGCCCTTTCCAATCGGCGCGTTTGCGTTCTCCGGACGCATTCCCAGAGGTGCGGTCCCTGGGTCCCAGATCCATTCTCAGTCTTCGAGGGAGCCCCGCACCGTTTGCCACGGCGGCTGCCCTGGTCCGCGTTCCCACCCAGATCCTCACCAGCACCTGCTGTTTGTGGGTTTATTGACTTCAGCCGTTCTGGCAGGTGTGAGGTGATGCCTTGTGCTTCTGATTTGCATTTCTCGGGTGATTAGTGGCGCTGAACCTCTTTTTATGCACTTACTGGCCATCTGTATGTCCTCTTTGGAGAAATGTCTACTTGGGTACTGTGCCCATTTTTTTAATCCTCATCTGAGAAGATGTCCATTGATTTTTAGAGAGAGGAAAGGAAAGAAAAAGAGAGAGAGAAACATCAATTGGTTACCTCCCGTTCATACCTCGAAGGGGTGGAACCCACGCCCTTTTGGTGCAGGGGGCCAGGCCCCAGCCGACTGAGCCAGCCAGCCAGGGCTCCCTCCTGACCGGTGACCGCCCCGTGTGGGAGCGGGGCCTGTTCCGGGTCTCCGCCCCTGCCGCCAGTCTGGTCGCGGCTTCCTCCTGTCCGTGGTTACAGGGCTTGTGCCCCGCCGGTGTGGAGGCGGCGAGCACGGTGCGTGCCTGTGCCGCCATCTTGGCCGGAAGTCCCTCGGGTTCTCAATTAGAGCTCAATGTGATGTTGTGTCTGCGTAGTTTCAAATTGGCTTAGTGTGTTTTGGTGCTATTTGAAAAAGGAAACATTACCATTTCAGCCAGACTGATCATGATTAAATTTTAAAGCGTACTGAATATGTGACTTTTGATACCTTACCCTGTTTCCTTTATTTCCTGTTTTTCTCACGATTACCCTGAGGTCTTAATAAATATATAACTTTTTAGCTGCAGTTCTGTTGACACTGAGTTGACGGTATCAAGAGTTACATATACTTTAGGCTTCTTCCCTTTAAAGAAAGAGTGTGGAAAGCAAATGAACAGTTGAGGTTTAACCCAAACTTGAGAGTATTAAGGGCTGTTTCACGAATGCTATCTTTCCTCCATCTTGATACCTTGCAAATACGTGTGTGTGTACATACATACATACATATATCTTCTTTCCCCCCACAGTATTTGAAGGCTGTGATAACTCCAGAGTGTCTTCTGATACTAGATTACCGTAATCTAAACCTGGAGCGGTGGCTGTTCCGGGAGCTCCCTGCACAGCTGGCTGGAGAGGGTCAGCTGGTCACGGACCCGCTCCCTTTTGAGTTCAGAGCCATGGAGGCACTCCTGCAGTATCGGGTGAGCTGCGTGTGTGGCGTCTCGCACCTGTTCTGGTTCAGCACGCTGCTGAGCTGGAAGGCGGCACGGCGGTATTGAAAGGCCGTGTTGTTCTGCAGATCAGCACGCTGCAGGGGAAACTGAGCGTGTTGGAGCCCCGCATCCTCGACACGCTGGAAGCGTTGGTGGATCCCAAACACTCCTCTGTGGACAGAAGCAAGCTGCACATCTTACTGCAAAATGGCAAGAGGTAGACAGCTGTCTTGCGCTTCTCCTAGTAGTTTTCACAGTGAAATGTGTGGCAGAAACTCAAGTACAGATGAATGTGATTATTTCCTGCTTTTAAAATACCAGCTGCCCTGGCCGATGGCGGGGACCTCCTGTGAGGGCCACCGGAGTGGGAGCGTGGCCTCGGCGGGTGCTGTGCAGAGGGCGCAGAGGGACGCGCGGGAAAGCCGGGGCCACTCTGTGAGGCTGCTGTGGCTGGGAGGTGGCTCTTAGTCTGCACGTTGCATGGCTCTGATCCTTTCTGTGCCCCCCCCCCACCAGCCTGTCCGAGCTGGAAACAGACGTGAAGATGTTCAAGGAGTCCATCCTGGAGATCCTGGACGAGGAGGAGCTGCTGGAGGAGCTCTGCCTCACCAAGTGGAGCGACCCCGACGTCTTGTGAGTGTGCGCGCTGCTCTGTGGCCGCTCTCGGGGGCACTTCTCACAGACCGCAGTCAGACCGCAGGCCTCTGCCGTCCCCTGCGCACTGGGAAGTCAGTTCCCCTTCCGGGCCCGCTCCAGCCCCGTGGGCACTGTCCGAGTACTCGAGTGCCTCGTGCTCGTTCTTTGTAGCCCAGCGCCAGAAATCAATGCCCTTCCGCAACGTGCGTGGTGTACGCGGCCTGTCCAGACTTTTAATTATTACCTGTGTTCCCACAGGTAGAAAGGGTTCTTCCCGCAGAGAGGCCCGGTGGCAGAAACTGGAGCACACCCGTCCCTCTCGTTTGCTTGCCAGGCCTCTGCTGGCGGGCAGCATCCCTGACCTGCCGGCGGGCGGCGGGTGCAGGGGCTGAGGCCGGTGTGTCGGTGGCGCTCGTCCGTGGGAGGCCCTGTGTCCACCTGGGGAGGGAAACGCTGTGTGTGCGCATTTCCAGTCTTTGGTCTCGTTCTCCCTGATCGGTGCTACTCGGCCAGCTGGTCGGCACTCGCGTGCCGCGTTTTCCTGTCGCTGGTCGTGCGGTGGGCTCGCCGGCCTGTGCCGAGAGGGGGCCTGTGCCTGGGACGTGCCCAGGGTCAGGGACACTGCCACGCACAGCCTGGCCCCAGTCACAGTCGTGTACGGACCAGAGGCACGCGTGCTCGCTGGCGGCTGAGTACGACGCGCTGATCGGTGGTGTGGGTCCTGAGGGTGCGGCGCCCACGCGGGGCTCGCGGGTGACGTGGGCTCTTGTGACTGGAGTGAGCAGAGCAGCGCCGGCATCGACCACGCGGAGGAGATGGAGCTGCTGCTGGAGAACTACCACCGGCTGGCCGAGGACCTCTCCAACGCGGCCCGTGGGCTGCGGGCGCTGATCGATGACTCCCAGAGCGTCATCTTCCTCAACCTGGACAGGTGGGTGCCAGGGGCAGCGGTCTGTGCGTGGAGCGCGCACGTGGGGCGACCCGGCGAGCAGGGAGGCCCACCTGTCCCCCTCGCCTCTGCGTGGCCACGTGTCCCCGGAGGTCTGGGCTCGGCCCCTGCTGTGTGCTGCGGGGCCCGTGACCTCCCTGTTGTCCCTCCAGCCACCGCAACGTCATGATGAGGCTGAACTTGCAGCTGACCATGGGGACCTTCTCTCTCTCGCTGTTCGGGCTCATCGGAGTTGCTTTTGGGATGAACTTGGAATCTTCCCTCGAAGAGGTGAGAGTGTATTATTTCAGTAGCTTGGGGTTTATTTTTCAAGGGTTTGAAGGCCATTCTGAGGCGGGGGTGGCAGAGCGGAGACTTGGGTGCAGAGAGAAAGGGGGGACTGGGGCGGGGCGCCGTAAGCAGAGGGGGTACACATACGACAGGCGGGAGCGAGCCAGTGCTGAGGGCCAGTGGGTCCGAGTGGCGGGGGGGACAGTGTGGGGTCGTGTCCACTTGTGGAGTGCAGTGAGGGTTCGATTTCTTTTCTGTGGATGGGAACCGGCAGAGGCTTTGAGCCTGAACCCAGGCAGCTGGAAAGTTCAGAAGTAGCTGTGCCCTCCTTTGTGGCGGAGACCGACCTTGCGTGTCCAGACGGTGCTTGTGTCCGGACAGTGCTTCTGGGGCCCCTGAGGGTCCCCAGCCTGTGGCCCCAGGACCCTCGTGCCGGCCCCGTCCTCCTCCCTCCCACACTATCATGGCTACGAGCCACCTTGATGTACACGACTCGCTGTACAAGGAAACCCACTTCGTACCTGATGCCTGCCCCCGCCCCGCCCCCGCCACCCAGGGAGGGGAAGGGCCTGTGGGAAGTCCTTTCTGCCCATCGGCGCGTCTCTGGACTCTCGGGGCAGTGGTGGTTTGGGGAAAGTCCGGGGGCGGAACCCGCCCTCGGGCTGACCTGGGCTGTGCTCTCCCGCAGGACCACCGCGTGTTCTGGCTGATCACGGGCATCATGTTCATGGGCAGCGGCCTGATCTGGAGGCGGCTGCTGTCGTTCCTCGGGCGGCAGCTGGAAGCGCCTCTGCCTCCCGTGGTACGTGGGGGGCGGGGCCCGGCAGGGGGGCGGGCGGTCTCGGGCTCCTTCGTGTCCCTGTTGGCTAGATCCGCCCTGCGCCCCGCCCCCCGCCCCATGGTGTCGGTGGGAGAGTTAAAGATCACCACGCGAGTAACAAATGAGCACAGTGCCCAGCCCACGAAACAAGGTAGAAATGCCTCCTTGGGCGGCGCACGCGGCAGGTGTCACACCTCCGGACAGAGGCCAGCGGTCCCTCCCACAACTGAGGCGTGGACGCTGCTGGGCGGGTGCCCTTCTCCCAGCCGTTCCAGAAGGGCCCCCTGACCGGGGCCTCCTCCCCCAGACACACAGGCTGACACTGTTCCCGGCTTCCTACAGGTGGCCTCTTTGCCCAGGAAGGGCCCGCAGGCGGACAGGAGGGCGGACGTGCGGCACAGCTTCCGGCCGGATGGGTTGGGGCCCGGCAGGAGTGTCCTCCCGGCGCCCCGGTGAGCGCGCCGTCTTGTGCAGCGCCGCAGCAGAGCCCTGGTGCCTTCACAGACGCGGAGGCCCAGAGACGTCCCTGGGATCTACGCTACGTCGTCTGGTGATGAAACGCGGCAACGACAGTCCTGGAACTGCACCTTTTTTTTGGGGATTCCGAGTAAACCAAAGTACCTGCTTTGTAAGAGGCCAGAACGCTGCTGTCTGCCAAGCTGGAGAGCCGCTCCTGCAGAGCGTGAGCCGGGGCCGACCTAACCCTGGGTGGTGGCGTAGAGCTCCCTCTGCGCGGGGGGACAGCAGTTTCGGGCTCCGCGCAGCCAGGAGGCTGGACAGACCCCCCCCCCACGTGGGCCACGCGGCCGCAGCTCAGGGTGGGCCCTGTCCTCGTGCGTCTGCTGCCTGCCAGGTGACGGGACAGCCAGCAGGTCGGCCTCAGCACAGACGCGGGAGGCCCGTGCCCCGAACCCCCGGCCTCATCTTCTCGTGCCCGCCCCCTTTTATCAAAGGGGGTGATGTTAGTGTCGGGTGGGTTCCCACTGGTTAACGTCTGCGGATGTGGGCTTGGGGGGAATTTCCATCTGTCGCTGGTTTGCAGCTGCCTCGGTTGGGCCCTGACCTGCAGTTGGAGGTGTCCACCCCCTCTGGGACAAAACTGTGTGGCCTCTGACCCTGTGTGTCGTGTGTCCCCCCCGCCCCCTCGACTGGCAGGAGGGCAAGAACGCTGGGCCTGCAGCCCCTTCTGTCCCCACAGCCAGAGCTCTGGGGTCGGAAGGAGCCGCTGACCCCTGCCCGTCTCAGTGTGGCTGCCCTCTGCGACGTCTCCCATCCCCCTTCGCATTTCTGGAGGGTGAAGGCAGTTACACTGCCTGTGAGGTCGAGCACCTGGGAGGCACCACGCGGCCCCAGCCCAGCCGCAGTGGGGGCACCGACACCGTCAGGTGCTGTCGGAGGAGGTGGTGCTGGGGCCCTAGACCGGGGGTCTGGTGACAGACGGAAACTCGCTGTTCCCGCAGCTGATCTGAGAGAGGGCGGGCGGCTTCCCTGCACTCTGCTGTGGCCCTGCGCAGCCACCAGGGGGCGCTGGGGGCCGGGCTGGGGCTGACCTCACAGGTCTGGAAGAGGGCAGATTCCACGTGGCGCACCGCGGCCGATTGTGGCCGTGTTACTGGGGAACAGTGACGACCACTTAACCTCGACAGGGCACCGGCGCCCAGAGCGCGGAACGCGGCTCTGCTGCGGTCGGGCGCAGAACGGGTCTGGTCCTCTCCTCCCGGCGTCAGTGTGCGGCTCTGGGTCCAGAGACTCAGCTGTGTCTGGGCAAGGCCAGGGAGAACCATGCACCTACCTCACAAGTCTGACCCGGGGACGCACCGACGTGCTGAGAGGTGCCCATCTGGCTAAGGTTCCGTGGTGGAGCCCACGCCCAAGGTGTGCCGAGTTGGGTGGCTTTAAGTTCTCAATTACACACACACACTGAGCCCCACCTGCTCTTGGGAAGCAGGTGACAGAACGCCAGGTGCTTGGTCAGGTGGGGCCGTAGGTGGCCTCATCCCAGGAGCCACGCACACGCGCAGGGCCCACCCAGGAGCTAGGTGGGGCAGGCCTCTCAGATGCAGGGGCGTGGTGGCCCAGGTGCCCTTCCCCGGCCTCGACTGGCAGGCTGTGGGGACTGCCCACTACGGCACTGAAAGCTGCTCGTCTGAGTGAGCTATTCCCAGGTTGTGCAGAGCTGTTCTTGGAATGGCAGCAGCAAACTCACACTGTGAACGTGGGAGTTATTTGAATTAATACCTGTGGAGGCGGGTCTGCTGGGCGGAGCCTGGCACGGGGAGCCCCCACCTCCACCCACCCACCCACCAGGCCTGCCTGAGGGGGACCCCAAGCGGTGCCGGTTCTCCTGCCTTGAAGACAGTTGTCACAAAGAGACTACAAATATATGTAAATGTGATCTGATGCCTTGAAATAAATTTTGCGGTAAATTGTGTAAGTTCAGATTTGTGTTAATGAGACAAAGTTAGCGTATTTTCATCCAGAATCAGTGCTTAGAGCTACAGGGGACACCTAGTGAAAGCTGAACCCACCCGCTGAGACAGACGCCGGCCTGGCCGTGTCCGTGTGTCCCGCAGGCTGCCTGGAGCACCGGGCCATCGTCGAGGGAGGGTCAGGAGGGCTCAGCGTGGAGTCCGTAGTGCCCGTGGGAAACTTGCTCCCGGCCCCACCTGGCGCTCACTGTCCGGGGTGTTCGGGCATCAGGGAGGAGGAACCCTTGGGTGAAGCGTGGGCACAGGTGGACACGCCTGTCAGCTGGTGCGGTGTGACGTCCCGGGTGACGGACCTTCCCTGAAGCGTGTGCCGTCCACTCGCCCACACGCACACCACTTGCGCGTGGACACGGCCGAGGAGCCCCTGGTCCCCGGAAGTAAACCCCCTGCTAATCAACCGCGCTCCTGGCCGGCCGGCCGGCCGACGCCGTGTGTGCACTTCAGTTCCTCCTGGTGCCCCTCCCCTGCCCCCCGGTGTGTGCCACCTCCCTCCTCGGCGGGACCGCCGTCCCCGAGAGATGACCCTTCCCCGCCTCCACCCCTCCCCGCGGGGTCTCCGGGGGGGCCCTTCCCCAAAGAGCACGGAACTGGGACACCAGTTCGCACCCCCTGAGTCTGGACCCCGGAGCGGAGGGTCGCTTAGTGTGTCACGTGCCAGCGCAGCCGCCTCTCCGGAAGCGGGGGATGGGGACGTCTGGTTTCCTCGCCGGCCCTTCCCCGCGCGCCCGTGGAAAAGGTGGGGGCACCCACAGGAGGACGGGACCCCGCCGTTCACCAGCAACCCCACGCCCCTCAACCCCCCTGCTCCTGCTGTAACTCTCCCCATTCCCCGCGCCCCCCGCTGCCCTCGGATGGGCAGGGGCCCCCGACTTTGAAGGCAGTGTGTGGGGGTCTTCCCAAGGGCACCGGAGGACAGCCGGCCGCAGGCGTCGAGCACAGGTGGCGAGCAGGACAGGGCATCTGCAGGGGAAGCGGGGAGGGCAGCTTGGGGCGCGCGTGGCGGTGTGGGATGGCAGCTGGTGTTGTCCCCGACATCCGGCCATGCATGTCTGCCCTCCCAGGAGCCTCGCCTCCTTGCAGGGTCCACCAAGGCTCGGGGGTGTGCCCCTCTGTGCCCCGTTGTCCGCCAGACCAGAGGGGCGAGCGGCGAGGCCGTGGGCAGGCGTCAGTCTGAGCGGAGGCTGTAGACGTGCAGCGCCCCGGAGAGCCGGGCACCCAAGGAGCTCCTGCCTGCAGCCACCACGACTTGGTTCTGTGGAGACACGGCCGGCGTCGGTCAGCAGGCCGTCCCCGCAGACAGAGGGGCCCGAGGGAGCTGCTGGCGCAACCCGGAGCGCCTGCGGCAGGGGCCATGGGTGACCTGCTCCTCACACGGGCCCGCTCGGCCCAGGTGTGCGAGGCCCTGCGCCAGTGAGGGCCGGGCGGCTCCATCCCGACCACGGGAAGGAGGCAGGGCTGGGTCGCCCCGGCCTGGGGGATCTGAGCACCTCCGCGTCCCAGCCTCGCCAGAAGAGGCGGGGACCGTGGTGGTCGGTGTGCCCCCTGCCCCCCCAGCTGGTGGGAGCCAGGGTGGACGTGTGGGGAATGTGCATAAAGCACGTGGGTTCCTGATACCGTCTGACTTCTGGAAGATGAGTAACATTTAAACGGAAGCCCAGCTTAGGACACAGTCGTCCTCGGACTAGACCGTTTGCCGACCCTCCCTGTGCAGACAACGCTGGATTTTTGTTACTGGGCGTCCGCCCCTCCCTGGGGTGAAGCCACGGCCGTGCGCAGAGCTGGCCGCTAGGGGGCGGGCTCAGCGCAGTTGCCGGCTGGGCGCGCGCCTGTGACCGTGGCAACCGCCTTCCTTTTCCTTCCCTTCCCAGGGGCAGACTCTCTCCCCTCCTCACCAGCACGCTGGACGCTGGCTCAGCCCCGTGCCCTGTCCTCTCCCCACACGGGCGCTCGGGCTCTGGGTCAGTGGGGTCCGACCAGAGCCCCGTGGTGGTCTGCACCCACTGACGTTAGCATTCAGAGTGCCTGCACCCTGTGTTTTGCAGCAGAGGGTGTCTGAGAGTTTCAGCCACAGGGACGTTTGCACAACTACACAGACACGCAGAGCAAGACTGCTGACCACAGCACCGCCTGTGACGGGGGAAAGCAGGGGACAGTGAGGGGGCACCCACGGGGGTGGGGGCCGAGGAAACGCCGTAAAGTACCGCATCTGGACAATCAGACTCTCTGTGGCAGAGTGCCGAGCTCTGCGTGTGTGTGCCAGCACCTGTGTGGGAGGAGCCACAGAGAGGGCGGCCAGTGAAATGGAGGCGGCTGTGTGTCCATCTGTCCCCGGGTCACACGGGACCTCACACCACAGGGCCAGCCCGGGTGCTCAGTGACGCACACCTGAGGCTCAGGGGACCGAGTCTCGGGAACAGCTCGATAGCCTGGGTCCCACTGAGACCCGTGGGCGGCAACACCGAGTCCCCTGCTTTTTGGTCATTCACGCGTGCAGTGACCGTTTCTGGCCGGTGGGCAGGACAGAAAGGGGCAGCCCGCGGGGCCGGCCTGCGCCCAGGGCGCCACTGCGGGGTCGAGGGGGCCGCTCCCGGAGCCATGGCCCTGCCTGCGGTGTTGGGGGGTGTGCTCTTCTTTCCAAGGGGAAAAGAAAACCAGAAACAGCTACAGAGTGGCCCTGGCCGGTGTGGCTCAGCGGGCTGAGCACTGGCCTGCGAACCGAAAGATCACCGGTTCAATTCCCATCAGGGCACAGGCCTGGGCTATGGGCCAGGTCCCCAGTAGGGGGCGCACGGGAGGCAACCACACGTGGATGTTTCTCTCCCTCTTTCTCCCTCCCTTCCCCTCTCCCTAAAAAGGAAATCTTAAAAACAAAACGAGAACGCCCCAAGCCTCAGCCCTGGGACAGACAGACACCAACAGCACGGCGGGGGACGCACCTTGTCCTTCGACCGGACGGTGACCACGGAGCTCCCGAACCTCGAGCCTGCCTGCGGGGGGACAGAATCTGGGGTCACGGCGGCCCGGAGACACACCCCATGCGGTGGGATCAGCTTGAGCTGGGGGGAAGGGCCGCCCGCGCCATTCCCCTCCCCCCCCACCCCGGTGGGAGGCACTTACCTCTGGAGAGATGAGCACGTGCTGGGCCTGGAGGGAGAGGGAGAGGGAGAGAGAGGGGACGGTCAGCGTCCCCCCAGCCCCTGGGGGTTCGTTCTCACAGCCGCTCCACCCCCCACCCCCCGAGACCACGTTTCTGCAGCCGCCCCAACAGCGTGAGTGCCCCTGGCGGCAGAGACCCCACTCGGGGGACCCCCGCTCAGGACACAGATGTGCGGAGGCATCTGCACGTGAACATTTCGTGGCAGCGGTTGGGTGAACGGTGTTCACCCACAGAGGGAGCACTCCAGCACGGGGTGCGGTGCGGTGCACGGAGGCAGGGAGCGGGCCCCCGCGGTGCGGGCTGGTGAGAGCCGTGCGGCCGAGTCACGCTCGGAACCGCGAGGGCCGTGCGAGCCGCCGTTCGGACCCGCGCCGGGCGAGGCCGGGAGTGCGCCAGCCTCCTCGCATCCCCGCGCTGCTGCTGCTGCTGCTGCCCGCAGGTGACGGGGGCCACCCCGCCCGCCCGCGCGCGCCCCCAGGGCCTCGTCTGTGACGGGGACCGACACCGGCTCAGTTCGGCGGCTCTGAGGGGTTCAGTGTGTCGAGTCCCCAGAGGGAGACTCCAGGCGAACCAACAGGCATCATCTCTGGGGAGCGGGACTCCAGGCAGATGACTTTTAGTTTTCTTCGTGTCTCGTAGTTCTCAGATTTTTACAACGGTTTTTAACATGAGAAGTGAGTGAAAGCCTGTTTCTAAGTTTGAAAGCGACGGCCCGGTGCGCCAGGCCCAGGAGAGGACGCGGTGAAGCAGGACACGGGGGCGGGCAGGAGGGGGTGAGCTGCCACCGGCTCGGTGAGCTTGGAGAGACGGCGGGCCCCACGGCAGCCGCGGGCGCGGGGACGCTACCTTCTCCTCTGGGCACGGCGACAGCCAGGACCTGCACTTGCCCGTCACGTCGCCGAGGAGGGTGCGCTTGCCGCTGTAGACATAGACCCGGCCGTCCTCGCCCCCGACCAGCCCGGAGGTCAGGTCCGCTGTCCGCAGGGGGGCCGCCACGATGAGGTCGTCTGCGGGCGAGACCGGCGGGGGGGGGGCGCGGGGGGAGTGAGGCCACTCCCTGCCCCCTGCCCCCATGGCCCGCCGCCCTCCTGCTCCCCTCCCACGGGGCACCTCTGCCCTGACAGTCGAGGCTTTGGCTCCCCTCTGGTCGGCAGGTGGCAGCCGGCACAGCGGCTCCGCCGTCACCTCCTTCGAGAAGGACAGCTGCCTCCTGCACACCTGGTGCTGGTCCCACCTGCCTCGCCTCCAGGCCCGTGGGCCAGGAGCGGCCGGTGGCTGGGGCAGAGCCTCCAGGCCCAGCTCAGGGCGGGCTCGGGGCCCGACGGTCTCCTACCCACGCCGTCACCGTCCAGGTCGCTCAGGTGCAGCGCGCCCCCATAGCGCGAGAAGCGGCGGTCTCCGCTGAAGCTGCTGAGCAGGGCCGGCTGCAGGTCGGGCGTCAGCTCGTACATCCGCGTGGCCCCCCCTTGGTGCAAGGTCATGGTCAGGAAGGCCATCCTGGACACGTCGTCTGGAAGGAACCACACACGTCAGGGCCGCCACTTGTGCACTCACACGTGTGACAACGGGACGTGGAGCACGGATCGGTCCCTGCCCCCGCGTCAGGCTTCCGTCCTCGAGGGACGCGGGTCTCACGGTCACACAGCAGCAGAGCCGGTCAGGCGCGGCTGTCGGGGAGGCCCAGCACGGTCAGCTCAGAACACCGCCGGACAGCGGCCCCTCCTCCCTGCCTAGCCCCCAGGACGCCTGCCCCACGGCCGACCGCCTTCCCTACGTCCCACGCCGCCCGTGTCCCCGCCCTGACCCCAGCCCTTTGGGTGCAGCCCTGACCCCAGCCTTGCTGGGGGCCCCGCCCCGTCCCGGCCATTTCCAACGTCCCCCACACCCTGTGCTGTCCGCCTGGAGCCCACGGCCTCTGCCGGCCAAAGCCAGCCCCTCCCGCGGCATCCGGCACAGGTGTCCCCTCCGCCAGGAAGCCCGCCGCTCCCCCCTGCCCCCTTGCTGCCCCCCGCCTGCCACCACAGGCCCCCTCGCACGTCCCGTGTCGGGCTGTCCCTCCACACCGAGGAGACCGGGTCGGCAGTGCTGTGCGCTTTGGGCGTCTCGGGGGCAGCACGGGGGCGGCACAGGGCCGCGTCCCTGTCTCCCAGACACTCGGCTCACCGAGCAGTTTCACACAAGGCCCCTCCGAAGCTGCCCCATCTAAGACACCCTCGTCTGGGACAGGCTTGATGCCAGAAGGGGCACCTCCCCGAAACAGGGGCTGCGGGTGGGTGGGTGGGTGGGTGGGCGGCCCTCGGTGGTGACGCTGACGTCAGCACCAGTCAGGGCTGTGGGCAAACGGAAGGCCGATCTCACCGTCCCCGACGACCCCCCGCCCTTCATCTCTCGGCAGCCGGTGGGGACCAGACCTGACGCCAGCAGCCGGGGAGGACACGGGGGCGCTGGGAGCTTTCACATGCAGCACCGCACCTGCCCTGGCCCCCGCCGCCCAGGGCGCCGCCGTCACAGGCCACGTGAAACCCCACGGGTCCAGAGCGGGGGACCCGGGAGAAGCCCACCTTCCCGTCCTGGGGGACCACCCAGCAGCAGCAGCAGCTGGAGCTCCTGTGCCCACCCAGCCACGGGGAGGGGGTGGCGGCGGCGGCTCCTCCCTCGGGCTCCCTGGACAGCAGGCGTTTCGGCGCCCGTGCTGGGTTCTGAGGCGGGAGGGTTGGGGCCTCCAGCCCCGGCCGGGAGAGGAGACCAGACTTGCCAGTGGCCCTCCTGGGGGGCCAGGCAGGCGGCGACACCCACCCTCAGGGAGGGCCAGTCCCTCCCCCAAGGCCGCACGGCTGGCCGCTCGTCGAGAGAGGGAGCGTGCAGGCCCCGGTCGGTTGGGTCCCAGGGCCACATCCCATCCCGTCCCCCCGGCAACCGGCCAGGGGCCGCAGGACCTACCGTGCGTCGGGGCCCCGACTAGCAGCACCGGCTTCCGGGTGCCGTTCATCATCACGTGGCCACTGGACAAGGAGGTGCCCAGCTTCCCCATCGCCTGGGAGGGGGAGCGGTGGGAGGGCAGCTCAGAACAGGTCCCTCCCTGGGGTTCCCCGTCGGGGGGTGGGGTGGGGTGGGGGGAAGGGAGGGGAGGACAGGCGGCGCCCCACCTTGTCCCCGGAGATGGTGAACGTGCTCCGGCAGCGCGGCGGGAAGTAGCCGTACACCCGGCCGAGGCTCTGGCTCTGCTTCCTGTCGTGCGAGCGGGACGCAGAGGCCCGGCTGGAATGCAGGGTGCAGAGTGTCAGGGGTGCAGAGTGTCAGGGGTGCAGAGTGTCAGGGGCACGGGGTCGGGGGCCGGCCACCTTGCCCCTCCCGTGTCCTCACCCGACCACGGGCATGGGGTGCCAGGCCCTCCGGTGCAGGCCTGCCGCTCCACCCCTGCTGACACCCACCCCGGCCGCCTGGTGACCTCGCAGGAGGGGAAGGGCCCCAGGTGGGCAGAGAGGTCGCAGGGAGAAGGCGGCCATCGGCGGCCAGGGAGGGGGGCCTCCGGAGGAACCAGCTCTGCAGACCCCTTGACCCCGGACACCCGGCTCCAGAACTGGGGGGGGGGGGGGCGGGGATCTGTGCCTCCCCTGCAGCAGCCCAGCAAGGTTCTGGGGGACATTGCCCCCCCGCCCCAGGGCCTCAGCTTTCCCTTGCGGGGTGAGGGCTGCACAGCCCGTCCCCGTGAGCCCGCCCACGCCCGCGCACCTGCTGGCGTTCCTCCAGGTGGGGCTCCCCACCAACAGCAGCGTCCTGTTGCCCACGCTGACGCCATGCAGGGAGTGCCCCAGCCAGGCGAAGTCCTCCTCGCCCCTCACCAGCCAGTCGGCCGCCGCCACAGTCAGGTTCCCTGCAGGGGACGGGGCGGGTGGGGGGGGCTGCTCGCTTCACGCCGGAGGGGAGAGGCCGCGTGTCTGCCAGCACTCCCGGACGCCCCTCCCGCGCCTCCCAGGCCACGGGAGAAACTTCTAAAGCTCAGGTCCGTGGCCTGAGGGACACTATCAAGGGGCTGTCTCAGGCGCTGAGAGCACCCCGGGTGCGGGTGTGTCCCTGCCCTGTCACGGGGAGACAAAGATGGGCTGGACGTGCAGCCGGGGCCTCTCTGTGTGCTGACTCCGACCGCGTCACCGGACAGGACACCTGTGGGTGGGGGCCTCCGGGAAACCCGGGTGGAGGGACACAAGGAGGAAGGGAGGCCACGTGGACGCAGAAGCCCAGGGACCAGACGGCTACCTCTGCGGCCGCGGCCGGGGCGGGAATAGAACGCGGCCACCACGCCCCTCTGCTTCCCTCCGCCCGGCGCGAAGGGGCAGCCGGCCACCAGGTCGGGCTCGCCGTCCCCGCTCACGTCGGCGGCCAGCAGCGTCCAGCCCAGGTTGCAGTGCGTGTCCTGAGGGGAGATGGAGACCTCGGTCCCCTGCCCCGGCCTGGAGCAGCTGGGGCGCCCGAACCTGGCAGGGGGGGTGGGGGGGGTGGGGGGGACCGGTGAGGGGGGCTGGAGGGGTGCCAGAGGTGGCCCTCATACCTGACAGGAGACGGTGACGTTGGGGGACGGCGACAGGCCTCCCTCCCGGGAGCCGAAGTGGATGTACACGGCGCCCTGGGCCAGGACAAACCCAGGAGGCAGGGAGGTCGGCGCGGCCCAGACTGGGGACCCCAGTGGGTCCCCAGTCGGCCCCCGAGCCGCCCCCAAGGGCCACAGCACTAGGGCTGACACACCCACCTGCACCGTGCTGCTGGGCGGCAGCGCCTGGTTCTGCGAGTAAACCGTGCCCCCTCCCCGAGGCCCCTGAGCCCCGTAGTGGAGGTGCGTCTGCCGCTGCCCCCAGGGCCTCGCTCGGCTGAGCAGTGGGGAGACCCTGCCCCCCAGGCACCACCCCCTCGGGCTCTGGCTCCACCCCTCGTGCCACGTGTAAGAGCGTCCCGTGGGGGCCCAGGCTGCCTGGGAGGCCTGCTGGACGGGGTCAGGGACCGTCCCGGCAGTCCCCACCCCACCCCCACCCCCTTGTCCCCATGAGGAGCAGTGATGGGACCCTCTCTGTCCTCCTGGAAAGGGGACAGACAGCCGTCAGGACTCGGCCACCTGGAAGCAGCGGTGCCAGGTGGGAGCCCAGGTGGGAGCCCAGGTGGGAGGACAGCAAAGGGTCCCGCCCCGGTCACGTGACTGCACCCCAGCAGGACGTGCCCTCACTCCCGCAGGCCGGGAGACGGCGTGGCTAACGCGTGGGGCGGCAGGGGGGTTGCGAGGAGGGGCCAGGGTCTGTGCCGGACAGGACAGCGCCCGGGGCCCCTCTGCTGGGGCGGCCGGAAGCTGCGACCACCTGGGACGCACCCCCTTCACCACCACTCACGGCTGGGGGAGAGCAACACAGATGCTGGGCGTCGTACCCCTCGAGGCCCACCCGAGGCCGGGAGGCGGGAACAGGCGCCACCAGGCAACTGAGGTCACCTCAGGGACCCCAAGGGGGGCCCAAGGTCACCCTCCCCAGACGCTGGGCCTGTTCCCCCCCCACCCGGCTGCTATCTGCGGAAGCCCCGCCCAGCACTGGCCGCCCGCCCCTGGGGCCCTTCCCACCCCCCACCTCGCCCCACCCCCCACCTCGCCCCTCCCCCCACCGCCCGCCTTACTGTGTACGTGAGCTGCGCGGAGCCCACCGAGGGGGCGCCCACGGCCAGGTCAGGCACGCCGTCCCTGTTGAAGTCCAGCACGGCCAAGGCCGAGCCGAAGCGACCTGCAGGCTGAGGAGACACGGGGGCCCCTGGGCTGAGCCGCAGCTCCGACAGCGCCACCGAGTCCCGCTGGGGGGGGGCCAGGCCTGGGCCGCCGCCACCCGTGGGCTCGGGCACGGAACTGCGTGTCCCCGGGGAGCACCCCCACGGCAGGCGGCTGCTCCACCCACATCTCCCACTCGCGGCGCCGGTGGGCACTGCGGCCCCCCCACCAGCGGCACAGCCTGGACAGTTCCTGCAGTTCCAGAAAGTTCTATCGGGGACACGGTCCAGCACGCTGCTCTAGCACACTACGGGGACTGGGGCATTCTTGTCATCCCCACGTCCGCGGTTTACAGATGGAAACTCAGTCACTCAGGGAGAGTTTTCCCCTGAGGTGGGTTTTCTAGACCTTTCTCCCACTGTCTGGAATTGGCTGAGATGGAAAGTGACGGGGGTCTGTGCCCCATGCGCCCATGCAGGCCACCTGGACCGTCCCCCGTGCAGTGTCTGCAGCGGGGCCGACCCCCCAGAGCAGTGGGTCCCACAGAGTCCGGACCGGCGCCGGCCCCCGTTCCGACCAGCACTGCGGGGACGGGGCGGGGGGGACGGGGGCGGGGGGGGACGGGGGGAGATGGGGGGAGACGGGGGGATGGAGACCCTGTGCTCTTCCCCTTCTCCGAACCTGCTACCAACACTTGGCTGAAATAAAACAGTCCCGTGAGAACACACAAGTGGCTTCCCACTACCAGGCCATCACGGCCGCTTAGAGCACTTCCAGGTCACGCGTGAGAGAGAGAGAGAGAGAGAGGGAGAGAGAGAGAGAGAGAGAGGGAGAGAGAGAGAGAGAGGGAGGGAGGGAGGGAGGGAGGGAGGGAGGGAGGACGGCGTCAGACCGAATCCAGCGGCCAAGTGACAGCAGGGACGTGGACCCGCTTCCCGTGGGAGGAGCCACGCAATGTCCGCCCCAGTCGTCAGTCACTCCCGCTGTGCCCCCCGTCCCCTGGCCCCGGGGCCGCGCCCGGGAGGCGGGCTGCGGCCACCGATGGGAAGTGGGGGCGCTCACCTGGGAGCCCTCCAGGACCCCGTGGGCCTCCTCGTCCAGGTCCAGGTCGATGGGGGGCAGGCCCAGGTCGCTGCCGTAGACGATGTACACGCGCCCCACGTGCACGTGGCCGGGGCGGCTGTAGCCCGGGGCGCCCACCAGCAGGTCGCCGTGCCCGTCCTGGTTGAGGTCGGCCGAGGCCATCACCCTGCAGGGACAGAAAGAGGACGCGTCGCAGTGTCCGCTGAGCCCCGGGTGACCTGGTCTCGTCCTCCCGCCTGGGGTCCAGCACTTGAGCTCCCCTCGCCGGTTCGCCACCCCACCCGGCCGCTGGGAGTACTCGCGCCTGAGGTTGTGCTGTGTGTGTGTGACTCGGCCCTGCTCGTCGAGGAGAAAACCGTGGACCAACTGACCACGACGCTGGACAAGGCCAGGCCCCGAGCCCCTGCCGAGCGCCCGGCAGCACGCCCAGGACCCAGGACCTGCAGACCCAGGCCCGGGCAGCGCGGCGCCCGCCGGTCTGTCTGGTGGAGACAAGCTCTGGGCAGTGGTCCTGGACTCCCACCGCAGCCCAGAGCCGGCCCGGGGCTGGGACAGACTGTCCCACATACGGCCATTTGCAAGCCAGACTCCGTGACCAGAATGCCTCTGCCGGCTGGAAACTCCAGGGGCCACTCGTCCGTCCTGGTTCTTGCTGGCCACACGGTGGCGCTGCTGTGCCCTGCGCTCCGGGGGCCGGACGCCGGCCAGCGTGCGGTGCCGGGAAGGAGCCGCCCCCCACCGCAGTGTGGCCGCCAGCCCAGCTCGGGCCAGCGTCACCTGCCACTCCCGGGGCCGGGGGCAGACGCAGGAGGGACCCCGGGGCGGGGAACGCCGTGTCACTTGGATGTGACAGCTGTCGCTAAAAGGAGGCATGTCAAAGCCTTCAGAGAGCCGTCCCTGTCGCCTCCGTGGGCCCGGGGGTGGGGGTGGGGGTGGGGGTGGGGGTGGGGGTGGTGGGGGGGGTTTCCTGTGGTGGAGCGGACCCCTCGCGCCCCCCTGCCCGGAGGGACTGCACTGTTCCCAGCCCCCCACCGCCTGCTTTTCTCCCTCCGACGTCGTCGCCCCCCCAAACCGGCCACGATGTGTCCCCGAAGACGGACACTGGACACGTGCTCCCCGGGCTCCCGCTCCAGGGCCGGGGGTCCCGTAAGGCGGTGGAACAGGACGACAGACGCGGAGGAGGTGGCTTGACCTCCGCGCGGACTCAACCGCGTTCCCGTCTCTGTGGACGGCGAGCCGGTGGGGACACGGGCGCTGACAGGCACCGCCCACCGCGTCGGTCCAGGGACGCAGGGACGCAGGGACGCAGGGACGCAGGGAGGCGGAGCCGGACCTACCAGCCGAGCCTGGCGTAGGGACGCGACAGGAAGTAGGACGCCAGGGGGCCGGACACGTGGTTCGGGGGCGGCTGGGGGCCGCCTGTGAAGAGCGTCCGCAGGTTCCTCTCCAGAGTCCGGTACACGACGGCCAGGGAGTCCTGCAACGGGGGCCGCGGCGCCGGGTGAGGGTGCTGCGGCCAGGTGAGCCCTGCCCCCCCTCCCAGCCCGCCGGGGCTCCGGGCCCACGTGCACGGGACCTCCGTCTCCTCGGGCGCTCAAGACGACACCGTCGGCGCCTGTCACCAGGCGAGATCGCCCAAGACAGGCAGTGAGGGGTGACGGTGCCCCCCACCCCCCGACAGGTGCTGAGGGACGGTTGTCACCGCCCTGGCATCGGGCCAGCAGGGTTAGGGGTCATCGGGCGTCTACCCCGGCCAAGTCCGGACCGTCGGCAGCGACGGGCAGTGGGTAAGGCGACAAAATCGTGTTTTATGGACTGACGGTTCCCGAGAGACCAGTGCACCCCACCTCGGGCTGTCACTGTGTTTGCATATGTGTACCTCTCTCACGTGAGAGAGTGCGGGGGACGAGACCCCCGATTTGTGATGCTACGTTGCTCTTCACACGGTCACTGCAGAGACGCAGGCGCAGCCCGCTGCAGCCAAGTACCAGACCCGCCCCAGTTCAGGCGACACAGCCCTGCGCCCCCCCGGGGGGCACCAGCTGCACAGACAGCGACCGAGCCCGTGTCCACACGCCCAGCCCTCTGCGGGCAACTCGTGGCCGGCCGGTCCTCTGCCGCCCGGCTCTGGCTCCGATCCACCCAGGGGGCCGTCACAGGGCACCTGCCGTGCACCAGGCCCCCCCATGGGCCTCGGGGACGCAAAGTCCTTCCCTCCCACAGCTTCCCCTTTTGCACGGGAGACGGACAAACTGCAAGTCACAATGACATGCGTGGGACAGGGGGCCCAGGCCCGGCACACGCAGCGTGCAGAGCCGGCTGCACCACGCAGCACAGTACCCTCGCTCGAGAATGTCCAGGCGGAGGTGGCAGAGTGTGAAAGTGAGGACGGGGCCCCAGGAGGCGTGACTGCCGCCTTCCGAGTGACCGCATGGGCCGCACACCGTGACGCTGGCCCTGCCTGGGCCCTGGCCGGGCTCCCACAGACACCACTCAGTGCGCCCACCGTGTTCTCCGGCCACCGGGCCCCGTCCATGGTCCGACACTTCTGTGTCTCCCACCCACCCTCTCCCGGGGCCTTGTGTCCCAGGCAAACGAGGCCACTCGGGTTCCTGAGATCCTGGAACTTTCCTGACCCACTGCCAGCAATCCACGCTCACTGAGGAAATGCTCTCTGCTATTCAAGGCCTAACTCAAATGCCACCTCCTCCATGAAGCCTCCTCTGATAGCAGGGGTACACAATGGTCATCTTAGAGGCCAAGTCGGTCAAATCCCCCCAAACCCCCACTCACACTTGGTTACTTTTGAATCTGTCAGCCCTGTGAGACTGGAGCTGTGTGAAGGCCCGTCTCTTTCCCTTTCACTTCTGTCCCCTGCAGAGCCCGTCCCCACAGATGACCCCAGGTGCGCCAAGTGTCCCTTGGCGAGGGGCACCGCGTGGGGAGCCCGCAATGCTGCTGACGCGCTTCGCCCCAGGGACACAGCAGGACCGGCCTGGGGTCACCCGGGGCTCCGCCGGGCTTGCCAAAGGCCCCAGGTCAGGATTCGCGGCTCAGGACGTCCCACGGGCCAGGTCTGGAGGCTGAGGACCTGCTGGCCTGGCGCCCATCTGTGGCTGTCACGGAAGGCCACGGTCCTTCTCCACCAAGAGCGGAAGAGCTCACCGGGGTCCAGGAATCCACGCTGAAGACCACCCCTCGCTTGGTGTGCTTGATGCCCTTCCAGGCCTCCTTAGTGAGGGACACGGTCAGGTTCCTGTGGGAGTCGCTCTTCTGCGCGTGCGGGCTGCTGGGGGCGGGGAGAGAGAGAGGCCGAGGGGCTGAGACCCCCGAGGAGTAACTGAGCTGCAGGATGTCACCCAGGCAGTCACGGCAGAAGTTTGGAAAGTTCTGACCCCTGGAAGCTGAAGGAACACCACCGCAAAGGAACAACATTTCAGAAAAACCTCCCTGGGGCTCCACAAGACCTTTCAGTGACCGCACGCCCGGGGTTTAAAAGCACGTGTTCGTGAAAAACCCTGCCTACAGCCCCCAAGCCCTAGCTCGCAGGAGGTCCGGCCCCCTCTCAGATCACCGGGGCAGCGAAGGCGTCTCAGGGTCCCCCACACGGACAAGAGCTCGGGCGGCAGCTGCCGGGGAGGCAGGTGGACTCATCTGCAACCACGTGCCAGACGCCACTGTGCCGCCAAGGGCATTCTCACGTGCGAGCACTTGACCCGGCCCACCGGCCAACGCCCTGAGGGGCTGGACGGGCCCCAGGGAGACTGGAGGGGGAGCCGGTGGCAGGAACACTGGGAGGGCCGCCGTGAGACCGGGGTCGGACCCTAACAAACGGGGGGTCGGGAGCCCAGCGTGAGGACACTGGGTTTGACTACAGCCGATCCCAGGGAACCGAACCGCGGGCCTCGCGGACCCCGGGGCCCCGGACTCTCCCTCGGGGCCTCCGCTGCACAGCCCCCTGCTGAGCGCCCTGCTCCCATTCCCTTCTCTTCTCCAAACACCGCTTCTCCGCAAAGCTCCCCCGTGCCTGGGTGAGGGCATGCCACGGCCCACCCCAGTGTGACCAGCACTGGCCCCCTGTCCCTCGGGAGGGCACGGGGCCCACCCAGTCGGATGCCCACGGGAGCAGGGCCCTGTCCCGCTCACCACGAGTGCACCAATCCCTGGAGTTTCACAGCCAGAGAACCCCCGCAGCCGCCGTGCGGCCGCTGGTGCGTTGGGCTCTGCCCTGCGGGGCTACACGGCTCTGGTCACCCCCCGTCCGCTCATCTCCTTCTGACCCCGTCGTCTCCCCAAACCTGCAGCTGTGTGTCCCCAAGGGCACCGACATGGTTACGACACCAGCACCTGAGCCTGGAGGACACCCCCTCCCAGCTGACGCGTCGGGCCCTCCGGCCACCGCCTCAGACACAGCCTCCCCGGGAACTGCCTTTCCGGGGTGAAGTCTGGGTCAAGTTCATGAGCGAGGGCGGTCAGGGCGACAGTGATAATACCACGCACTACCACGCACGCCGGCGGAGCAGCTCACTGACGCGCTGATGACCGAACACCCACTCTGGTGCACAGCCCACACACAACCTGCCTCCAGCGGCCTGCTCACGGTCCCAGCTGTCGAGGGTGGGCCTGGCTTTTGAACCGCTGTCCGTCCATCTGTCTACGGTCCCCTTTCCACATCTGCCAAGCGCCCGCCGGGCCAGCTGCTGTTTCCGTGGCCCGTCCTGGAACACTCACCTCTGGGTCCGGTTCTGCTGGCCGCCGCAGGTGATGAACAGAGGGTTCTCGGGCAGGTGGCAGTCCCTGGGGACACAGTGACACGAGTCAGGCATTTCTGCCTTCTCTCCAGATGGAGGCAGCGGCGCTCAGCGAGGCGTCTCACGGTGACACAGGGGGCCCCGCCCCACGGTCACCCAGGCTTGCACCTGTCCCCGACCCCATGTCAGCTGCCTCAGGCTCGGGTGCGGGGACCCGCTCCCCGCTCCCTCGCTACCAGGAGGCAGACCCGCTCCGGTGGCAGTGCAGAAGGGGCTGTGCCATGTTGGAAATGCGCCCCAAGAGTCCCCTTGGCTCCCCCGACATTTCGGAGGCTCTGGGAGAGCCCAAAGGTCTACCGCAGCAGGAAGGGGGACGACCCCATTCCCCGGCCTCCTGCCGCCTGAGTCCCTGGTTCGCGCTCACCCAGGGCATGCTGGGAAGAGCAAGGGGCTGGAGGGCGACCAGCTGTCCCATCTGGGCTACACATCAAATTCCAACAGAATTTGGAATGTCGCTTCCCCCTGTAGGGAGGGGTTGGATGACGAGCCTTTGCCACCCTCAAACCCTGCGAGGCCGGCGGGGCTGCCGCCCTCGGAGAGCGGGCCCTCCAGCCACGTGGTTCTCCCGCCGGCGGAGCAGGGGGGCTCAGCGCGGGGTGGTGGACGCTGAGCTACTTCTCCAGACCATGGGCTCTGCAACGTCTGCCCCTCGGCCCCTGAAACTGGAGGGGCGCTGGCAAATCTGACCCCGTGGGGGCTGGCTGAGCTCTGGCCCCCCCGATGGGAACAGAGGAGCACTCTGTGAGACTCCGCCCCGCGTCCCCCGGCAGAGCCCCCGGGAGCGCTGCCGGGCCGGGGGGGCGGCTCACCGGGTCCCGTTCTCCAGCATGTAGCTGGTCAGGCGGTAGATGTGGGTGGACCAGAACGCCATGTCGTCCAGCCCGCCGAGGAAGTACTCCTGGAACTGCTCCACCAGGAACGGGGACTTCCGGGAGAACGTGGGGTACAGCTGCGGCCGGAGGAGGGGAAGACGCAGACGTGAGCACGCGAGGCAGGCGCTCCCCCCGGGCGTCTGCGGCCCTTCCCGCGTGGACGCGGGGGCCTGAGGCCTTTACCTTGGAGACGGCCAGCATCTCCCCGTACCTGCAACACAACGACAGGTGGGCCGTGAGCTGTGGCCCCCACAAAGCACGAGGAGCACAACAAAGGAGCCGCCCCCGCCCCCCCGACACGCATCCACTATCACGTGGCCACCGCGAAGCAGCCAAGTCCCTCAACCAAAGCCCACTCTCCGTCCGGGCACTGAGCCCCCGGAGCGCGAGCCCGGGCGCAGTGGCAGGATCGGCCGAGGCCTCCCGCGGCCTCACTCACATCTCCAGGAACTGGAGGTAGGTGCAGTCCACGATGGCGTTTCGGGTGATGGCCTCGCGGCCGTAGAGCTCCTTGTAAATCCCCAGGAGGTCGTCCACGGGCACATACCTGAGGGGGCAGCGGGTCGGAGCACACGAGTCGTGTGATGCCCACTCGACAGTCACGACAGCACCATGTTGGCGGCCAGCTGCCCCACGCGCTGAGGGCCGGAGCCTCGCCAGGGGCTTCCCATGGGGCCGAGTCTACCCCTCCTGGCGGCCCACATCCGCGGGGCTGGTGCTGTGACAGCGCCCCCCCCCCCGCCCCCGCCCACAGAGAGGAGGCCGGCACGGAGGAGGTAGGTTGCCCGCGTGGCGGAGCAAACCCCGGGGTCTTGGACACGTGTCTGCGAAGGTCCAAAGTGGGAGGCTGGAGCGTGTGAAAGGAGCGTGTGAAAGAGCGCGTCCCATGAAAATAGCTCAGAGGCCAGACAAAATAACAAACATTTTCTCATGTGAATCACCGGGCTGGGGAGAAAGTGAAAAATTTCCAAAGACCCAACACAGAGTGAACCTGGAAACTCTGAGAGGGATGCGAGGGGCAGAGCTGGCTCCTGCGGCCAGGTCCTGCCAAACCCGGGGCCTGGCAGAGCTCCGGGGGCTGCGGGCCGTGTGGTTGACAGGAGGCAGGAAGCACCTGACCCGGCCGTGAGGCTGCCTCAAAGCCCCTCTGGGCAGCGGAGGGGGGACCCACCCTGGCCCCGGCAGCCGCCGCAGGGTCCTGCCTCTGGGCCGTCCGCCCGTGGACTGCAGGGGGGCGGGGCGGGAGCTGCCCGGGTTGAGTGTAGCTCCAGGAGGGCCCAGGTCAGAGGGGGCGGAGTCAGGCCTCTGCAGAGCTCGGCTCCAGCCCCCGACCAGGGGCGGCCAGACCCCATGACCCACCGTTAGAAATGGACGTCGGACCCGTGCGGAGGGTGCCGTGTGTGGCATCAGAGGGACACCGCCCCGCTGCTGCTGTCACCACATCTTCCCGGGGCCGCCACGGCCAGCCGGCCTCGGGTGCCCTGCGAGCCACTCGCTGGCCCCGGGCCTGCCACGTTCCGAGGCAGCTGGACCAGGCCCGGGCGTGGGCACCGGCTGCGCCCTGAGCTGTCCCCGCCCTGGGCTCTGCAGGCACCGCTCCCACGGGCCCTCCGCGCCCTGGCGCTGGGGGACAGACCGCGGGCCTCTGAGGGCTCAGCAGACACGGAAAGGAAACCCACACGACGCCGGGCACCGGACCGGCTGGCGCGCGGGCAGCACGCACGCACGCCCGTTAGAGAGAGGGCCACTGTCGCGTGAGAGCCCGTGTGCCGGAAGGGGCAGGAGTCTGAAGCGTGAATGGAGCCAACGACACACGTGCAGCCTCGCACCCAGCAGAGCGACAGCGTCACAGGGAGAAGCCGAAACACCCAGGTCAGAGGGGGCTTCTCGAGAGAGTGTCTCTCAGCCCTGGCTCCAGGGCCCGATGAAAACCAGACAGGGGCCGCCCGGGGCGCAGCCCCCGCAACACCGGACCACCCGCTGCTGAAACCGGGCGGTGGTGCGGCAACGTATTGGTTTTTCTCCTAAATACACCACCTTTTCTACTTTTGCTAGAATTCGAAAATCTTTTAAAGAGAGCACATGCACTCCAGTTTCGTTTTTCAACGTTTACAAAGCAGAAGACCCCCGGGGACGCCGGAAGTTCTGTTTTCTGGGAGAGAAACGGTCCAGCTCCCGGAGGCCCCTCGGCGCGCGCACCCCACACCGGCGCGCACGCCGCGCTTACCAGTCCCGCGAGAGGTAGTTGAAGTTGAACTCGAACTGGCTCAGCACGTCGCCGCCTGCGTGAGAAAAGCCAGGACGGGGGCGGGTCAGGGGTCAGGGGTCAGGGGCCGCGCACAGCAGCTCCGCCGACACAAGTCCGCGCAACCCGAGGTCGGTTCTCGGCTGTGGCGTCGCAGGCTTCTGTGCGCTGTTTTGGGGGCGAGTGTGTCTTCAGGGACACCGATCTGCCAAGATCTTCACTAGTGACCCATGGAGGGAAGAAATGGCCCCGTAGCCAAAGCTTTTCCCTTTAAGACGGGCCGCAAGCATTCTTTCACGTGGACGCCCCTCGCCACCTGGTCGGCACAGTTAAAGGTAATTTGCCGCAGAAAACCGAGGGCACTCGCCAGTGGAAGGCTGCGTGTTAGTGGGCACTGCCTCACGAACTCATCTGATGGAAGGGTACAGTGTCTCTGAAGTTGCGACACAAGCCAATAAAACGTGGGTTTGTTGTTTTTTTTTTTTAAGAAATTCCAGAAACACACAACTTTTCAGAAGGACAGCTCCACGCTGCCCGCCCGCGGCCCAGGCGCGGCCACGCCTAAGGACCGGTCGGCACCTGCTGCCCCCTGCTCCCCCCCGCCCGCGGCACAGGAAGCGCGTGCGCGCGCGCAGCAGAGAGCACAGGCGCGCGCAGAGCACAGGCGCCGCCGAAGGGCATTAGGTAAACGCGGACAGACGTACCGAAGTCTCCGGCCGAGTGCGCCTCGGAGTAGGAGCCGTGGAAGTCGATCTGAGAGGGGAAAGGACCGTGTGAGTGCGGCGGAGGGTGGCCGGCCTCTGCCCCCCGCAGGCGGACGGCGGAGGCGGCGCAGCGCCCGGCCCGACTCCTGGAGCAACGTCCGACGTCACTGCCGCGTCCGTGGGCGGACGGGACGCCCGCAGCTGGGTGGTACCAGGAACGGCGCTGCGGACACGTGCGGCCCCGCAGACCACCGCCCCCCCCACACACACACACGCCGCCATCTCCCCTGCGCCCCCAGTCACGTGTCCGCATCGGTGAGGGACTGCGGACTCCCCAGAGCCGAGTCACCGGGGCAGGTCGCAATGTCACCTTGGGGATATGGCATTTCCATGCAGAAAATTAAGAAGAAAAATAAAACCTCAAACACGTGGAGCTATCCCTTTTAAACAGGACCAAGTAGCAGGTACGGGTATCGGATATGCAGGCTTGAATAAATCAGAAAACTTCTCGAATCTTGTTTGTAACTAAAGTGACACATCACATCCGTCGCAGTTTTGAGTGCCCCTGGGTTGCTCTGCCCGAGTGGACGAATGTCCCCGGAAGACAGAAAACCCAGCAAGCGCGCGCGGTGGGTGAGAAGTCTCATCTCCACGGGGCGTGGGAGACCGGAGCTTCCCTTTCCTGTGGAAGGGTCCGCGTGGGACCTCGGGCCGGGCGGGCCGCCCCCGGGAAGTCGCTGACCTGGGGCGCAGGTACTCACGGCCGCCATGGTCCTCAGGAAGCCCTGCTCGACGCCCAGGCTGTGCCAGCTGACGTCTGCCACCATGTGCGACGTGACCCCCAACAGGAAGGCGACCAGCTTCTCCGTGTCCTGCGCAGAAGCACACCGCGGTCGGGAGGGAGGGCTGCCCCACACGAGTCCCGTCGGGCGTCTGGGGGAGCGTGAGCCCATCTCCACCACGGACACTCAGGAGACGTCGGTGTCCACGCTGAAAGCCACAGGGCTCGGTGGCTTGTTTGGGGGGTGCTTTCAGATTGCTTATCAGTGCGGGGGCAAGAGGACCGAGTGCCACACCCCAAACCTTGAAGAGGAACTGCTTCATCAAGCGCTAACGAGCCACCTGCTGGCCCCACGGGCTGCTGCGTTTGGCAGTGACCGCCCGGGGTGAGTGACCCTGGGGGCGGTGGGGAGTGTTTACAAATGAGGTCAACGCAGGTGCAGCAGAAGGACTTTGATTTCTGGGGCGGGGGCGGGGGGCCCTGCCTACCTTCTCCCAGGGGCGGGGGTAGTTCTCCCGGATGTAGTGAACGCTCGCGTTGAGGAAGGGGGTCCAGTGGGTGCTCTCGGACACCTCGTGGAATCGCCCTGCGGGGACAGGCAGCACCCAGCAGTCTTTAAGGAGGAGACTCCCAGTCAGATCCTCCACCGGCCACCGATGCGCTGGCACCCCACAGCCCCCACCCCCAAGCCCTGCCGTTTCTCCCGTGGCGTCAAAGGACGCCCGGAAAGAGGAGCCGGGGACGGACGGGACCTGGAGCTGGCGCCCGGCACCTCTCCCGCCACCTGGGCCGCTGCAGGGGCTGGAAGGGGCTTCCAACCTGGGCCCTGGGGCTGCGGGGATTAAACGGTGTGGGTTTTAGATCCTGTGTCCGCCAGCCAGCCTCCCTCGCCGCGGGGAAGACACAGGCTCCACGCCTTCCAGGCCCTCGGGGGTGCCCTGCTTGTCTAAAGCACACCCGCCCCCAGCACCAGCCGGATGGGCCAGCGGGTCCGGGGCTCCCTGGTCCCCGCAGGAAGGCAGCGAAGACAACCAGCACCTCCTGCCCACCTCCACGCGCCCCCCACAACTCCTCACGAGCGTCATGCTCCCGGGGGCAACCTAGGGCGGAGCTCGGCGTCCGGGGCCCCCGGTTCTGATGTCTGCCTGCTGCCGCCGCTGAAGTGGCAGTGCCCCACCCCACCCCAAACCCTGGTGTTTGTGAGCATGATGTCCAGGTAGGCTGTAACAACTAAGACTTGGCTTTGCTGAGAGGTTCCCCAGAGACAGTGCTCACAACTCCTTGCACAGGACACAGTAGAACCCGGGATCGCCCGGGCAGACCCCCCCCACACACACCGCCTGACGCCCCTTCCCTGAGCAGCCAGCAGACTCACCGAGGCCCTCTGCTCCCCTGCGGAGGGCGGCCGGGGCCTCCCACCCACCCACCCAGGGCTGCTCTGCCTGTCGGAGCCCCTTGTCCTCGTCACCGTAATGACGGAGTCTCACTCGGCATCAGGGGAACCGACGAAACAGGAGCACAGAAACAAAGAAGGAAACTCGAAACGTCTGGGCCTAGGCGCTGGGTGCTCGCTGCACAGATGGTGCGGTGTGGGGGTGTGGGGGTGCTGCCCCCCCCCACCCCGCCTCACCTCTCTCGCAGAGGCCGGGGTAGAAGGCGTCGGGAAACACGGCTCCAGCCTGGTACGCGTCCCGGTGCTCCAGCAGCAGCTGGGGGCAGAAGCACAGAGGTCAGGGGGGCGCTGCGCCTTCCCGGTGGGACCATGGGGGCGGGGGGGGTGGAAGCAAACATAGAATTCTCGTGCGATCCGGCACTTCGCCCACAGCATGGGCTTCAGGAGGTCCTTTCACCACCGAACACGCAGGCCCCCCCCCCCCCCCGACCAGCCGAGGCGCGTGTTGGCTCCAGGCTGAGCCAACACTCCGTTCTGGGGAGGTGCTGGACCGCTCTTCCCCAGAATGTCAAGGTCACTGAAGGGGGGGGTCATGGAGGGGCCGTTTCAGGTTGGAGGGGGTCAGAGGGCGCGGGCGAGGAAGCACAACAGGGGACCCAGGCCCAGGAGCCCCGGAGGGCGTCCCAAGACCCCAGGACATGGGGAGGAGGCCGGGGCGGGAGGGCAGGGGCACTGCCTCGCTGACTTCCCGAGCGGGCGGTCCCCTCGCGCCATCCTGGCCTGCAGGCCTCACGCGGCGGCGTGTTCAAGGCCACGCCGACCACGCCGCTCGCCTGCGGCTCCAGGAGGATTGCTGTGCAGCGAGAGGACACGAAGGCAACCGGGACGAGCGGTCAGCCCCTCCAGGAAACTGGACAAAGGGCCTACGAGAACTACCTATTTCAACCGTGGGTTTTAATGACCTCAAAAAACAACAACAACAACATCATAGGGAATTGGCCACATCAACCATGGCACAGGTAGCTGTTGGAAACCATCCTGAGGGTCTTTGCTGACACGGAAAGGCACCTCTGATGCAGGAAAGGAAAGGATGAGTCGGTTGCGGAATAGTGCGGAGAGTGTGACCTTTAAGAGCTAGTCAGGGCAGGGGAGAGGCTGGAAATACGTGGAGCAGAGTGTCGACACCGGTTCCTGAGAGTTTCCCGGTCACCCTGCGTTATCAGTTTCGTAATCAGTCACCGCCTGCTGGCGGGCGGGCGGGGCGGGCCGGGCGGGGGCGAACCAGCCGGGTAGGCAGGGCTGCGGCCTCCTGGCCGACACCCCGCATTCCACCGGGTCCCCAGACGGGAGCAGCTCTGGCCTCTGGCGCCCACAGGGGAGGTCTGCGAGGCCCCCTCGGTCCCTGCAAACGGGCGCACTGGTTCCCAGCTGTGCGCACTCCTCTCGCGTCACTCGGGCCAGCGCAGGTCAGGGCCTTCACAGAACAGGCGCCTGTGGGCGTCTCGGTGAAAGGAGGCCCCGGAATCGAGCAAACTCAGACTGGGGGTGTGCAGAGCCGGCTGAGAGCTGCCGGCCCGTGGGCACCCTCGTGCCGCTCCCCGGGTGGCACCTCCCAGACCGGGAGCCGCTTCAGAGGGAGAAAACCCGCAAGGATCCCCACATAAGATTAAAAAAAATGACCCACCTTTGGAGTGGACTCGGGTGACACAATATTATAAAGGGCAGAGTCGCCCCGAACTGCCTCCGTGAGTCAGGAGGGGATGGGTGAGCGCCCGGGGCCCTTGGTGCTGGCCGGTGATGCCGCCGGCCCGGGCGTTGGGGCCGGGGCTGGGTCCGGCCGTCCCCGGCGTGGACAGTCAGCGAGGCCCAGGGGAGCCCACCCTCCCCCAGAAAACTGCTCGCAGCAGCGGGACCGAGCACCCACGTGGCGAACCCAGCGGACTCTGCCTTCTCCCATCTGCTGCCTGCTCTCTGTCGGCGCCAGGGCCGACGACAATCAAAGTCAAGGCTGCCTTTCCCGGGGGCAGGGACACTGCTGAGCGGGACCTTGGAACTGACGCTGGCAGTGGCCGGGGCCCCGGGCCTCCCGCTGTCCACCCTGGGCCAGCACGGCCGGCGGGGAACCCCGTGGCCCCACTCTGCCCGCAGAGGGAGCGAGGTGAGCCTCCCTCATCAAACATCAGGGCTTCGGAACCGCCCTCGCCCCGAAGCCTCACCGGGCCTCAGAACTAGAATGGTGGGCCGGGCCAGATGGGCTGGCTAGTTGCTGGCAGCGGAGGGCGAGCCCAGGTAACCAGCTCCGGACGGACGGACGGACAGACGGACGGACGACGGGAGGGACCAGAAGGCGCACCTGCTGGGACACCTCGCCGCCGCCGACGCCCCCTCTGCAGTGACACAGTCCTCGTGCCACACGCAGGCGAGAGTGGGGAACGCGAGACCGGGCTCAGGTGTGACCTCTCTTTGCAAAGGCAAAAAGACGGGCCACTCCTGACAACCCTCCCCCGTGTACTTGTCCGAACGAGGATGCACGGCTTGAAAATACTTCAGCGGCGTCACTGCACTGAGCTGGAGGAGGCGTCCGAGAACCCCTGTGGGGGACGCGCGCCCTGCACCCCGAAGTCCTTGTGGTTTGCCAGGAAGTGCACACGGCTCGGCCCGAGGGGTCCGCTCTCCGACGGGGAGCCAGGGCCCCGGGGGTGGGGGAGCCGCCAACCGTACCTCTCTGTAGTCGACGCCCCCGTCCTGCAGGTGCAGAAGCTCCAGGGCTCTGTGGCCTGAGGACAAACACACGGATGCGCCGAGTCCGGCCGTCAGCTGAAAACAGAGCCTCCCAGACACCGTTTTAAAAGGAGCACAAGCAGTTTCACGGCCGTGACTGTCACGGAAGTGGAGGGGTGGGACGTCAGCTTGTGCGCACCTGCCGTCTCCACCGGCCACAGCGAGTGACCACAGACTCACACGGTTGTACAACGCAGACATGTTAACACGCACGCCACAGCAACGTCACACGTCAGGCTCGCGTGATGACCTGCGGTGGCTGACGTGACCCAGCCCTCTGGCCCCCGCTCCCTCCCTCCCTCGGGTGTTCGCGTGGAGAGAAAACAGGCCCGGCCGCCAGGACTGGACCGGCCACTGTAGGGTCCGTTCCCTCACCTGTGAAATGAGGGGCTGGGCGCGTGGCCCTCCAAAGCCGCGGGGTCCTGGGCCCCCGCAGCGCTGGCCTGCCCGGGCCGGCGCCAGGGTCTACGTCCCCCTGACGGACCTGAGTTTTGCTCGTGTTCTGGGTCTGCTTAGCACCTCCCGGAGGTGGCGCAGCTACAGAATGTTGCTGTTTTCGTCCGCAAGACTCAGGTCCATCTGACGTTGTGTGGAATCCACACACCTGATTCCCCTGACCAGTGACGCCCGCTCTCGTTTGTGGAGACACACACACACACACACACGACTGATCCCCGCCACGTGAGAACCGCATCCCGGCGGCCCCGTCACCCACACCCAGGCACCTCTGTCCAAGTCCCCAAGCCCCTGGGCGCCGGCCACGTGTGCCTAGCTGTCCCCAACGCCCAGTGCTGTCACCCCGGGCACCTCGGGTGCCAGGGACCACGCAGGTGCCCTTGTTGCCTTGCCCTCCCTGAAGCTGGCCACCCAGCCCAGGGGACCTGCTCCTGTGGCTGCACACGGCCCTCCCCATGTCCCCGGGAAACATGAGATTCCTCATGGCCCCTCGTCCACCCCTCACCGCCCCCTTCCCCTCCACAGCTCTGCTGCACATGCCTCTAGTGACCCGGCTGGTCACCCTGCCCCACCCGCGGGAGCCCCAGGACCCTCCCTCCCTCCAGCTTCCTGCCCCTCCGCTGAGCCACCCCCGACCATCCCAGGTCCTGGCCACCTCCTCTCTGCTCCCGGTGGCCAGCACCACGCTGGGACGGACTTCCCAGCCTCTCCGACGGATGCGGTGCCACGAAGGCCACGAAGGCCACGGCCGGCGGCCAGCACTCACCGATCTCTATGTGTGTGGAAATGCCGCACGGCGAGCCGCCGGGGCAGAGCGCACCCAGCGCGACGAGCAGGCCAGGCCAGAACCTGCAAGCAGACGGGGCGTCCTCATCCACCGCTCCCTGGTGCTGGGACGGCCGGCGGGCAGCCGCACGCAGCGCGGGACTCGGCCCAGACCCTCCGGCTGCCCTGCGGGCGCATCGTGGATGGAAAGCCCAGCCTGGCCGCGGAGCAACAACGCCTGCTGGTGCAGTCAGCTGTTTGCCGTCTCACTCTGCGGGAGCAGCCAACAGGCTGCACCTGGGGGAGGGAAGGGGCGGCCCCAACGCTAACTGCCTCCAGGTGGGGCGCGGCCGCCCAGGCCCGGGCTCCCTCTGGTCCCTAACGCAGAGTCGTGTGGGACCGCAAAGCCGCCTCTGAGGAGTCTCCGCGCTCGGAAGAGCTGGTGTCCCTGTCTGCCCTGGGAGTCACTGGACTGGCCACCTCACCTTCGGAGGGCAGACGGCCCGTGCATCCTGTCCCCGCTGCCCGCCCTGGGCTCTGCAGCTGCCCGGTCGGTGCTGCGCCTGCCGTGCGGGCCAGCTGTTCTGACGAGCACCCGGAGCGGCTGCTCGCTCCGTGTGTGGCAACAGATACCGACACTGGCTGGTTACACAAGAGCGGCCACTCCTGCTCTCTGTGCCGCCTGTCCCCGCAGCTGCCCCCGAGCCGGTGGCAGGGCCAGATTCCTGCAGCCCGAGCCCAGATGCCCGTCCCACTGGGGGCGGGGGCACGGGCAGAGGCAGGGCCGAGAGACAAGGGCTCAGAGCATCCCGGGCTCGGCGTGCGCCCGTCGTGAACCAGCCGGTGCACACAGCACCTGGCCTGTGGGAGAGGCAGGGGAACTCTTCAAGGGGCTGATGGCGAACTAGAGGCTCGGGCGAGCTGCACAACAGAAGCAGGAAGGGGGGGCTTCAGAGGGGAGGAGAGGGTCCCGGGCCCCAGGCGAGCCAAGTGGGAGAGCAGACTGGGGGCAGGGGGACAGATCTGAGACCCTTAGGTGTCTGCCAAGTTCCCTCTGTAACCTTAACTCCGCCGCCGGCAAGGCCCGCCGCACGGGAACCACGGCTCTGCCCAAGCTGGGGCGTCGGGCCCAGCCGCGTCGAGGCCGGGAGCCAGAAGCCAGTTGTTTTGTCCGGCTAGTAGGGCGTTTTACGGACTCAGGCCAACTTTCTTTGAATGGAAGAATTCACACAGAAATTTAGATTTCCAGCTCTTTAAGAACAAACAAACAAGAACTGGCCTCGTGGGCTGACCCCCCGTGTGAAACGACAGTCAGCGGGAGCGACCCCCGTCCGTGCAGGGAGGGGGGCTCCACACGACCTCTCCAGCCCAGGGCAGGCCCGGTGCCAGTGCCGGCTCCCTGGCTGCCCGCCGCTCCAAGAGCACGGCCTCTGCCGACTGGACTCGGACAGACGGCCACTGGTTGGTGGCCTACCTTCAACCCAACCCGTGGCTTGACCTGGGCCAGCTGGCGTGGCCTTAGACCAGTGTCCTGATTGCGTGTGGCAACTGCCCAAGGGCACCCAGCTCGACGACCCGATTCGGGGTTTGGATCCAGGTCGCTCTGTCGCCAAAGACTGTCACGTAACAGGGGCGCCCTGCTCCCCCCGATGGGGAGAACACCCACAACACACCCCCTGAAGGCACACCCAGGCCACCTCCACAGCTCTGGGCTGGTGCCCACATCCTCCGAGCGCAGAGCTGCGGGGGCCCAGGAGCGCGATCCGCCCTTGACAGCTGGGCTCACACCGCGCATCCTCGGGCCCAGGGCACATCGCGCATCCTCGGGCCCAGGGCACATCGCGCATCCTCGGGCCCAGCGCACGTCGCGCATCGCAGGCGCGGGGGAGATGCGGCTTCCAAGGCGGATGGGACAGTGAGCGGCTCTCCCGCAGCGGGCCGACGGGGTGGGGGCTGCTCAGGAACAGCCAGACACGCGAGCACCCCCAGGAGGAAAGTGACACGGCCCCCAAGCATGCGCGCCCCAACCCTAGCCTTCCCAGCGCCCGCGGGGACCCGAGCAGGATGCGCTGGGGCAAAGTCCAGCCCGGCGCGGCCTAGCGGAGCACGGGAGAGGGCGCTGCTCGGCGCCGCCACCTGCCGCCGCGGCCCCGCGCGCTCCCGACCTTTGCTTCTCCCGGCGCGCGCGCGCTTGCCTGCTTCCTGCCGCCGGGGCCATGGCGACCTGCTTGCGGCTGCAGCGCTGCGGGGCCCCGCGCCTCCGACCCGCGCTCCCGGGCCGCGGCCTCCGCCCCCGCGCCGGATGCTGGGCACCGCGGCCGGCCGAGCTCCGTGCCTACGCCCCAGGCCTGAGCGGCCTCCCTGAGGCGTTGCTGCGCACCGACAGCTTCGTGGGCGGCCGCTGGCTCCCGGCCGCCGCCACCTTCCCCGTGCTCGACCCCGCCAGCGGCGCCGAGCTGGGCCGGGTGGCCGACTGCGGGGCGCCCGAGGCCCGCGCCGCAGTGCGCGCCGCCTACGATGCTTTCTGCAGCTGGAGGGGCTTCTCGGCCAAGGTGAGTGAACCCCGCGAGCCTGGCCGCCCCGGTGAAACCGGCCCGTCCGGGGGTGGCGTGGTGCACCACCAGGAGCCACATGAACAAGAAACGAGAGTCTGGACGAATAAGTTTGGGGCCCGGGCCTCGCACCAAGCACTGTGCCGGGCGCTGGGGACACGGCCCGGGACGGGAGGCTGAACACGTCAGCGCGGGTGCAGGGAGTGTCAGCGGCTCCTAGGGACACCTGCGGTGGTCCCAGGACGCAGGGAGGGCAGGGAGGCCACGCAGGACGCTGCACCGGGGAGATGGGATGAGCCCCGAGCTACAGCCAGGCCACGGGCACTGGGTGGGCTTCAGAAAGCTTTGTGGGAGTGAGGGGGGCTTCTGGGACCGCTGGGCAGGTTTCCACGGGAACAGGGAAATGCTGCTGTGCACTGACCTGGAGACGCTGGGGAACTGGGGGCGGGGTGCGCGACGGGGAGAGAAGGGAAGGAAGAAAACCGGGCTTTCTTCCTTTTCCACTTACCACCTGGCGCCTGGAGCCAGCCCGTGGAAGCATCTCCTGCCTGCCCCTCAGCCTCCCGCAAGGAGGCCGGGGTGCAGGGAGTCCGCGCTCACCCACCCACGGGTGTGCCCTGAGGGGCGGTGGGCCGCCTGCAAGCGGGTGCTGCCCTTGCGGTGCCCCACCCGGGCGGAGGGGCACAGGGGGCTCTCGCCCGCACACCACGTACCTGATATCCAAGCAGGGAGGTGGCAAGCAGTGGGTGCCCGGTGGGCTGAGAGGCTCGGGCAGAGGGAAGGGCAGGGCGCAGAGCGGAGCGAGGGCAGGCCGGCTCCGTGGCTGCCGGGGGGCCCCAGGCGGGCAGCTCGCCCAGCAGACACACTTCTCGGGTCTGGGGGCCGCCCGTCCGAGCTCCAGGTGTGGGCAGGGCTGGGCTCCCCGAGGCTCTCCCCTCGGCCCTCCCCTCGGCCTGGACGTCTCCTCCTGCGTCCGGGGTCGGGCCCCCGGTGTCGTCTTGTCGAGACGCCTGCTCTCCCTTCTCCTCCTCGTGTGCGCACGTGCCGCCCGGTCCTGAGTCCCAGCTCCCGTGCCACCTCTGCCACCAAGCCCACCGCCCCCCTCAGCCCCCAGCCCTGTCTCCAGGCCTTGCCTCCCCACACACATGCCTCTGCTCTGCCTCCCATCAGCTCAGGTCGCGCCTCGCCCCCTGGAGGAGGGAGCCCCTGGAGGAGCTCAGGGACCAAGGCAGCTGACTCTGGCCGACCTCACCAGCGAGTGCCATGTCTGCTGCCACAGACTTGGTGACCTACTGTGACACCAGGGCACAAGCTGGTGGTCCCACAGCTCTGGGGGGGTCACGCTTCCTCGGGAGGCTCACAGGGTGCCCTTGCCTTTTCCGGTGACGAGATGCCATGCCCGGTCCTGGGCTGGAGCCCCACAGTGCTCCCACCTCTCTCACAGCCACCCAGGGGTGACACTGGGCCCCCTGGACGACTGAGGGTTGTCTCCTCGGGCATGACCCTTAACTTAGCCCACCTGTGAAGTCCCTTCTCCCTGTGAAGTAACCTACTCCCAGGTTCAGGGGCTGAGCATGGGCACGGGGGGGGGCAGGCGAACACGGGAGGCAGGCGAACACGGGAGGCAGGCGAGCACGGGGGGCAGGCGAGCACGGGGGGCAGGCGAGCACGGGGGGCAGGCGAGCACGAGAGGCAGGCGAGCACGGGAGGCAGGCGAGCACGGGAGGCAGGCGAGCACGAGAGGCAGGCGAGCACGGGGGGCAGGTGAGCACGAGAGGCAGGCGAGCACGGCGGGGGGCAGGCGAGCACGAGAGGCAGGCGAGCACGGGGGCCAGGTGAGCACGAGAGGCAGGTGAGCACGGGGGGCAGGCAAGCACGGGGAGGCAGGTGAGCACGGGGGCAGGTGAGCATGGGATGCAGGTGAGCACAGGAGGCGGGAAGTCACTGGGCCTACCACTGTGGAGCCTGGCACCTGTGATGTTCGGTCCTTCTGGGGCCTGGAGAGGGAGGCGCTGCACAGGGTGGGTGGGGAGACAGGCCGAGGGGCTCCTGTCCTCACGTCGGTCCTGCTGGGGGGACACTGTTTGAAGAGAACTCGAGGCCTCTTCTCTGGGGGGCAGAGATGTAGAAGCCTTCACCTCACCAGCACACAGACGGTCCCACGGCCTGTCATCCAGCATGAGGAGGGTCAGGCCTCTGCTCACCTGTGCAGGGTCACAGCCGGGGTCACAGCCTCACACCTGCTGCCCCTGGCGGGCGGCCCAGCGAGGGGGCTCTGGTCCAGCGACACCGCCCTGTCCCGGTGCCGGCGGCCGGGCTCCGAGGCACCTGTGTCTCCAAAGGACTCCCTGAGGCCTGGGTGGCCTGGGCGCGCTGGGCCCCCTTTTTCCTTTTTTAATGGTTTTATATAAATGAATTCCGTTTTTTAAAGATTTTATTATTTTTAGAGAGAGAAGGGAAGGAGAGAATCATCAGTGTGTGGTTGCCTCTTGGGAACCCCCTACCTGGCCTGCAACCCAGGCGTGTGCCCTGACTGGGAATCGAACCAGCGACCCTCTGGTTCACAGGCCGCGCTCAGTCCACTGAGCCACACCAGCCGGGGCTGGAAGCATTTTTTAATTGTGGCAAATACACATGACAAAATTGACCACTTTAGCCACTTGTAAGCGGACAACTCGGCGGCAGTGGGCACACCTGCAGTGTTGTGCCCGGGCTCTCTTCCCAAGTGTGCGAACCCCTCCTCACGCCGCACACGCCCGAGCCGGGGACGGAGCCACCCTGCGGGGGAGGTGTCGGAACGAGGAACCGGACGTGGGGACGTTGTGCTGACACCGAGAAGCCGGCCACAGAGGACAGAGGCCGCAGGAGTCCCCTCGCCTGAGTCCCTGGAGGAGTCACAGTCCCTCCCAGGGACAGAAAGGGCTGGGGGTGGGCAGGGCTGGGGGTGGGCAGGGCTGGGGTGGGGGGGGCCCGCGTCCCAGCTCTGCGAGACAGGAGGTGCCGGAGGCCGACGGCGGGGTGGTGGCCCGGCAGTGCGACTGCGCTGGAGCCCCCTGACCGCGCCCCTAAAAGCGGTTCAGAGGGTGAGTCTTGTGTGTGTGTTCATTCCTCGATCGAAAATAACAATGAAAGTTAAAGTTACTCACATCTGCCCTAAACGAGGACAGTCGTGTCCACAAACGCCCTCCCTGACCACCCGCGACCGCCCTGGGGGTGCTCCTGAGGCCACACCTGTCCCTGCTTCTCCAGGGAAGGTCCGCGCTGCCGGATGAGCCCGGCTGAGACTCCAGGAGCTGGCGGTCGCGTGAGTGTCTCCCGTGCACCTGGGGCTCCACCAGCTCCCCCCTCCCTGTCTCTCTTGCAGGAGAGGAGCTCAGTGCTTCGGAAGTGGTACGACTTAATGATACACAACAAGGACGACCTTGCCAAGATCATCACCGCCGAAAGCGTGAGTCCGGGGCCCTGGCGCTGGCCTCAGAAACTGCCGGGGACTGTCAGACTGCGGCTCGGAGACCCGCTGACCTCCGTGCAGCTTTGTGGCTAAAACACGTGAATTCCTTGCCTAGGGATTAGCTGTCGATGAGTTGTGCCAGGCACTCACTCTGCTAAAACAAAACCTGTCCGTCCTGATCCGCTCTGTGCGTGTGCGGGAAGTGGGTGGCCGCGGCTCGCTCCCCTTCCCCTTCTGCTCCACGCGGCCGTCCTGGCTGCTCTCCCTGCTGCTTTGCGCATTTAAAGACGGACTGTGGTTTCGCTGTAGCCGTGACCGATTCGCCGCGGTCACCCCGGGCGATGAGGAGGTGCCCGGAGGAGAGCACAGCCGGCAGGCGCGGCTCTGCCCCTGACGTGCGCGTCCCGAGAGTGCGGCGCCGGCTGTGCTCCGAGCTCCTCCGGCCGCCCTCCGGTTCTGCGCGTTTCTGGGCTCCCCGGGGGTCTGCGGTGGGAGCCTCTCCCACTCCGCTCGCTGGCTCCCAGCAGCCTCCGCTCCTGGGCGGCGGTGGGTGACGGCGCCCGCTCTGCCCGATCCAGGGGAAGCCGCTGAAGGAGGCGCAGGGGGAGGTCCTGTACTCGGCGCACTTCCTGGAGTGGTTCTCGGAGGAAGCCCGCCGCGTGTACGGCGACGTCATTGGCACCCCCGCCAAGGAGAAGCGGGCCCTGGTGCTCAAGCAGCCGCTGGGCGTGGCCGCCGTCATCACGCCGGTACGTGGCTGGCGGGGTCGGCGGGGCCTCGGGGCGAGGCCGCTGGCCCTGGTCGCGGTGTCCGTTTCCTCTGCGGGATGCGGAGGTGCGTCCCCTGCTGCGCCGTGACCCGGAGGCCTGGGGGTGGCGGGGGTCACGTTCCCGAGTGCCCGCGAGTGGGTCCGCCCCAGGGCTCTTCCCGCTGGGCATGCGGGCTCCTGCTTGGCACTGCCGAGCACGTCTGGGAAGGGCTTCTGCTATTTGCCAGTTCTCAAAGAAGACTTCAGCTAGGACACATGTGCTCTGTGTCACAGTTCTGAGAAAGTTCCATGCACGACGTAGGTCCGTGTGTGTGCCAGGCCTGCAGTGGCCGGGGTCCAGCTTCCCCTCGGCCACGGCCCCTCAGACCCACCCCCGCCAGGCCCTGCCTGAGCTTCCTCCCGGGGCCACCGACCCCCCTCCGCCCCCGGGGCCCCGAGCTTCCCCGCCCAGCACAGCGGCGCAGCAGCCCCCCCGCCGCCCAGACCGCCCGGGTTCCACTCCGAGCTCACTGCTTCCGAGCTGTGTGGCCGTGGGCGAGTCCCGTCACTGCTCTGCCTCAGTTTCCCCAAGCCCGCAAGTGAGGATCACAATACCAACCTCACGGGTTGTGTAGGGCCTTAATTAGCTCTGACTCAACAGTGCCTGCCCCAGAGTAAGCGAGTGTCTGTCACAGTGAGAGGAAACACCGCCAGCAGAGGCGTGTGCACGTCTGCAGGTGTGTCCACAGAGGCGGGAAGGAATGCGTCACCGGCCCCTTTCAGGATCACCTCTGCTGCTGCTTTGTGCCAAAGGGTTGGGAAACCACGGCCCCCAGGCCACCCCCGCCTGCTGCCCGTGTTTGTCAGTAACGCTTCACGGGGACACGGCCACGCGCAAACTTCCACATCACAACCACGGAGTCGAGCGTTTGGGTTGGCACCTGTGCGTGCCACAAAGCCGGGAATATTGATAAGTCTGCCGACGCCTGGTGTAGATAAGCGTCCTGTTTTAAATTCCGAAACCGGCCCCCGTCTGCCGGAGTCTGTCCCCAGCCCCTCAGGCTGACAGTGTGGGCGCTCAGGGCTCACCTGCGAGGAGGCGGGAGCGGCCCCCTCCGTCCCCTGTGCATGGGCCGGCCGACCCCGGCGTGCTCACCCCCCCCCCCCCGCCGCCCCCTCTGTCCGCAGTGGAACTTCCCCAGCGCCATGATCACCCGCAAGGTGGGGGCCGCCCTGGCAGCCGGCTGCACCGTCGTGGTGAAACCCGCCGAGGACACGCCCTTCTCAGCCCTGGCCCTGGCCGAGGTGAGTCCCCCCCCCCCACCCCCGCCCCCGCCCTGTGCACACGGGGACGTTGGCCCGGGAGAGAGAAGCCGTGGGGAGCCCCCACCTCGCCCGCATCTCGGGCCGCTGTGCTGGGTCAGGGGCTGCCCTCCTAGACACAACGGTGGGGGGGCTTCCTGACACCTGGGGGTGGTCCGTGCTTTGAACCGCCCTGAAGTGATGTCCGTCCGTCCGTCCTTCTTACCACTCGGGCAGTCCTCGTGAGGTGACCACGCCGGGCATTTGTCACGTTTGGGGCCTCTCCCTTCTCCGGGTCGGCCTGCGGCCAGGTCTCACCGTTCTTCCCCGTCACTGGGAGGAAAACCCAAACCTCCCACGGTGGCCCTCAGGCCCGAACAGGTGCTACCTGCCCGGCCTCGCCCCCCGCTGCCCTTCCCTGCCACTGCAGAGCCCTTTCCGCGTCTGCTCCGGCCGCCTCGGACCTCGCCGGGCTCGGCCCGACTCCCCGTGGCCGGAAGGGCTTCCCGACACGTGAAAACCGGGACCTGACTGCCGCGGCTGTGACCCCGCGTCCCAGACCCGGCTCCCCGCTTGCTGGGCACCCCGCGGCCTGGCCGACCCCTCGGGAAGGGCGCACGGGACAGCAGCCCGGTGCTGCGGTGCCGACCGCAGACCCAGCCCGTGGTGCTCGCGCATCCCCGCTGCGCACGGAAACCCCGTTCCCGTTTTCTCTACTGGGTGGCGGTCAGTGTGCGCGCTGCTTCCCCGTGACGGAAGGCGTCGCTCTTGCGTCTGTGCGTCAGCAGGTTCCTTACGTCAGCGGGGTCCTCCCGCCTGCGTCCCCCAGGGGGCTCCCCGCGTATCTGCACAGCCGGGCCACGTGCGGAGCGTGCGCGTGTGCGCTGCCCGTAGGCCGCGCCCCCCGGGCGTGCGGCGCGCTCGCCCAGCCCGGGGGCACCCGGAAGGCGTCCAGGGCCCGTCCCCCGCACCCCGTGTGCCCCCGTCTCCAGGGACTCTGCTGTGCGTGTGTCTGTCCGTGTGTCGGGTCAATCCCCGCCACGTCCCCTGCGACTTCCCCACCTCCCCCCCGTCTTCCAGGTTCCCTGGTCGCTTCTGTGCTGCTCCGGTGCCGTGACCTGCCGTGCCGACGTGGGCTCCCATTCCCTCGTGCGCGCTCTCCGTTTCTGGGAAGGAGCTCTGCTCGTCCCCGAGGCCCCGCACCTCGTTTCTGAATGTGCCCTCATTCCGATTCGGGGTGTCCTTGCGATCTTGGCGCAGGCTCCTTATCGCCTCTTACCGCGGGGGGGCGCAGTTTCGGGCGGTGTGTGGGCTTGTCTTGCTTCTGCTTCGGTTGCCCGTGAGGACGCTTTTCTGCTCTCTATCCTTTTTTCTTTTCTTTTTTTAAGTAACATAATGGGCTTTATTTATTTATACACACAATTTGTTTCTACCTTAAAGCTTTTAGGAGTGAATCTTTTTTCTCTTTGAATGATCGTGTCCGGGATTCGACGTCCACGTTCTTCTGAGCGAGCAGCCTATTGCCCCGGGAAGCCCGTTTTCCCAGCCTCCTCGGGAGGCCGGGGCGGAGCGCGTCTCGCCCGACTCCCCGCGGCGCAGGGTCCCTCGCGCCCTCCTGCTGCTGCTGCCCCGCAGCTCCCGCCGTGGCTCCCAGGCGGCCCGCCCCGCGCTCCCTGAGCACCTGCGGGCTGGCGGGGCCCTGTTATCAGACCTGTCGACAGGCTGCTGGCGGCTCGGCCGTCAGTGGCATGTCCCCACCCACGTGGAATTTGCAGTTTGTGGAGACTCCGTGTCGCCAGCGTGCAGTGGCGTGTCCGCCCACCGACAGCGCGGTCAGGTGGCCGACGCCTGGGGCTGCCCACCTGGACCGGCAGTGGGCTCCCCGGCACCCGCCTCCTATGGAGCCAGTGTTGTGGCCGGACCGGCCCCCGGGGCTTCTCACTGTCGTTGCAAGACGCCCTGAGCGGTGACCGTCAGGCCCGGGAACCCCAAAGACGAGGCCCGTGGCTCACAGGTGCCCGAGGCCACACCGCCAGGTCTGGGGGGCTCGCTCTGTGTTGGTGGGTTTAGAGCGTCACGGCAGGAAGGCGACACGAGGGGCCCCGCGGCCGGCTCCCGCGTCAGCCAGGGCCGCGACCAGGAAGGGGCGCTCCCGGGGCGGGGGCGGGGGCGGCCCCGTCTGGCCCCGTCTGGTCCCGTCTGGTCCCGGCCTGGCAGGTGCTTATCTGAGAGGCCTGAGCGGGGGCCGGCCGGCGGCACAGGCGCCAGAGTCACACTGAAAACAGCCCTCGGGCGCCTCCCCGCCCTCCGTCCGGCTGGCGTGGTCTCGGGTGTATGGGGCGGCCCCCCGCCGCTCCCCTTCTTTGCAAGGGGTCAGAGGGACCGAGAGACGGGGCTGCTGCCCCGGCTTCCCAGGGTCCCGGTCAGATCCCTGCGGGGCGCCCCCTGCTGGCGGGACTCGGAGTTCACGGAGCTCGGGCCACACCTGGCCCAGAGAAGGCGGTTGGTGGTGTCCGGGCGGGCAGTCGGCTGGCTCTTCCCCGAGAGGCCGCCCCGAGCCACCGCCGCACCGGGCCACCCGCACACAGCGGGGCTCAGTGACTGCTCTGGCCACGATGTCCCCTTGACCCCACACGCGAACCAGAACCTGATTCCTGAACTCTCCTCCGATTTTTCTTAGGACACAAGACCAAGGTTGTCTTTTTTCCTTCTAACAGCGTTGCACGGAAACGTGCACCCTAAGGAGTTCTACCTGAGTGCCGTGCAGCGACCCGGCGGTACCGCCTTGGCACTAGCAAGAACCTCATTTCAGGCCCACGTGTGCCCTGCCCTGCCCCCACCCCCACCCCCGAGGTCAGCTCCGTCCCCCTCCCTCCCTGGATTAACGCAGCGATCTGCTTCTCTCTCCCGTCTCCTCCTCTGCCGCTGCGTGCCCGCCGCTTCTGGCCACAGCTCGCCCTCCGGGCCGGCGTCCCTCCCGGGGTCTACAACGTGGTGCCCTGTTCCCGGCAGAAGGCCAAGGTCGTGGGGGAGGCGCTTTGCACTGACCCGCTCGTGTCCAAAATTTCCTTCACCGGCTCCACGGCCACCGGAAAGGTACGTGACTCAAGGACACAGGCCATTCCGGCATTTTCTCTACGGAGCGTCTAACGGAGGGAGCTCTCTGCCCTTGGCCACCCCGCAGGGAGGGGCCCATGGAGTGAGACGGCTCCGTCAGGCACGGGTGGGGCCCGGTCACCGCCGGAGAGAGGCTGGGTGTGGGCGGTCTTCACACGGGCGGGCAAGCACTGGTTCCCAGCTGACAGAAACCTCCCGGGGGGCCGGGCGGCGGGGGTTCCCTTAGCGGGTGTGCGGGGGGTGCCTGGGGGGCGAGCACCCGCCTCAGCTCTGGAACGCAGGGTTCCTTCACGAGCTGGAGTCGACGGTTCCTGAAACCCATGGGGGGGCGTTGGAATGGGCACCTCAGCACTGAACGAAAACTGTGCATAGTGTAAGGGTACCTACAGAAACAAAAAGGAGTTTTTAGATGTTTGGAAGAGCGAAAAGGCGAGAGGACCTTACACACCTCCTCAGAGGGTCCACACGCCCCTGGGAAGTGTCTGGAGGAAAGAAGGGCCTGGCTGGGAGCGGGCGTCGTGAACTTGGCCGTCGGAGGCGCAGACGGTCCCAGGATGCGGGGCGAAGGCCAGCAACTCCCGGCGTCGGCTCACTTTGCTCAGCACACGGCCACTGTCTGACGGCCCCGGCACAGGGCCGGCCACCTTCCCGCCCAGCCCCGCCCCGCTCGCCTCTTCAACCAGTGACCCAGGGCAGGGCCGCCGACAAGGGGGCACTGCCAGGAGGCCAGTGGCCCCCCAAGCCGGTCTCTGCGGAGCGCCGGTGGCCGATGCCCGACCTCAGACACAGCCTGGCCTCCACCAGGGCGCCCGCCAGCCTGCTCTGGAGCTGCTGGCCCGGCCCTGCCCCGTCTGGGGACCACCCTCTGAGGCCAGGGAGGGGACGGCAGCGGTGGGTCTGGCACAGAAGACCTCATCTCTTCCCACACGGAGAGCGGATCCTCCGACCAGAGGACAAGACTCGCAGGCTGACCGGGGACAGGTGGCCCAGCAGAGGGGCGAGCTGGGCCGTCCAGCCCTCCCCCGGGCTTTCGGAGCTGAGGCCCTGAGGTCCGCAGCAGGGACCAGAGTGGACAGCACACCTCACGAGGGGACAGCCGTGCAGGCGGCCGACACCAGGCTCAGCGCCCGTCCGGGGCGCCGAAGGGAAGGACACACGGGTGGAGGGAGCACACGGCGAGACGGCTCTGTGCCCGAGGTCGGGTGGAGGCAGGGGACCCGCCGCACGCGAAGGCAGGAGGACCGACGGCCCGGCAGAGCGCATTTCCTGAGAACCAGAACAAACGCCAACCTCGAGTCACTGAAGTGGCTCAGCCTCGGGACATCCCACCAAGAAGACCGCTGCTGTCTCACTGCTGGGACGCCCCCTCCCCGCCCCCCGGGCACCCAGAGCTGCGGCCCAGAACCCTCCTTCCAGCCAGGCTGAACTTTGACCAAGAGGAGGGGCCCTATGGCGAACCCCGTGCCCTGGGTGCGCACCACTGGGGGCCGTTCCTCGCGTGACCTTGGGCTGTGACTACTGCCCTCTGCTGGGCCGTGCAGGGCGCCGTCCCTCCTGTGGCTGTGGCCCCACACGGCTGTCCTAGACCACACACACCTGTGACCGGGGACTCAAAGCCAGAGAGCCCCCCCGTGGGCGCCGAGCGGCTCCACTTGCTCAAGGTCAGCCCGAGGGGATGGCCGCAGCTCGACGTGCGGTGTGAGGCCTCACAGACGCCCTGCACCCCCGCCAGGGAGCACCGAACAAGGGGGGACTGCGGAGCGGCCGCGCGGGGGCCCCGGTGCAGCCGAGGGCCGGCGGGTGCTGGGGAGGCGCGTGCCACAGGCGGGAGCGTCCGCGCCACATTGCAGGAGGTGTGCCGTGGTGTGACCACGTTAGCACACCCCAGGCACCTGGCTAACAGGGGAGATGAGGCAGGTGACCAAGTGCGGAACCCCACCATCCTGGTTTCTTCGAAGACACAGAGGGACCTTATCACGGTGAGCTGCGGGCCCCGGAGTTCCGGGCGGTTCCATCTCATCTCGTCGTCGTGGTACTGGAGCTGCCGCGCTGGTCTTTCTCAACAGGCAGTGCACTCACGTGGGTGGGTCAAAAACCCGGACGACGCACACGTGCACACTGGGAAGTCTCAGCCCCCGCCCCGTCCCTACTCCCTCCCACGTACAACCAAGGAATTCCTTGTGCGTGTCTTAAGTGTTTTATTTGTTTGTTTTTAGAGAGCAGGGAGGAAGAGACAGACCAGTGTGTGGTTGCCTCTCGTGTGCCCTGACCTGGGGACCTGGCCCACAACCCAGGCCTGTGCCCTGACTGGGAATCGAACCGGCGACCTTTCAGTCCGCAGGCCGGTGCTCAGTCCACTCAGCCACAGTAGCCAGGGCAGGAACTACTTTTAGTTCCTGGTTACCTTCCAGGGTGCCTTTGCCACCTACAAGCGAGTGGGGGCCGATATTCTTGCCTCCCCCTTTTCCCGTGCGAAGCGGCGTCACCCCTGCCCTGCGGTGCACTGGCGCCCTTCGCCGCCGGGTCAGTGTCGGGGACGGCCGGCGGCTGGCCCCTCACGCACGGCGCCCCTCTGCTCCGAGCGCAGGTGCTGCTGCACTACGCAGCCGACTCCGTGAAGAGGGTGTCCATGGAGCTGGGCGGCCTCGCCCCCTTCATCGTGTTCGACAGCGCCGACGTGCACCAGGCCGTGGCGGGGGCCATGGCCTCCAAGTTCAGGAACTCCGGGCAGGTGAGTCCGCAGCGCGCTCCAGGGTCCTGCGTGCGTGTCTGCCCTGCGCAGGTCCCACCACCCGGCTCGTCTCAAAGGAACCACCTTGGGGCTCCTCCCACGGCCCCTTCTTGCTCCTCCCACTTCCCCAGCAAGTCCGTGGCAGGCGCCCTCTCTTCGCCGGGGGCGACGCAGACGTGGGGGCCCCCGGGAGAACAAGGCGCAGTCTCTGCTTCAAGGGACTCCCTGGACGGCAGCGGCCTTTCGTCCAATGTCCTCTCCCCCCGCTGCCCTCTGAACCCGGGGACGGTCGGTCCGCCCCACGGGGCTTCTGGGGACTGAGCCGCTGGTCACCGCCTGGACTCACAACAGCGGGCAGCTGGGCTCTGAACCCCCAGCCTGTGGGGGAGGAGGGGAGGAGTTGAGGTGGCGTCGGGAAGGACTCCAGACCCCGCTGCCTCGGTCTGCCGCTTCCTGGGATGGAGGGCAGGACCGGCCGCCAGGGCCGGGGGCGCCCCGGGTGTCCGGCTGCCACAGGGGGAGAGGCAGCCGGAGCTCCCTCGCCTGTACAGGAACCCGGGAGTGTCAGAGCTGGGGGGCACTTCCGAGTCAGCTGGTCCAACCCGGCACGTCACGGACAGGGACGTGTGAGACTCTAGGAAGACGGACCGGCTGGAGGCCCCACACCCTCGGGTCACAACCCTCTGCTACAGAGCTGGGACCGTGAACAGGGGTCCCGTCTCCCCCTCTATCCCAGCGGTCGCTGGGCGCTGGTTCCTTACAGAGTATTCACACGCACTTTGTCTTAAAGCACTATTGACAAGCAGTTTTAAGTGCATTCCAGAAACAACGCAAACTCCTAAACGTTACACTGTGACCGAAAGGCAACATGTGTAACCTTCTGCTGGACAGTTTTTATCCTTATCTGGCCCTCGGCACTGGGTTTCCCTGAACAGCCTGGTGGTTTGAAAGCAGGATGTTTATTTTTTTTTTTTAAAGATTTTATTTATTTTTAGAGAGAGGAGGGAGAGAGAGAGAGAAACATCAATGTGTGGTTGCTGGGGGTCATAGCCTGCAACCCAGGCATGTACCCTGACTGGGAATCGAACCTGCGACACTTTGGTTCGCAGCCCGAGCTCAATCCACTGAGCTACGCCAGCCAGGGCTAGCTTCTCCGCGTGTTGCTCTCAGCCAATCAAAATGCACTGGACACAGACTTACTGTGACTAAGAAAAGACACAAGAAGAAAGTTCACCAGTGGTAACTACAGTTCCTGTAACATGGTCGTGCAATCGGAAAGCGTTAGGTCTAATAGGAAACAAGCCAGGGTCCTTCCGGCAGCTCAGCTGGCGTGGAGAAGGGTCCGGCGTCCGGCTGCACGGCGTCAGGTCAGCCAGCCGCGGGAGGTCAGGCTCAGGGGCGCACGTGGCCTCGGACCCCTCCCTCTGGCCCGTCACTGCAGCACCACTGCCCTCGGGGTGGTCTTCAGGGTGCGTCTCCCCGTCTGTTTCACAAAGGCCTGCTCAAGCCACTTGAAAGAGGTCAGGGTAGCTGCCCTTTCATCTTTACGCATAGATGTTTGTCCACAGACGTTTGTCCTCCACGTCAGCCCCGGAGCTGCCAGGGGCGGAGGGGGCTGTGCACCTGCCCCGGGGCTGGCCTCGGGCAGGGGGCCCCACGGAGGGGGGACAGTGGGGGCCCCGGGGGCCTGGGGAGGCGTCTGCACGCAGAGTGAGCAGCAGCCACGGGCACACTGGGCCCGCAGCCGCCCACACTCCGTTCACCGAGCCTGCCCTCCTCCGCCCAGACCTGTGTCTGCTCGAACCGCTTCCTGGTGCAGCGGGGCATCCATGACGCCTTCGTGACGAAGTTTGCCGAGGCGATGAGCACCCACCTGCGCGTGGGCCACGGGCTCGAGGAGAGGACGACCCAGGGCCCGCTGATCAACGAGAAGGCCGTCGAAAAGGTAGGTTCCCTCGCGTCCGTCCCGCTCCCTCCGTCCGTCCGGCTCCCACCGTTCGTCCGTCCGTCCCGCCCCCACAGCTCCACCTTGACAGCCTCCCCGGCAGAACACTCGCTGGGAAGGCGCCGGGCACGGCTGTTCGGAAACCGCGGGGAAGGCACAAAACACCGACTTCTGCCAACTCGTGTGAGCTCGTGGCGTCCCCTGGTCGCATGCTTCCCAGCTCCGTCGTGACGCCGAGTCCCCGACAGACGTCACCTCAGACCTGCGCCCCTGGCAAGGGGCTCTCTGGTGGCGGCGTGGCCAGGCCGTCCCTGGCCGCCCAGGAAGCAGGATCCTGAAATGCAGCCCTTCAGTTCCCCACCCCCGGAAGGGAAGGCCGGCCGGCTCTGGTTTTGGCGTGGTGTCTTCAGAGTGAAAGGTTTCGCCCCTTGTGGAGCAGAATGAGGGGAAGGAAACCCCAGGCAGAGCCGGTAAAGGTCAGGAACCTAGAAGACCCCAGAAGCTCCCGCAGGGGAAGCCGCCTGCCCGGAGGTGGGTGGGCGCGGCTCTGCAGGCGGAGGAGGGCCCCGTTCTGCGGGGGGGGGGACCGGATCCCAGCGCAGCCACAGCCGACACGGGTGGCTCCAAAGACACGCAGGCGGGAAGCTACGACCGGAACCGCGCCCAGCGCACCTGTTTCAGAACAAGGTCCAGCAAGGAGGACGACCTGGGGTTCCCAGCCCTGGGACTCACTGGGAACACAGACAGCAGATGGGGGCAAGAGCCGGCGGCAGGCCTGGCAGGACCGTCTCGGGGGGCGTGCAGGGCAGGAGGGGCGCCCCGGGCCCCCCGCTGGCCTCCCCTCTGCGAATCTGGCTCCTCCCACCCGAAGGGACCGGGCTGATGGCTGTCAGCCTGTCTGGGAGAGCAAGCGAGCCAGTTACGGTTTCTGCTGCTGCCCCCTCTGAGATTCCGCCCTTTCCGAGGTGTCCTCAGCCAGCTGCCCCACGGGCCCTGCTCCCTCTCGTCTCGCAGGTGGAGAAGCACGTGAGTGACGCCCTCTCCAAAGGCGCTACCGTGGTGACCGGCGGGAAGCGGCACCGACTTGGAAGGAATTTCTTTGAGCCCACCCTGCTCAGCCACGTCACCCCGGACATGCTGTGCTCCCGCGAGGAGACCTTCGGGCCTCTGGCACCGGTCATCAAGTAAGATCAGCCGGCGGGGAGACGGAGGGAGCAGGGGGAGAGGGGACCGAGGCAGAAGCCAAGGTCACGTGCTGGGGGAGGGCGGGCTGGACGGGCAGCTGTGCCGCGGGCGTCCGCTCACGGCCGCTCACAGAAACCCGCCCCCCTCGTTTCCCGCCCGGACCTCAGCACCGAGCGGGGCCCCCAGTCCGCTGCCTCGCTTCCTGCTGAACTCGGCCGTCCGCTCCCTGGCCCGCGTCCTGGATCGGCTCTTCCAGGGAGCCTGCTGGAGTGAATTTCTGTGACCTCACGTGATCTCTTTACCTCGCGTTGAAAGCAGGTCACCGTTCGCCTGGATGCAATTCTAGCTTTAACGCTCCGGAGACGCCAACTCTTTGTCTGCCCACATCCAGGGCTGTCGCTCGGAGAGCTGATGCGGGGCGACGGCTCCTTTGAGGGGGTCGATCTGCTTTCTCCCTGGAGACTCCGAAACTCCTCGCGGTCTCGGACGTTCCCCCATCAGTGGTGTGGGAGCACTTTCCTTCTGGGGTGCCCGAGCCTGCCTTTGACCCCTGAAGTGCGTGTCCAGGCCCCGGGGAGGTCTGGGTTACTTCCCGAACGTGTCCTCCTACCGCATCGGTTCTTTCCAGCGCGGAGGAGGCCGATTACACAGACACACCCTGGCTTCCATCCTCCCTGTGCTGGTCGGTCCTGCGGCTCTTCGCCGGCTCCTGTGCCCCTCCACCCAGGCGCTGCTCCCTTCAGCCGCCAGCCCCTCATCCTCTCCACGCAGCCCTCCTGCTCCCCGCCCCCGCCCCGCACTGCACTCTCAACAGCGGCAATGACCTTCTCATCCTTGGTCTCTGCACCCTGCTCTTCCCCTCGCTGATCCCTCCCGCTGCACTGGCCTGCCTTCCCTGTGGACAGCCGCCCTCTCCCCTGCCTCCGCCGTTCCGGTGGTCGTCTGTCTTCCTGGGCCTTGGAACCTTGCGGTCCTGTCTTCTTCCCCGAGAGCTCGTTTTCAGCCCCTTCCAGGGCGAGCAGCCTGGGCTGGTGACCTCTGTCCGCCTGGCGGTGTGCTCCCTCTGGAGGCCCCGGGAGGGCGGGGAGTGGGCACTCAGGGCCCGAGCCTCTAGTGTTTACACCCGGTCTCTGCGTCTCGCCCTCTCCCAGGGGAGGGTGTGTGGTTCCCCATGCGGCAGCTGGTCGGGGAGAGGGGGGTACGCTGGCCCCGGGGTCCCTGCTGCTCTCTTGCCCGGTGGCAACACAGCACTGTCCCGAGGGCCCGGGTCTGCAGGTGGACTCACCCGGAACCCCCGGATGTGAGGGGGAGGGAGGCTCTGTAGACCGTGGCCCTCATCCCCCCCCACCCCCACGAGGGGACCACCTCCCGGCCGCCAGAGGGTCCTGCCTGTTTGGCGCTCGTGGCTGGTGAGGTTTCTGGGCCGTGATCCCCGCTCCCCTGCGACATCTGGAGGCCAGAGCCGGCGCTGGGCTGCCTGTGCCATCCGCCCAGGGCTGATGCTATAGGGTTGCCGCTGCAGTCACTGTCGCGATAGTGTGTGACCCCAGGAGGTGGCAAGCTCAGCGGTTTACTTTTCTTTAAGATTTATTTTTAAAAAGACAGGAAAGGAGGAAGAGAAACATCAAGGTGTGGTTGCCTCTCACACGCCCCCTACTGGGGACCTGGCCCACAACCCAGGCGTGTGTGCTGACTGGGAATCGAACCGGCGACCCTCTGGTTTGCAGGCCTGCATTCAGTCCACTGAGCTATGCCAGCCAGGGCTCGGCAGTTCTGTATTACTGTGTTTTGTTCAACATGTGGACGTGCCGCAGGGCACCGCACGGCAGCCTGCGGCCCCGCGCTCTCCTCGGGGGGGTGAGCCGGGCGGGTGAGCACGTGGGCCTCGACTCCAGCCCCACGGCCGGTGCTGCCGTCCTCCTCCGCGCGGCTCTGGGGTCTCTGCAGAGCCCCCGTCACGTCTCGCCGTCGCCGTCGCCGGGCACGTAGACGGGGAGCGGAGACGGGGAGCGGAGACGGCGGTGTTCCCTGCGCCCTCACGGTCGGCTGACGACGGTCTGTGTTGGCTCCGGCAGGTTCGACACGGAGGAGGAGGCCGTGGCGATCGCCAACGCGACCGATGTCGGGTTAGCAGGTAGGTGTCCGTCCCGGCCCAGCGCCTGTCGGGTCACCTGGTGTCTGCCCGCGAGACGCCACCCGGGGCTTGGAGGGCGCCCTGCTGGGGCACGGGGCGGGTCTGTGCGGCCCCTGGGACACCCTGGAGGCCCGGGGAGAGACGGCGGAGCAGGCTGCTCCGGTGGGAAACGCACGCAACCCCTTGTGACAGGGTGAGGGTGGAGGGAGCCGCGCCCGCAGACTGACTGTGCGGAGGCCGGAGGAGGGAGACCGGGGCGCAGGCGACCCGGGGAGTTAAGGGGTGAGAGGGCGAGTGTGGGTTCCCCGTGGACAGTCGAAGGGAGCCGTGCAGGGCGGACCAGGCAGTGGGTCGCAGGCGCTGGGGGAGGGGCGGCCACTGTCCCGCCAGACACGTGAGCACGCAGCAGGGGCGACGGAGCAGGAAGACGGTGTCCGAGGTCTGACGGGAAGACGGGGACAGGCCAACTCAGGCCCCCTGGGGTGGGGGGGAGCCCCCAGTGAGGGGGGGGCGACCCGACGCCGTCAGGGGCTGTGCCACACGCTGGCTGCGCCCTCTCTCCCGGCACAGGTTACTTTTACTCCCAGGACCCGGCCCAGATCTGGCGGGTGGCGGAGCGGCTGGAGGTCGGCATGGTGGGCGTCAACGAGGGGCTCATCTCCTCCGTGGAGTGCCCGTTCGGCGGCGTGAAGCAGTCCGGCCTGGGGCGGGAGGGCTCCAAGTACGGCATCGACGAGTACCTGGAGGTCAAGTACGTGTGCTTCGGGGGCTTGTAGGTCCCCCTCGTCTCCGGAGGACGAGGAGGAAGGTGGCCCACATACACGCCAACGTGCCATCCCTTAGTCTAGACCGTCGAGTGTGTGAACTACGAGTTTTGTGACGCTCGTCCAGCCCTCCAGATCTCCAACAGAGGGGCCCCCGCCCTGCCCCCCACCTAACGAGGGACCAACGGGGCCGCGTGCCGGGGCTGCAGGCTCCCCGAGAACCCACCACGGGGCAGCGTCCTGGGAGGGGAGGCCCGTCACGTGGCTCCGGGGGAGCTCGGACCCAGAGGAGAGCATCCCCTGGCCTACCGCGTGCTGCGTGCACCCCAGGGCCGAGAGGGGTTTTTAACTTCCAAGCGGCTGCGGGGAACAGCACTGTTCCGTGACACAAGAGACCGGTGTGCGACTCAGACGTTGGCGTCCGCACGTGCGACGTCGGGGAGCCCACCGCGCCCCTCCACTCACTTGCTGCAGAGAGAGTGTGGCTCACCGAGCCTCAGACGGCCACTCTGGCTCCTGACGGGCGGATTCACACCCCGACCCAGACCAGGAGGGGAGCGGGACCCGCCCGCACCTCTCAGGCGTCACCTTTTGCTGAAGCACCTGCTATACAGAGTGTCCTCTGGGGTCACGCCAGTGAGCCCTCACCAGGAGCGCCCCCCCTCGCCCCCCCGGCCAACGATCACGGGACTCGGACGACATTACGCAGGTGCCCGGGTTCCCTGGCCTCGGGGGAGCACTTCCTCATGTGCCACCCCCCCACACACACACACAGAGACCCCGACCTCCCACAGCCACCGCACCTGTCGCCGCTGCCCCTTCGCGCGGCCGTCCGGTGCGATGTCCTGCCCAGTGTCCTCCCTCCTTCCTTGTCCACCTGTGCTCCCGCGGGGAGACTGGTGGGCGACCCAAAGCGCCACGTCTGTTTTATTGCCGACACACCGACTCCGAGCCGTGCCGCGTGCCGGCCTTCTCCGAGGGCCGGGGGCCGGGGCCCGGGGGCTCGATTCCTCGTGTCCCACCGTCTTAGACAGCGTTTCCCCGGAACAGTGTTGATGCTGTGCCTGTCTCCATGCCACACTTTGTGGGACAAAACCTGGGAACTACTGGGAAGCGTGCAAATGTTTCGTTTTTTAAGCAACTGCACATACTCATGTTTTTCCAGGTTTGATAATTGTGTATGTGTATCGATGTGTACCAGCGTCAGCAGAACTGTGCGTAATTAATAAATGTTGAATTCACAGGATTCCCTATTCTGGTTGCGGTGTTTTTCTTGCCCGTGCACCACTTGAGTCTGTTTCGGGTGTCAGACCCGTCCAGATAGGTGTGAAGGGGCCCGAGATGTGCCACCCAGGCATCAGGACCCTCGGGAGCTGGAGGCGGGCCAGGAGAAGCAGCAGGTGCGGGGGAAGCGGAGGGCCAGAAGGCCCCCCACACTGCAGGGCAGCGCGACCTGGGGCACAGCCTTTCTGACCTCATGCGTGAGCCCCGGCGCACGAGCCCCGGCAGCCTCTCCTCTCCTCTCCCTCCCCTCCCCTCCCCTCCCCTCCCCTGAGGCTGACGCACAGCAGAGTAGACCAGACAAAGGAGCGCTGCCTGCAAGCCCCTGATTGGCCGTCCGCCCAGAGAAATCCCTCTCGGTGCGCAGGAATTACTCTGCAAGGTGAGGAATGAGGTGTCACAGCAAGGTGACGGGACTCTTCTTTGGTGGCACTTAAGTAAGGATGCATTTTACTTACGACCGCTAGCATCTCGGGCTCAGTGACGTTTAGTAACCTGAGGCTTGGAGGGTTCAGTCACTGAGTCACACACCCAGGCCACCTGACCCGACAACCTACGGCAGGAACAGTCGTGCGGGCTCTGCATGTCTGTCTAAGAGAGAACGCTGCTTTTCTGTGCGTCTAGAACAGTGAAGAACACGTAACAGCAAACCCACTCTTCTAAACTATTAAATCACCAAAGCCTTCCATGACGCAAGTTTAATACCCAGGGATTTGGGCTGAAATACTTTGTGATTTTGACGGGAAATTAGCCCCTAGCTCTGGCATTTTACATGGCAAAGGTGTGATGAGTCTGTCATCTGCAGTTCTCTAGTTTGACATGGGGATGACATTTCTGTTTTGCATGCTGCAGAGGAATCCAGTCATCCCGCTGACGCCCAAGTCTATAGCTGGGTTTATCTCGTTTGTATGAAAAGTGATGTAAAACCACGCCACAAACCAAAATGTTACATTTGGAGTAACTCCACAGTGTCTATGGCCATGCACTTCTGACAGTACATAATTTAAAGCACTGAACACAAATGTTCCTTTCAAAAATTCTTGGGTTTTTTTCTGGGTGGGCCGGGGGGTGGGGGGTGGGTGGTGGGAGACTGCCTACTATTTACTTTTTCTTCTATTGTCAAAAACATCAGTCATGCCCTGACCAGCGTGGCTCAGTCAGCTGGCCCTTGTCCTGCAAAGCAACAGGCTGCCGGTTTGATTCCTGGTCAGGGCACATGTCTGGGTCGCAGGTTCAGCCCCGTCGGGGCACCTGCGGGAGGCAACCCATCAGTGTTTCTCTCCCTACCTTGCCCTCTAAAAATAAAAGGGGTTTTGTTTTTTTTTTCACAGTCACGTTCCTACTAAGCACCGGAAAAAACACGAACATCTAGCTGACACAAATGTTTGTAAGAGTATCCGCGCAACAGAAATGGAGCTGCATGTGGTATCGCCTTTTCTCTTTACAGATAATGGAGAAATAGATGATGGGGAAAAATGGTGAGTGCCGATGTCAGGTTTCTGCTCTTGATTAGTATCTTTTAAAAAATTTAAATTTACTTTAGAGAGAGAGAAACAAAAACTTGGATTTACTGTTCCACACTGCTTGATGCCTGCGGGCGCCCTGACCCAGGATCGAACCTGCGACCCTGGCGCATCAGGACGACGCTGTGACCAACTGAGCTCCCGGCCAGGGCGTGGGTTTGTAACATCTTGAGTCGCGCCCACCCCGAGGGGCCGTTAGATCGGTGTAGTCTTCAGAGCTAGGAGCAGCGGCGACGGGAACCTTGGGGGAGGCCGGCGAAGGTGACGCGCCTGCTGCAGGACCGAGTGTAAGGAAACGACCCTACGGGCCTGAGACGAGCACCCCGAGGCTGGGGAGGTGCAAAGCTGCGACTGCGCGGAGCTGCGACCGGCGGCCCTGGAACCGGAACCGTCCTTCCAGGCTCTGAACCCGCCGGGTCCTCCAGCTCCAACGGCAGCAGCAACCCAGGACCGGGGAGGGTTTTCCGCCAGGGGGCGCTGAAGGTCCGCCCCCGGCCCGCCTCCTGGCGCATGCGCACTCACGCTCACACGGCACTCGCGCGGACAGGCGTGCGCTCGCCCGCTCGCTGTCCCCACTTCTCCAGCTCAGGACGCAGCCCTGGACCCGGGGCCCCGCGGCTCCTACCTGCACGGTGACAGCGGCCAGGCCTGCGGGTCAGTGCGGTCTGGGGTCCGCGAGAACGCCTCCCAGGCGCCAGGAAAGCGTACGCAGGAGACGCACCTCCCGCCCGTCGCCGCCGTTACCGCGGCAACGCGCGCGCATGCGCACACACGCCGGAATGGGATGGGACGCCCGGCCTCTTCCCGGCTCAGCGCTAGGAACTCCAAACACTTGGCACCTGGCCCGCGGCTCCCACCCCGCCGCCCACCGATCAGGAGGCTCCAGAGAGCCCCACGCCTCCCGTGCCCCTGGTCCCATAAGCCGGCAGCGCGCCTCCGGTGAGGGGGGCCCCACACCCGCAGAGCCCCGCTGTTTGGAGCACGTGCTGCGCTCGGACGCCGGCCCCACCCGCCTCGACCCCGGAGCCCACGAGGAGGGCTTCCTCGCACGGCCGCAGCTCTCCTTCAGCGGAGGCGCCGGCGCGTCCAGGTGTGGCAGCGCGGGCCTTCCTGCTGCGCTCCCGGCGCGGGGCCATACCCAAAGGGGGCGCCCGGGGGCGCCCTCAGCCGGCTGGGCCCCGCCCCGGTAAAACCGATACAGTCGTAATCGTGCAGCAGGACTCGGGGTACAGGGGACAACGCAGGTTGGGAGAATAAAAACCTGTCCGCAGCGGAAAGGGGGGAAACCGGTCTGGATGAAGAGGGAAAACGGAGGAAAGACCTGCCGTGCCCGCTGGTCGGGCTGAGCGGTCAGCCGCGGAGAAAGCCCGCGGCACACGCGTTTTGATGTGGAAGAGACAGTGACGTTGTTCACGCCACGCTGCTGCGGCTCGGTGGGAGAACCTGGGCTGGCCTCCCCGCAGCACGTGCGGGGCCGCTCTCCTGCACCTGTCCTCGGCCTTAGGTGGGCATCTGTGGGCCTCCCGCTACAGTACACACTGGACACGCCGGACGCTGCAATGAACACTAAGCCCCAAAGGACGTTCCCTTAGCACCGCGTTTCCGACTCCGCTCTGGTTCACGTGCGGTTATTAAACTGCGCGATAAAAGACAAGGAACTTCTGTTCTGAGGCTGGGAGAAGCTGAGGTCGAGGAGGTTCAAGTGCGCGCCCCGTCGGTGCAAAACGGCGCTTCGCCTAGCGGAGTACAAGATTCCCAGCTGCAATTTCACCAAGAAGGGAAGTAAAGTGCGTTAAGGTACTTTATTGGAAAAACCTGAGATTCAAAGTAAAAAACTGAAGATACTGCAAATCAATAGGTTCTTAATTCCCGCCATGTGTGAGAACTATCCACCTCACTTTGTTTCTGAGATTTTGTTTGTCACAACAGCAGTCCCCCCGTATCTGCAGTTTGTTGCCCAAGGTCAACTGAGGTCCAAGAATAGTTCCATAAACAATTCCCAAGTTTTAAGTGGTGCACCGTTCCGAGTGCCTGATGAAATCTCCTGTCGTTCCCTCTGTCCTGCCGCGGACACCCCCCACGAGTCGAGGCGTGGCAGCCACCTGCGTCAACAGGTGCACGGGGAGTTACCGCAGGGCTCACGCTAAGTCGCCCTTATTTCACCTAATCAAGGCCCCAGAGCAGGGGGCTGGGGATGCAGGCCATGCCCGCACCGGGGAGCAGCTGGGAGGCGCTCCCGTTGAGAGACAAGGGGAGCAATAAGGAGTGACTGAGGCGGTGAAAGAGGAAACACCCACCTGTTGCTGCAGCACATGGTTGTACCTGTTCCACCTTGTTGTGGATGGCCTCAGAGTGTGCCTAACTCGTGCATTAAACCTCGCCCCAGGCACGGACGCAGAGCAGGAAGCCTGGTGCGGCTCGGGCTCGGCGCTGCCCGGGCTTCAGGCGCCCACTGCACCGCGGAACACACCCCCTCCCTGAGAGGAGGGGGCGGCTGCAGGAGGAGCGTGGTGGCGGGAAGTGTTTCACTTGGATGCTCTGAGTCCCAGAAGAAATGGTGTCTCTTTCACGGTTTTAGGACAATTTGGTAACTATGTAATCTAAGGCACACTGCTACATTTCACTTTTTAGGTGTAGCCTTCCACAGACACACAGCGATGTGAGGTGGGGCGGGGCTCCCCTCACTCCTGCTTACGAGGAAATAAGCAGCTCATCCCCAAAACATCCCTTCTCACAAAAATGAACTAATGCTGAAATATTAACATCCTCATTTTATTTTTAATGGTTAAAATTATAATTCCCATATAAAACTCCTTTCCCTTGCCACTACAAAGACAATATTCTGTATACATTCAGCTGGTCTTTTTTGAGGTGTTTTACTTGTTCGTTTTGATGCCCCTGCTAAAAATAAGGTTCTGCTACATCGCCCTCTGGTGACCCCTCTCAGCGGCTTTCCTTTCTAAGCTGAGAAGCCAGCACAGCCAAAGCATGCTTGGCCGGCCAGAGGCGGCGCAGACACAGCTCCGCTCCCCCCGCCCCCCACAGGTGTGGCTGTGGGGACGGAGCCCGAAGGGAAGGAGGGGAACATGAATCCTGTTACAGCTCCAAAACACACTACCAACAAGTAAAATTCTCCGTCTAGGTGCCTTTCTCTTAGGGGGGAAAAGTTTCCTCAAAGCACATTTGAAAATGCTCCTTACACCTTGCACCACAATTCCATGTTAGAGCAGCAAAACTAAAGGCTATTTCTCCTCACACAACTCTTCCCTCGGGAAAAAGCCTGGTGCCGCCGTGAAGCTGGCTTCCACCCTTGCCGAGCCTCGCTCCGCTCTCTTGGCGACACAGCCGTGGCCGAGAGTGTGGGCAAGTTTGGGGAAAGCGCGAGCTCACGCACAGCTCACGGGCCAGGCACGGTGAGCCACGCACACCTGCTCCGACACGGCAGGGCGGCCGTGCGCTCCCAGGCAGACGAGCGTGGCTTTGGGCGAGATTCGCGCGGTTTGTGAAATGGGACCACAGGTCCAGTCCGAAGGACTCGGAAACAGCCAGTTTTCTCCTTCTGTAGACTCACTTAACGTACGAGCTGTTTCTGGGTGGCGATTTTTAAAGTAAGTCACCTCTGAAGACTGGCCTGGGCGCAGGCGACCCGGCCCCGACGGCCTCCGTGCCGGTCGCCGAGAGGCCTCTCGGTCTGAGCACAGGAGTTTCGCTGAGATACACGCCAGCATCCAGTTCTGAGACCTAAGGACACAGCTCACAAGTGGAAGCGCAGCAGTGTCTCCTCCTCCAGGGTGCGGGCCGTTACCTCCCGCACACGAGACGCGGCCTCCCCGACGGGCAGGGTCACCGTGTGTCTGCGAGCCCCCGGCACAGGACCGCTCGGAGCAGGGACTGGCGCTGGGGAGGCACCTCACAGGATCACGTCCAGGCGGCACAGGAGGCCCCAGTGGTCGCTGGGAAACCTGCCGCAGTCCAGCTTCTCCAGCCCCAGGAGGTCCAAGCTCTGGGGCACGAGGTGGCCGCCGTCCGCGGCTGCCCTGAGGAAGATGCGGTCGAAGCGGTGCTTGCTGACGGCGCGCAGGCCCAGGTTGGAGTTCGCCTGCGTGTCCCACGTGTACTGGCAGTGCTTGGGCCTGCCCAGCAGCTCCCAGACGTCCGAGATGCTGCCGGGCAGACCGCCGCACTGGGCGACCTGGAAGGCAGGAGGTCCGTGAGACTCTGGGTTTCCCCCGAGTTAAAAAGGCGTCTTCGCTGTGACGTCCCAAGTCCGTTACAGATCACGGGGCCCCCCCAGGCACCTGCTAGCGCCCGGAGGCAGCACCAGGTGCTGTTCCCAGTGGCCGCACTAGGGAACACGCTTGGCCGCCTGCTGAGGCAGCGGGTAATGCGGGGGCGGCAAGCGCGTTGGCGTCCTCGGCAACCTGCCCCCGCCCTTGCGCCACCAACAGGCCCGTGACCCGGTGTCAGGGGAAACTCCGGAGGCTGGGAACCCACGGCCCCGGCTGTCGCTTGGTTTTCAAAAATAAGCACAAGTGAAAAGAAGACAAAACCGCTGCTCCAGTCCATAAACTTGGAAGCCGCCGTGTGTGTGGTCCCACTGCCTTACCTGAAATTTACTAACAATAGGAATTCTTCCTTGTGCCACTGACACTCCAGGACCCAGAAACAATTATGGCAGAATACACACAAAAACTGCCACTGTAACGTATACAGTTCAATGGCATTAAGTGCGTCCATGTAACAATGTAGCCAGCACACCACCCACCTCCCTGAGCTCCTCTTTGCTCACTTTAAAGTCAGGTTCTTTCTGCCCTGGCTGCTGTGGCTCAGGGACTGAGCGCAGGCCTGCGAACCAAAACATCGCCCGTTTGATTCCCACTCAGGGCACATGCCTGGGTTGCAGGCTGTATCCCCAGTAGGGGGCGTGCTAGAGGCAACCACATTGATGTTTCACTCCCTTTCTCCCTCCCTTCCCCACCTGTCTAAAATAATTAAATAAAATCTTTAAAAAAAATAAAATCAGGTTATTTTCTATTGTTGGCTTTTCACTGTGAGAGTGCTCCGTACACTCGTCAGGAACCTGAGTGTCGCACGTGCACAGGGGCCACGCCCATCTTCTCTGTGCATTCCAGTGCTAGTGGGCGCGCTATGGACCCACGCAGAGTCCTCTTGCGTTCTGAGCACTGCTCCCCCCTCCCCCATGCGCCCACCTCACCCCGCCGACCGCACGCTGGGCTGCTGGCAGGTTGACGTTTGTGACATCCGCCCGTCCGTTTCTGCCCGGTTGTCCGAGCTCCTGCTGTCAGAGCCAGGAAGCCACTGCCAAACCCGGTGTCAGGAAGCCTTCCCCGTGTTTTCTCTGAGTTCTGTGGTTTCCGCTCTTACCTTCCGTTCCTGACCCATTCTGAATAAACTGTCGTGTAGGGAGTAAAGGAAGGCCCCAGCCTCATCTCCGTGTGTGTGGGTATCCGGTTTTCCAACACCATGTGCTGAGAAGCAGGATTTTTATGAAGTTACCGGTCACTCAACTAGAGGCCAAGAACCCCTAGCTATAAGCCCACCAAACCACAGGCAGGCCAATGGAGAGCTTATTTTTTTTGTTGGTCTCGTTTGTTTTTTAAGTATTTAATCTGGTTTTCTTTAAAGATTTTACTTACTTATCTTTAAAGTGAGGGGAAGAGAGGGAGAGAAACATCCATGTGTGGTTGCCTTTTGTGCGCCCCCCCACTGGGGACCTGGCCTGCAACCCAGGTCTGTGCCCTGACTGGGAATCGAACCTGTGACCCTTCGGTTCATAGGCCCGTGCTCAGTCCACTGAGCCACACCAGCCAGGACGACAGAGCTTGGTTTCTAAACTCCCTGCCCACGGACACAGTGGGGCAGGAGTGAAGCAGAGCCCCAGGCCTCCTCAGCACTCCGATCCCCGGGCGCCACCCGCCCTGCACAGCGCCCCGACTGCTCCCTCCCGGGCCTCTGCCTCTCCCTCTCCCTCCCTCTCCCTCCCGGAGCGGCCATTTCAGTCCCCCTTAGTCTGATGTGCGCTCCACCAGAGCCGGGAAAAGGCAAGACGGGCTCACCACCTAGTGAGTTCTGACTACAAAGGTCCTGAAAAATCCCCGTGCGTCCAACCGAACGAAGGAAAGAGACTCGGCCTCAGACCCGGACACTGCAGCGGCACCAGGAGAGGAGGACGGCCTCGCCCACGGTCCTCGCCACCACTGAGGGGCTCCACCAGCACGCGTGACCTCTCCCAGCCTCCGCGCCACTGTCCTCTCCGGGCGCCCCCGCGACCCCGTGTGTGTTCCCCGAGGAGGGCGGACAGGCCTCCTGCCCCGCCTCCCCGTGCGAGGCGCGGACCACAGCGGAGGAGCCAGCTGCCGGGTCACACCCGCGAGGTCACCGACGTGCGTCACCGGCTTTGGTCCGCAGGAGCCTGAGCTGGTTCCCACAGCAATGACCTGCCCGTGCCCGCGGGACTGACGCTGCCGCTCACCTCGCGGTCCCGCAAATTTGTGTCTCCCGCAAATATCACCGTGGCTGACTCCGGCGCCTCCTGCATCCTCTTCAACACCGTCCTGAGCTGATTCATCCGCTCCTGGGCGTGCTCCCTGGTGCTCTCCAAGTGGGACGTCATGAGGCACAGCCCGTTCCCCGACACGCTGGCCTGCAACAGGACACGCCATGCGGTGGTTAAAACCGGCTCGAACGCCGGACCCTGACAGCGGAATCCGGGGTCACCCCCTGACCGGCCCACGCTGACCTGGGTCAACCCACGGGGAGACCACCCACCCAGCGCGGTGCTTCTCCTTCCAGGTCGAGGAAGCCTGAGCTGCTGCCCCTGCTCCCGGAGGAGGCTACTCAGCAAGCACCCACTGACCCTCCACGTCACGCCCTCCCCCACGGCCCCAGGCTCCCCGCTCCGCATCCCCACTGCGCGCTGACAGGACCGTTCTGACACCCCCAGACTGATTTACAGCGTGACTCCTGCACACAGGACGGTCCCTCTGCCCACTGCCGTGTCCTCCAGGGCCCGGCACGCAGGCGCTCAGGACAGGCCAGCGAACGAATCGGTTGGGACCGTTCCCCGTTTGCCGCCGCCGCACCAGCGAGGTGCCCTCTTCACACCAGCCGCCGCACACCCCGGCGGCTCGGGGGCCATGCACCGCGTGAAACCGGCGCCGGAGGCGAACTCGGGACGTCACCACCGCGTCCACATCGCCAGGAAGACGCCTGCCGAACCAAGGGTTTCGTTTCCACACGTTTGTCTGTCCTTGAAGTTTACATAAAGACGAACCGTACAAAGTCCTCGGAGACCACGGAGAGACCATTAGTGAGGAGCAAACTCTTCTCTGAAGACAATGGTTTAAACACAAACACATCACCGCGGGACCACAAAGAACACATTCTTTCTTTATACAGCAGTCGACTTTTAAAATTTACTTACATGCACACACAAAAGGTTTCTCATCATTTTCGTTTTCGGAAAAGGAATAATCTCTTGGCTTTTAAACGTCACTCTAGATTTCTTCAGCATTATGGCCGTGAAGTACGCTTCCGTGTGACCTTCGGACGTGTAGGGAAGAGAGTTAGGCGGGGAGGACAAGCACGCCTGCGGCCGGCCTACCACCGCGCCCCCCCCGAGACTCCACAGCAAACAGGGGCAGACGCTGTGGCGGCGGACCTCCGTCCTAAAAGTAAACTGCGTCAAAGTAACCCGAGCCGGCCGGCCACGCCCCTGTGTTTGCCTGCCCCTGGCCCAAAATGTGACTGCAAGTGTGGGGGAAACGTAAACATGAGCTCGCACAAGTGCCAAAAATAGTTCATGGTGCCAACAGGAAACAAAAAAACCGAGAAATTTCTGAAAGAGCGGCCGCGAGTTCCCCTGAGGCAGACCGGCACGCCACCGTCCCCTCGGGGAGCCACGGGAGGCTCCGGTGCCCGAGCAGCGGAGGCAGAACGGCGTCAGGTTGCAGGAGAAGAGACGACAGGCTGGAGGCAGTGAACGAAGGCCCCCAGCAGCGTTTCAGGAAAGCACGCAGAGGGAGGCGCGGTAGCTGGTTTCTCAGAACAGAGCGCCACCAGGAAAAGAGGAGGAGGAAGATACGGGAGGGGGAAAGAGGGAAGGAGGACAAAGGACGGGAGGGGCTGGGAGGAGGGGCGGGGCGGGGGGGGGGGGCAGGTGGGCGGAGAGGCAGACAGGGGAGAGTCCCCCAGAACGGAAGGTCACGAGCCTCTGGGCCGCAAACTCCTACCAAGCGTTCAGAACTGTAAGTGAGAAACAGGACCACGGGGCGCGGGCAGCACAACAAAGACCCTGACAGGCGGGGCGGGCGGGGGGGGGGGACAGGGGTTGGCAGGGCTCTCGGTTCACGGTCACCAGTGGGGGAACCGGACAACACCGAAGCGGTGCCTTCGGAATTCTCAGGAAAGACGAGTGCCCGCCTGGAAACCTACGTCACACTGGCATCGCCTTGACAGTGGATGGCAGACACACTGTCATCCTAGGAGGAGAGAGCAGCAGGCACCCCAGACACGCTGGGGTTCGGAAGCCCCGCCCCCACGCACTGCTTCTCGGGAAGCGGTTCCGGAACGTTCTCCAGTGAGCGAGGCCTGAACCGAGGTGGGGGTAAGCAGGGGACCAGGAACAGGACCCCGAGAAGACGGAAAGAAGCCCCCGGAGGACGCAGGAAAGGCGTCCCACAAAGAGAGCGAGGGAGACGGAGACTCGGCGAGGACCCGCCTGGACCCAGAGCCCGAGACCCCATCCCACGGAGAAGTGATGGTCAAACGTGAGACTTGGCCCCAGATCATGAAATGCAGCCAAGTACACTTAGGAGAAACAAAACAGATGGAAAATCAGGAAACTAAATTATTCAGAGTAAAAGGCTAGAAAAACAAAAAATAAGCCCTGGCTGGTGCGGCTCAGTGGACTGAGTGCCGGCCTGGGAACCAGAGGGTCGCTGGTTCAATTCCCAGTCAGGGCACATGCCTGGGTTGCAGGCCAGGTCCCCGGTTGTGGGGGTGCAAGAGGCAACCACACACTGATGTTTCCCTTTCTTTTTCCCTCCCTTCCCCTCTGTCCAAAAATAAAGAAATAAATCTTTTTAAAAAAATAAAACTAAAAGACGACCTTTTGAAAAAGCATAACCACATGAAACAAATATGTTAAGTACAACTGGAAAACAAAAAATTTGATAAAAAATGCCTAACCACAATGCAATTATCACACTTAAAATTTTTAACAATTAATTTCACCAAAAAGCTACTCAGTGCCTCAAATTTTGGCAATTTGGAGTTTCCTGAGACATCACCCACTTCAACCACTTTTTCACGAAAATTAACAGCAAGCTGTGTAAAATATTCTCCCATAGTTCTTTCGGTACCCGGTGTCCGGCCTGTTTCGCTCAAACTTATTTTGTTTGTGCTGTTTGTTTCGCCTGCTCCAACAGGCGAGCCTTGATTCATCTCTTTTACCGACTCGTGTTTCAAAGAAAAAGAGCAGTGAAGGGACAGGGAGGGTGTTACCTGTGATGATGGTGTAATCGCTCGCCCTCCTCTTCAGGAAGCTGTAATACGGGGGAGTGACTTCCTGCAGAAACACCACGTCCGGGCTGTACCTGCCGGAAAGCGGGAGCTGATGCGACCACTAGGGGCGCCGTTTCGTTCGCGGCGACTCGCGGTGCAGAGGGAACACAGAACCATCGCCCTCCAAGACACCCAGCGCTCCGCGTCTGTCCCCACCGATCTCCGACAACTGTGAGACGAGGGCCTGTGCCCTTCAACACGCCACCGTGCAGATTAGCGCAGAACACGCGCACGCCACAGCTCGGCGAGGTTAGGAGGGCAGGAGTCACTGACGAGAGCAGCCAGAGCCCTGAGCGCGCCCGACGGTCCTCGTGCCGACCCACGCGTCCCGTGACACGGCCTCGTCCCGGCCCCTCGAGACAGGACGCAGAAGACCGAGCTCCGGAGAACAAGGTGGCTCCCCACGGACTCCACAGGCAACGGCCGGTGTGCGACAAAGGTCTTCTGGTAACTTAATCATCATAGCAATAACTACATAGGGTCCGGCACAAATAACGCCCCTCCTTTTTTTTTTTTTTTTTTTTAATTACAGAATCTTTTAGCACAAAATCGTGAGGGTGTCGTTCTGTAACACAGCAATATCCAATTCGAGCACACCACGTGACATTTCAGCCGGATGTTCAAACTAGAACTGTAAGCGATCACACGCACACGATGACCCCACCCTCCGCCCTGGAGCAGGCGCCCCTGCCGCCGCACCCTGCGTGCGGAGTCCGTAAGGAGAGCCGCTCTAGAAGGCTCCTAACAGGAACCAGTGCCCCGCCCCGCCCCGCCGGCCCCGAGAGCAGGGCTGAGCTCGGGTCCCAGGCCCGCAGTGGCTGGCTGTGCCTGCACGCAGGGCAGACGCACCACCGCGCGCCCCGGGAAGGAAAACAGCGGCACTCACAGCGCCAGGAAGGCACACACCCCCTGGGCCCTCTCAGGCAGGTTACTGGGGTCCAGCCCGTCGATGTTCCAGGTGATCAAGGAGAACGCGCTGCCGTCCTCCTGCTGGGTGGGCTGCTCAGGCGTGCGGCTCCCTGGGCGCGTGGGCGCGGCTGGGTCCTCACTGGTCAGGTCAACGCTGGCGAGATCACAGAATGAAACACAGCTTTGCAAACAATCTATACACTGCTCAATGTTTAAGTCTCTCACAGTGAGTGGCGGCCCTCATCTCAGTGAAATACATTTAAAGCGACCCCAAAGTGATGTAGACACCGGCCTGCAGCGTCCGCGTCATTCCCGATGAAAGGAGACATTCACACGGACTATCGGGTCCTGCGGAGGAAAGGGGACAGCGTGGCTTTTCTCTCAAGGGGAGCAGAGGCCGTGGCCTCCGCCAGGGCAGGCCTTTCTTTCTTTTTGTGGTATCATTACAGGAAGGTCCTCATTTACTAGGCACAGGTTCGCTTTAGGGGGTTACCTTTTACAGAAAACAAAGGAGCCAATGCTGCTAATCACCTCACAGAAGAGGGAGATTTGCAAATGAAAAAGCAAAAGTGGTTGAACTGGTTACACTCTCCTTGAAAGGTTTAGCCTGGACTTTAGGAAGTTACTTTACAGTAAATATCCTCAACTCAGGGTGAGGGAGTTTTTTAGCAAGAGCAAGACTCAAAGCGGCCTGGGCACATTGCAGGCCTGATTGCCCACGGGAGAACCTATCCGTGGGCATGGGTCCTGTGCATCTATCTCCGAGTGGGAGCTGGGCCCACGCCACGCAGAACGGTCTCCTACACTGAAGTGTCTGCCAGCGGAAGCACACGTCCGGCGGCTGAGGAAACAGACCCTGCGCCACCCGAATGTTTGCCCGCCGCACACGGCCTACACAGCGCCCTCCCACGACTGCGCCGCTGAAATGCTTCCGTGAGCCAGGACCCCAAACTGGCCGAGTGCAACACGTCCACATTCGTTTGGATTCGTTTCAAGCCAGGTCTGAAAAGAGATCTCATCGTGGCAGGTGACAAACAGCTGCCAATGCTCCGTTCTGGCCTGAGAGCTGGAGTCTAGCCCTCTCCAGGAACCCGGGCCTCCCTGACCTGCGTGGCCAGTGGGACAGTGGACGGGACACTCGGGGACCCCCGAGGCTTGGTGGGAAGACGCCTGGTGGCTTTCCCTGCAGCCTCCTAGGACACTCTCTCCAGGAACCTGGGCCACCAGGTGGGAAGTCCGAGTCCCCAAGGCTGCCACACTCGAGAGGCCACAGGTGCCTGCTCTGGTCCAGCCCGCAGCCCCACAGCCAACCCCACCTTCCACCAGCTCCGTCAGGGCTAGAAAACCCCATTTCTAGCCAGTGCACACCGACCCTACCCTGTCTCTTACGAGGTACTGAGCTGTGTTCCGAGACAGCAGAACAAAACTGCAAGCCATGCAGCCCAAGAGGCACAGAGGAGAAAATGTTGCAAATCACGCCCAGAACCCAAGGACCAACTGGGGGACGGGACAGGACCGGAACCTGAACTCGGAACCCTTTCAGAAGCGATGGGTCCGCTGTCCAGGAAGGTCTGATGCTGAAACCCCTGAAATCTCGCCCGAACCCTGGGTGGGGAGACGGGTTTGAGTCGTTTGAGTCGTGTCTCCCATCTGATTGCCAGATGAGTCCAAAGTAACACTTCCTTCTGTCCCCAGAAGCTGGTGCCGTAGTCTTGGCTTCTGCGCGCACCGGGCGGAGAGCCCTTGCCCAGTCCTATTAGTTTTAGTATCCACTGGTGATTCCTGTCTGAAGTCATTATTACTGTGGTGGTTCCCACGTGGGGCTTTTTTCCTAACTCCATCACGCCTTCTACATTTAGTATTTGGAATTCTACTGTAAGGACGGACGTACTGTGGTTATTGGTACAGATTCTTTGTAGATGAAGCCTCGCTGTCACTGGAGTAACAGGGGCAGGGGTGCATTGTACAGAAAGCCACATTTCTAGATGGTTGCCCGCAGAAAACAACCAACCAATCGACGCAGGACGTAGGCGGACTTCCACGCTACCTTGTTTCCGTAGCGGTTTCTGCCTCATTCATTTGTTTGCAACCTCGCGCTCGCATGTTTCCTATATACTTCGAGTGAGGAATTTCAGACGGTTCCCGGGGACCCCCCAATCCCGCCGGCGGGGGCGAGCACTCCTCCTTCCCCACCCGGGGCGCCACCTAAGCCCCGCTCGCCCCCGCCAACTCACCAAGACCCCGGCGCGGGCGCGGTCTCCGGGCGGCGTGGGACGGCGCCCTCCTCCGGCCGCGGCTCGAAGTAGGCGTTCAGCGCCCTCTGAAAAGAAAGACCCGTAGGTGGGGGGCGCGCGCGCCCGGCGCGCTGCCCAGTCCCGACCGAACAGGGGCGCGTACTTCCATCTCCCAGGCGTTCTCGGTCAGGTAGCGCCGCGCCACAGCAGCCTCGCAGCTGGCGATGGCGGTGAAGTCCACACACAGCAGGAGCCGCTTCTTCTCCACGGGGTCCCCGTCGTCGGGCCCCGCCTCCGGACCTACATCCAGACCGCGCTTTCGCTCCATCGCCGCCGCCCGCCGCCGCCGCCGCCGCCGCCGCTCGCCCCGCCTCTCTGCGCAAGCGCCCGTCCCGCCTCCCTAGTGTCCCCGCATCAACCGTCCGGCGGGAAACGCGGCCCGCCAGCGGAAGGCGATCGGCGCAGCCGCGCAGCGGCAGAGGGGTGGGGAGGACAAAACAGCGCGCGTGCGCGGTCGCGACGGGCACGGAACTTCAGTGCGCGCGCACGGGAGGGGCGGGGGCGGCAGGGCGCGCGCCGCGGACCGACCTCTGCCCTCTGGCGTCCTCTGCGTCCTCGTGGTTTCAGCAGGCTCTAGGTGCCCTGGCTCTTCCGAGGTCGTCCTTGCGCGGGCCCTGGAGCCGGCGGACTGCCCAAGATGAGCCTGGCCAAGAATGCGCGGGAGGTGCTGAAGGCCATCTCCAGTAGCCCCGGCTTTGATAGAATTTTGGAAAAGGTATTGTAGGCGCAGCCGCGGCTTGGGATGAAGGGAGCCGGAGGCACCGCGCTGGCATCTCGCTCGATCCCGGCGCTGCGCCCGTGGTTCAGCTTGGTGATGATCACGGCTCCTTCACGGAGCGCGGCTGTGTGCCGGGTCAGGAGCACAGACGAGGCCATCTACTCGTCCGTAAATAGTGCGGTTGTCCTTGGTGGAGACAGCACTGCACTCGGTTCTAGTGCCAGAAAGGACGGTAGCGCGACCCCCCTGTGGCGCGGGAGGAAGCCCACGGATCTTCCCCGCGCGCCCGCAGCCCGCAGGGTTATTTCAGCGGGACAGCCGGAGCCGGGCCGCGAATTCAGGAGCCGGTTGGCGGGGTGCACCGGAGCCAAGTAGCCCGCACTCCTAGTCGCCACTGCCTATAGAAAGACGTGCCCCGTAGGAAGCATTCTCGATAAGCGCGAGTAACACATTTAACAGCCTGCGAGCTTGTGGATTTTTTCCCAAATGTTTCCATGCATTCATGCCTGTTTTTCTTGCGATTAGGATAGAGTGCTGGGAAAATTGGAAATAATTTGGAAATGGGGTTTAAACACAAATCGACTGCAAACGAAGAATGTAGGGCTTTGGAGCAAGGGCTCCCTCCTGGAACTCAACTTTTAGGCTGTATTTGCAACGTGTGAGTAACTGTCCCTAATGGTCTCAGGGTTTTTTTCGGAAAACAACGGAAATAATATCGAGCGTTGGCATTGGTGGTAACTTGCCTTCCAGGGAGATACACTTGTTAACCCAAACGTGTCGGGTTTTACAGAAGGCGAAGTAGGGTTGGTAGGCCGTGCAGCCTGAGTCTGGGCCAATGCTGTCCAAAAGACGTGTGATGCAAGCTACAGCTGTGAGCCACGTGTGCGATTTTACATTTTATAAGAGTCACATTTTAAAAAGCAAAAAGAAATAGGTGAATTAGTTGTAGTGATATATTTTAAGTAACTCATTAGATCCCAAATAGTCTTTTTTAAAGAAATATTTTTAGAGAGAGAGGAAAGGAGGGAGACAGAAAGGGAGAGAAACATCCATGAGCTGCCTCTTGCACGCCCCCCACTGGGGACCTGGCCCGCCACCCGGGCTTGTGCCCTGACCAAGAATTGGACTGGCAACGTTTTGGTCTACAGTCCGGCACCGTTTTGGTCTACAGTCCGGCACTCAGTCCGCTGAGCCACACCAGCCAGGGCCAAAATAGTCTTTTAACATGTAATCAATACAGAAGAGCATTTCTTTTTCACACTTAATCTTTGAAACGCAGGTGCATTTTACACGTACGGCACCTCCATTCGGAGTGGCCGTGTGCCAGGCGCTTGGTTCCGTGTGGACTGCACAGGTGGACAGCATCGAGGGTGCTCTGCGCCGGTTACGCGGATCTCAGACGGGCTTCGAGGTGGTTTCGTGTGGGCGGGGTTGCCAGGGGCAGCGTGGGGGGTGCGTGGAGATCTGTACCTCTGGCTGTGCGCATGGCCCCTCTCACCATGCGTTGTGGGGTAATGGTAATAGTGACCTGGACCGGAGTTCTCCCTGGGGGTGACGGCTCCCGTGGGACTTCTGGCAGTGGCTGTCCAGAGATATTTCGGGGCGTCACCGTGGGGACTGGAGAGCCACTCCCGGCATGCAGTGGGTCGAGGCCAGGGAGGAAGCGGCTAGACGTTCAGAGCGTCTCTGCCCCGTCCCCACGGCAAAGCCGTCCAGCCCAAATGTCAGCAGTGCTGAGGCTGAGAAAACCCAGCTCCTCCTCTGAATCACTCACCTTGTTGCAGGTCAAAGCCACAAAAACCGCAGCTCTTGTTTTGTCTGAATGTGAACCGTGCCTTTGTTGCGAACTTGGAGTTGGTCATGCAGATCACACACGGGGCTTCTCCGCATGGAACAAAACCAGTCCTGCTCTAAACCTCTAGTTAGCAACCCTGCACATTAAAGTCTCTGCTAAAAGAGCCACTTTGCTTTTGTGTCAAATAGTTTTGTCCCTCAGGTTCTTTTTGGGTTGACCACAAAAGGGCAGTGATATGATTAGAAATTTATCAACGAAATATGCCAACAGATATTTCCGTTTTCATGACTGGCCACTGAAAAGGCCTAGGTCCAAGAAAGACACAAGAAAATGATAAAGCAAGGTTTACTCAAAAATGTACTAAGTACCTGTCTTGGGGGTCACACTACCTGTAAGGTCAGAAGAGGGTATACCCTCATATCCAACCACAGAGGAACTGGGAGAGAAACCACTAGCTCTCTGTGAAGGAGTCACGACTTTAAACATACTTTAATAACGGAGTAGCATGTGTGGCTTTATGAAATTAGAACTCCTCGTTTACAGTATTTATTGAGGCAGCGCCCACTACGTGTCAGGCACAGAGCGCAGCCCCTTGCCCCGAGCCCCGAGGTGTGTGGAGACCCCAGAGCTTGTCACCCGGTGTGTGTGTGTCCGGACGGCTGAGCCAGCCCCCGCCTGGCTCTCCGCCGTCCGCCCTGCAGGGGTGTCTCCCTGGCGGGACAGTGGCAGGTGGGGGTCCCCACTGCCCCAGCTGGGATGGCCGGGCCGAGGCAGCCCCACCCTGTCTGCCCCTCCCTCAGGTTCAAGGCTGCAGGGCCTGTGTCGGGGAGAGCTCTTGCCAGCGTGACCCTGTTCACTCCTGCAGGGAGCAGCTGGCTCTGCCAATGCAGTCCCCACGGGGAGAGGCAGCCCGTTGGTGCACCAGCGCCGACAGGCCCCAAGGGAGCGTGGGAGGCCGGCCGGAGGAGGGGACACTGACTGAGACCCCCGCTGGTCCCCTGATGCGCTCCTTGGTCTCTAGAAAGCTCGAGTGAGGGCCGACTTCCGTCAGAGGGAGACGGGCAGCGTCTGACTCTGCGTCACCTCTTCTGGGCGACTCGGTTTGACCCTCGGGGCCCTGGCGGGCTGCCTGTGCGGGCTCTTCTGACACCACGCGGTGCTCACCACCACTCTCGTCCACGTGCAGGTGACGCTCGTCTCCGCGGCGCCGGGGAAAGTGACCTGCGAGCTGAGGGTGGAGGAGGAGCACACCAACAAGTTAGGCACGCTGCACGGGGGGCTGACGGCCACCCTGGTGGACACCATCTCGACGCTGGCCCTGCTCTGCACAGAAAGGGCCCTGCCGGGCGTCAGCGTGGACATGAACATCACGTAGGTAGCCCAGCCGCAGCCCCGGCCTCCGTGCGCCTCACCACCCACCCTGAGGCCTCCGGGCCTCCGAGTGGAGAAGCGGAGGAGGAGCTGCCTGCAGGGACAGGGCAAGCCAGCAGGGAGGGGGCGGGGCTGACCCCCCAACGAGCAGACACCCGGCCTCCCACCCAGGCGCGGGTGGGAGAACCACCACCGCAGACTCGGGGCTCCTGACTGTCCCTGAGATCCCACAAGTGCTCAGGGCATGGGAGGCCGAGGGAGGTGCAGAGGGAAGGCGGAGAGACCTTCCCGCAGACGCCATCAGCTCCTGGTGACAAGGCGGCCGCAGGTGTCCAGTCAGCGACCCGGCGTGTCTCCCCGACGCGCAGACACTGTGGGCTCACCCGCAGCGGGCGGAGCCCCTGGCACGGATGGGCAGTGCTGCCCAGCCCCGCCCAGCCAGGGGTGCGGGGCCCAGGGCCTCACTCCCGGACGGCGGTTTTGCCGGCTACCCAACCGAGAAATGATAGGGGGTGTGGAGGGGGCTGGCAGAGGCAGTGGAAATGCAGGTATTAGGTTCTAAGCAATCTAAGTCTTTTATCAGGCGAATGTCAGAAACACCCAGTCCCTCCTGACTGCGGGAGTCAGTCAGGCCGAGGGCGCAGTGAGCACACTGCAGGGCAAGGCGCAGGCGCTCCTGAGACGGCGCTCACGGGGAGACAGCGTCCCCCGAGCTGCTGCTGCTGCGGACTGGCCCTGGCCCTGCCCCCCGCCTCCCGGCAGCATGACCACGGGCGGCCCTTCCGTGCCGGCACGGCCTTCCGGGGCCATCTTCAGACCCGGCTCTGCCCCCCACCCCCCTCCGAGGCACTGCTGTCCCCCAGCCCCGGAGAGCGCTGTCTGAGAGTCAGGTCTGGCCTTCCCGAGCGCGTGTCGACGGAACTAGGACACGGCCTCGGAGCTGTGCTGTCGGTATTCCAAAAGCAAGCAGGTGACCACTCAGGACTACAGGTAGGCAGGAAGGGCCCCTGTTGAAGATGTGCACACAGTTGTCACGAGGATGGTCAGGGCCTCACGTCAGTCCCTTAGAGTCTATGTAGGCGTCTCAGAGTTAGTCCAACTGGAAACACTGGCAGGAAACTTTTCGCCAGCTCCGAGTAAATCTCAAGTGGGAAACAAGGAAAAGGGGTTGGGGGCAAACCGCCCCTCTGTTTGGGGGTGAGGATGAGTGTGGGCCAGGGCCGGGCCCTCCCACCGGAAGGGGCCGAAGGCTCCCTGAGGCTCCATGGCTCCCACTAGGACGAGTCCGACACGAGGGGGCGTTTCTCCCCTTTGAAAACCACTGCCAGTGACCGTGCGTGTGATTGTCCCCCTCAAGGTACATGTCCCCCGCTAAACTCGGAGAAGATGTGGTCATCACGGCGCACATCCTGAAGCAAGGAAGGACACTGGCCTTCACCTCCGTGGACCTGACCAGCAAGGCCACGGGGAAGCTGGTGGCGCAGGGCCGGCACACGAAGCACCTGGGGAACTGAGGGGAGCGTGGCCCGAGACCCCGCGAGGGCGCCCAGTGCCCGTCGCACGTAACTGTAACCGCCCAATAAACCAGCACGGCCGGAAGTAACCAGGAAGCACCTTCTTCTTTTTACTTATTTATTTATGTATGTACTTATGTATTTATTTATGTATTTATTTTTAGAGAAGGGAGGGAGAGAGAGAAACATCAGTGTGCGGCTGCTGGGGGCCGTGGCCTGCAACCCAGGCATGTGCTCTGGCCCGGAATCGAACCTGCAACGCTTTGGTTCACAGCCGGAGCTTAATCCACTGAGCTGCGCCAGCCAGGGCCCCCAGGGCTCGAAGCACCTTCTTTAAGAGCACGGAGACCAGGTGGGGTGTGGGGCAGGGCACCTTTATTTTTCACCTCAGGCCTCTGCGCTTCGAGGTTTCCACCACGCGGACGAGAAACCCTCAGCCCGGTGTCCCCGGAACTCGGGCGCAGCCAGGAACTAGCAGGCCGCTGTGAGACGGGTCTCCTTAACACTGGACTCAAGTGTTAGGCAGAAGGGGAAGTAGAAATGAACGGTCAGTCCTTAAAGAAGCTTAGGTCCTTCTGAGCTGTAAAATGCCATCTACGTGTTTTTTAAACTCAGTTTCAAGGTCATGGAACCCGAGAATTCACGGGCCCTTTTCCATGCTGGAAGACGGGTGGGGCTGTGGGGCCTCCAACAGTCCTGGGGAAAGCTCGGGAAAGCTGGGGACGCAGCACGCTGTGGCGCGGGGACAGCCCGGCCAGGGTGCTGCTGTGCTGCTGACTTGCTGCGGGCCTGGCGTGTCCCCTTAGGGGCGGGCCCGCTGTCAGCACCCGGTCCAGCACCCGGTGTGGGGCCACGCAGCTCCCCAGCCTCCCAGGCCGCAGCGTCTGACAGCCTGGCCCCGGCTGGCGTGGCTCTGAGGATCAGAGGATCGGGCCCGCCTGTGAACCCAGACGCCGCCAGCTCAGTTCCCAGTCAGGACACACTGCCGGGGTGCAGGCCAGGGCCCCAGCTCGGGACACGTGAGAGGTAGCTGGTGGATGTCTCCCTCACACGTGGAGGTTTTTCTCCCTTTCTTCCTTCCCTTCTAAAACTAAATGAAATCTTAAGAATAAAAGACCACGGTTGCAGATTGTTTAGTCCATTTCTCCAAGTCCTGCCCGTGGCGTTCTTAGTATTAGATTTCTGCATCACGGAGTTACTGGTATCAGGATTAAAGAGCCCCCACCCCCCAAAAAAAAAGCTGCTTTAAATAAACCTGGAGATGCAGCCGCTGTGAAAAGCTGGCTCTCCCGCTGGACCCCACCGGCACTGACGTGCACAGAGACCACACGGCAGGGTGCAGGGTGTGAGGGTGGTGGCCAGATGCACCCTCAGCATCTCACCAGAAACATCGCATTTAAAAAACGGGCCGCCCGCTTCAAGGACGGCAAGGTCGGTAAAGCTCGAGGAACCGGGTCAGGTTAGGGGAGACCACAGACCTGGCGACTGAAGGCACCCGCGAGGGCGCCCCAGGACACCCTGCGCTCGGGGGTGGGGGGAGACCCAGGTGCACCACAGCGACCTTTCCCGAGTCCGCTGGCTCGACCGAGGGACACCCGCCTGAGACTGCGGGCGAGGGACGGAGAAAACGGAGGTGGACAGAGGGTGCACAGGAGCGCTCCACTTCACCCTCAAAAAGCTTCCCAACGCTTACTCTAAAGACGCAAAACCCACGGCTGCCGACGTAAGTGCCTGCCCTGAACATGAACGAGTGTCAGTGCAACAGAGGCAGGCAGCGAGGAGCTGGTGAACCCTGGGGAGGCGGACCGGTGGCTATTTCCCCTACATCCCACATGCCGGCCCCCCACCCCGCCCCCGAGCCCAGGCCAGCCCCGGTGCCCACGCAGCATCCTCAGACGCCCGAAGACGAGGGCCCAGAACAGCGCCTGCCAAGGCGGACACTCCAAGTGTCACTGCGAACTGAACGACCGGGATCACGCGGGAGCACGCTGGGGTCAGTGGTGTTTCCTCTTCTGTGAAGCGAGGCAGCATGAGGCCAGGCTAACAACTGCTAAAAGCTGGCAAAACGTCCTTGATTCCTTTCTCGTTGAAATTACAAACCAAATGGCCAGGTTTTCCTTCTGAATTTATTGTTAGACCACGGACTGTAACCCCTAAGGTCTTTAGTGACACCTACCCAGACACTCAGGAAAAAAAAAGTTACCACCTCGAGTTTTGTGTGTTCACCTGAATAGTCAGGAACTTTCACCTATTTTATTTAGGTTTTCATTTTTCCAAATTCCAACTGGAAGCTGAATGCAATTGGAGTGCAGCGGGAGCCCTGAGCTCGGCCCACAGGGACGCGCCCAGGCCACGCCCACCCAGTGTGACGCCCTAAGCAAAGCTCTTCTTCATCTGAAAGGAAAAAACAAAACAAAACAGAAAACTCTACAGTAGTCTTTCCGTGTGTTCATTGCACAAAATGAGTTCTGCTTTTGTAATGGACACTCAATGGTCTTTACAATTTAAGATGCCAACTTTAATAGCTTTTTCTACTCCGAAAAACCCTCGTAAGTTTTTCTTTAGAATGGTGTAGAAACCAGTATTTGCACAATTCACTGGAATTTTTTTGTGAAAATCTCTTTAAAACCAGAAAACAAAACAAAAACTCGAAAGGAAAGCCCTGCGCCCGGCGTGGGGTCTGCGGCCGCGGCCACCGCCCCCGCCCCCGCCCGCAGCGGCCCTTGCCCGCAGCAGCCCGGGGAAAGAGATCTGGGAGAACTCGGGCAGCACGTGTGCGTGCCAGGGGGCAGACGGCCCAGCCAGACGGGGGCACGACGCCGGCAATGAGATGCTTTTTCGTTTAAGATTTCTTTCCCGTGGTTGCATTGTTTCAACAGCCACATCTGGTCATCAGAACGAATCTGACAGTGCTCAGGAGCAACGGTGATTATAGCAAAGCTATCGAGTTTCTGGAACATTAGTCATGCCCGTTACCTTCACTTCTCACCCTCTGAACGTTGATGACACGCATCAGAGAGTCAAGCCCAGCACAACGGGAGACCCTGAGAGGAGTGCCCCACCGCGCGCTCAGACTCAGCAAGCGTTTCAGAGTGCAGAGTCCTTCCTTCACATCGGTAAGGTGCTGACACAGCGCGGCGAAGATGCAGACCTTCCTTCACACAGTCCGTGCAGGAGACATCTGATTTTCATTAAAGTTCTGAGATACAAATGATTTTTAAAAAAATCCAGGATGAACAAGTTTCAAAATGCATAGTGTTCTGTGCATGAGTCCATTTCCCTTGAACTCTGAAAGAAGGAAGTGGTGAGAAAACAAGGAAAAGCGGCCGCTGCACTCCACCGCCCCCTGCTGGTCCGCACGCTACTCGGGCATGTACGGGTGGAGGTGGTCCTCTACCGAGCCCACCGCCCAGTGGGTCAGCTGCTCCTGCGGCAGGTAGAGGCAGATGCTGCACAACTTGAAGATTGTAGCTTTGTTTTTTGGAGTCTGGGGGAGAAAGGGTTTAACATTCTTAACAGAGAAGACCGTGACGCGAGCGTCCCGCTGCCACATGACACCGGCCCCCCACAGTGTGCCGAGCACTCGAGGCCAGTGCCGACCAGCACCGAGGGAGGGGTGAACGGCGAGCGGTTCCCACCCGCAGGGCCCCCGGGAGCCTGACTGTTCCATACGGAACGCGGGGAAACTCGACCACGCGTGCCACGACCGCAAGCACGGACGCTCCGCGGGTGCGAGGGCTGCAGGGGCAGGGACGCAGGAGGAGCACACGGGAACGGAGACCTGCAGCAGCAAAGCCGCGGCAGGCGGACCACCTGCCGCAAGGAGCCAGGGTCCAAGGCATTCCCCGGGGACAGCTCGGAAGCGGTGTGAGGGCGTGGTTACACGTATGTAGAGACAGCAGACACGGTAAGAGCAGGAGCAAGGGGAGAACCAGAAACATTGCCTGTTTCTGTTACCCTTTAAAAGACAAGACCTAAGCGTACACTCAAGTAAAAGACTGGGAAAACCTAAAATGCTGCCAGATGAACTCCAAGTCTTACTTTCAGAAAGTCACTAGACGCTGCCACCGAACTCGGGACAAGGGTGCCAGGTGGTGTCACGCACAACCGCTCCGGCGAGGGGAAGGTCAGCTGAGCCAGGCCTGCCCCCCAAGTCCCCCAAGGAGAAAGGCGGCCTCGGCGCACCTGCAGTCTGAGCACGGACTGAACCTCACGTGCGCACCCTTGTGCCTGCCATGGCCACCACCTCGCAGACAGCGTGTGCTCAGCCCCACCGAGCCTGCCCCCACAGGCCCGGGTCGTGGGCTTCCGGCCAGGGGCGGCTGCGTCTGCAGGAGGGTCCCGACTCCAGCCCCTCCACACACACCCTTTGCCCCGGCCCTCACCACGGACCCACGTTATGGCAAAGGTCATAACCTTCAACTCACGACAGTCCAGTTTAGGACAGCACAGGTGCAATGTATAGACATTATTTGTGATGTTTTATAAGTAAAAATTAACTTGGAATACCTGGATTGCTGCCTAAGTTGCAAGTGCTGATTCTAAACACATGGACCTTTTGAATACAGTGTGCACCTCATCCCTTTAGACTTTATCTCCTTGGAAACAGGCCAGCGCTTCTCAGGAAAGGCTCCCAGTCATGGGAGCCTCGGTTCGGGGCGCAGACTCTGCCTGCACCGGGCCGGGCCCGCACACACCTCAGGCATGCAGGAGGAAGACCGCCTCCCACTCGGACCCCGCTGTCTGCCTGTTAGCGCCCACGCGCCTTCCGAGAGCTCCCCGCACAGCTCTGGGGCGCAGCCGGGTCCGGGGCCGCCGCACTCGCAGGAGGCCCAGGGGCCCTGCCAAACCAATGCAGCGCCGGAGGGGCGCGGGAACCAGCATGGTGCCCGCGGGCCTTCAGGACACGCCCCTTGGGGCCAGCGCTCACCTGCAAGTGCTGTCTGTCGATGAAGAGAAACACGGACTGGTTCGGGTTGTTGACAACAATTCCAGTCTTGTCCTTGCGGCTCAGCACGTGCAGAAACTGTTTCTCATAGTCACCGTGATGAAACTCAAACTTAGCCTAGTGAGAAACACAAGCATGTGCACGTGACCACAAACGCGTCACGTGTTGGGAAACGCCCACTGCACGCAGGCGCACCCGGCTGAGCGGGCCGACACGCTGGCCGCCAGCGACTCCAACCCGCAAGGCCAAGCCCAGTCCTTCCGCAACCCCAGCCGCGTCTCCAGGGCCCGGGCAGGACACATGGCCGGGCCGGTGCCGCCGCTGTGAGGGGTCTCTTCCTCCCAGCGGGGTCTGTCCCCGGGCCGGGCGCACTCTGTCTCAGGAGTGTGGGGGCACAGGCGAAGAGACCCACCGCACCAGACGCCCTCCGGCCACAACAGCAAGCCCACCGGCGGCTGAGAACCCCCCACTCTCGAGAGTCTACGACCCAAACGCTCTGTCTTTCTCCCCCGCACCACAGCACTCAGAGGGCGAACGGAACTGAAGAAGTCAGAACTTCTTGTTCTACTAAGCGTTTCCTAAGTCAGGCCCCGCTCCAGGCGTTTCCGCGGACCCGGGGCTCCCCGCCCGAGTTTCGGAGCACGGTACCTGGACAGGCCTGAAGGGCTCGTCCGACTCCTTCCACCTGGAGAACAGGAGACAGACAATCTTCTCAATGTCGTTCCGGGGCCAGAGGATGAAGTCCATCTCCTGAGTACAGCCGATCACGTCCTGCGGCGGGATGGAGAGGCAGCGCAGGGAGCGGTCACCCACAGCCGGCGCCGGCAGGCCAGGCCGCACCTCCCGCGGTCCCTCTGCGGACCCGCCCAGGGCGCAAGGCCCGCTCTGGGCGGTTCCGCGGAGGAGGGGGTGTCACGGGACCGAACGGAACCTGAGCGGCTCAGCTCGTATTTCTGACTCTTGTCTGGTCGAGTGCAGTCACGCAACTACATCCCTCCGTCAGGGCCTGCGTTCCCCAGCAGCAGCTGGTTCTCCACCGTTTTTTTTTTTTTTAAGACTCTGTACCTTTACTTCTACTCTTCCAAATCAGAAGTACTTAAGGAAAGGGACCCTGGAACTCCTCTTAGGAACCGCCCCCTTCCCGTCACCCCTGAAACACTACTGCTATCATCACTGCGCGCTGCTGGCACTCCTCTCACCCCCCAGGCAGCGCCGACACCCCGGGCCAGCAGCCCCCTGCCCCCCGCCAGTGCTAACTGGGCCTCTCCTGTGCGAGCACGCAGAGTTAACCTCCAGGGAAGGGCAGGAGCCTGGACGGCTGGCAACCACAGTGCCTTCCACATGACATTTCTTGTTAGGGGTACGAGGTTATTCCACCCCGCCCCCCCAAAGAAAGCCAACGGGCAGTAATAGAAAACACTGCTCGCAGCAGGAACGGATGTCATTATCAGCACTGAGACCACAGAAGAAATGTCACCTGCGTTTTACGTGAAGTCAGCTTTTGCAAAGACTCCCGACCCCAGTAACCACACCCGGCTCGCGGGCCCCAGCCCCAGCCCCGGCCGGGCTCACCCTCCGCATGGACCGGTAGCGCGGGGCGTGCAGCTGCACCACGTCCCGCTGCAGGAGCTCCGTGGAGCTCTCCAGGGAGTAGCTGGAGTCGCGCACGCCTTTCAGGATGCTCTCCTCGTAGTTGTTCGTCATGACCGGGATCACCTCGGACGCCTCAAACAGTGCCGCCTTCTTCTTCTGGAAGGGAAAGAGGGCGGGATCCACTGATCGCACAGCGCCTCGACGCTCAGGCCGCCTCACGGTGTCACGCACTTCACGCTAACTCCGCCCAACCCTTAAAAATGAAGCTTTGCACTGAAAACACAGACTTTCCAATAGGCAAATCCTTTCATCCCCCACCCTCAACCCCAACCAAACAGGCGATTATCAGAATGTTTAACCAGGTGGTTTCACAGCATTAAAAATACTGACTTACTCTTGAAATAATTTCATTTAACCCGTTCTATCAACAGCTAAGTTAAAACCTCACCTTTCAAAGAAAAAGCCGCACAGACTGACTGCACGCCCCCCCCCCCCGAAGGCACCCTGCAATACCACCCGTGGCAGCAAAGGGGACCCCCCTCACTTAGGGGTTCAGAGTGGGGCGGAAACCGGGAGCACCCCCAGTCATTAATCAGACACCATACTCAAGACTGGTTTTCTGACTTGCGATCAGCTCACAATTTAAGTGCAAAAGCCCTAGTATTTGCTCATACTCATAACCTAATCTCGTCTCAAAGACAGAGAAACTGCCAGTTACCGTAACCTGGAAAAAACTACTGTCTTTTCATGCTTCTCCTCGACAGCTCGCAACTAGTTATTTGCTATTTAACTGTGGAATTCTAAGACCAAAAAGCTAAACCTCTTAGGTATATTCAGTCAGTCTACTTATGTCAGACAAGCTTTACACCCAGTGACGAGGTTCTCTGAGCCTCAGAAACGGAAGTCACCATAAAGCGTTAAATGCAATATTTACAACACTCGACACCCCCCCCCCATGCTACTGGGAGGGGACCTGAAGCCGGAGTCCTGCTCCCCCCAGCCCACTCTGCCACTGGACTCCGAGCACGCCCCCCAGGAGGGGAATCCAGGCCTGCAGGACACTGCGCCTGCCACTCCTCGGGCCGATCCTCTCACTGTTCCAAGAACTCACGCAGCCACCTGTGCAATCAATGCCCGTGAACTCTACATTACCTTCTCCTTGAATACGAAGGCGATATACATCTTGAAGTCAAACTGGTCAGCTAGAGACTCTTTCTTCTTCCTAAGCTGAGCACGGAGTCTGTTCAGAGCTTGTTTCTTCCGGGAGTTTGGGTCCCCCATTTTCAAATGCAGGTGGTACTAAAGCCTTTGGAAATTGTCGCTAAACTATGGGCACTTTTTCTTAAGACTCAAGTACAACAGAAACAAGTCATTTTCCCCTGCCAATGTGACTGAGCGGCTAAAATCACGACCGTAACCCCAACCGCACCTGCCGGCAGGACCAGCACACTGTCATATCACAGGGCCACGGAATGAAAGGCGCTCCCCAGTCATGCTTGGACGACAACGTTTGGGGTGGGGCGGGGAAAAGGGAAGGAAACAAAAGCGGAGAAAACACTCGAACTAATTTTTTTGAAAATACATTTGGCTTCACTGCCAAACGAAGGCCTTATGGGAGGAGCAAAGCCGAAGACCAGGACCTAAGTGTGCGCTAAAACACAGCCGACACCAGGCCGGCCCTTACAGTCCATCCGGACTCCACCCCCCTTTTAGAAAAGGGATGATGAGAAGGAACAGGGAGGGAAAGTGTGATCTTTGCTTTCCAAGTACCAAAAAAAAAAAAAAAGAAAAAGAAAAGAAAAAAAATAAAGAAAAAACCCACCAACACAACCTCCCAGAAACCCCGGAACAGGGAAGGTGGATGAAACGGAAATGCCTGATGGGGTCTCACCCAGCCCGGCCCATGGCTGCGGCGCCTACTTGTCCTCAGTCACTCCCGGTCCCGCTATTGCTGTGCTGTCAGTGCCGTTATTGATTACACTTGGAGGTGAGCAAAGAGAACAGTGCAAACTCGGTCGAGAAGGACGGGGAGAGGGTCAGGGTTTCCCTGCGATCAGCTACAGTGTATACCGGGGGCGGGCAGCTGCTGCCCGAAGGAGCCAGGAGGGAAAACAGCGGAGTCACTTCCAACTTCCCCGGCGCCCACATCCTCACCCTCAGGCGGCTGCGAAGGCTGCTGCCCAGGAGCACCATGGTGGCCACGCAAAGGGGCTCAGAACTCGATGGGACAGGCCCTGCGGCTCTGCTCAGGCGGCGCCCCTGGCACACCAGGGGGTTGGTCCCCACACCCCGGGGAGCCTTCCCTACGACCGGGCCCCGACCAGACCGCGGGCACCGCTGAGGCAAAGGGGGCAGGTGCTTCTCCCAAATCCAGGCCGCGCCCGGGGGCCACCTGCCTTCCGCCCCCCAGGCCCACCCCCACCCTTTGCCTTCAGCGGCAGCGACTCACTCGCACCACGGGAGACACTGGGTCACTCGGGTTTTCTCTCATTTCATCGTGGAAACAATTCCCGCCCGGGTAGAGTAGGCGGGGCAGAGTAAAGGGGAAGAATCGGTGAAAAAAGGAAGTAGTTGTTAACAGTAATTACTTTTTAACGCACGCCCACCCCACCCCCCAAGGAAACGAGGTTCCCGGACTCCGGACGCGCGCTCTCACGTGGAACAGACCATGCTTCCCGAGTGGATGGTTCAGGGCGGGGTCGCGGACCGACGCGGGCAGGCGGGGGGCCCTCTAGCCGCAGCCCGCGGGCGGAGCGGCGGCGGCGGCGGAAGTGGCGGCGGCGGGGGCGCTGCTCGCGGCTCGGGCAGAAGCCATGTCAAGAGAACACCAGCAGCCAACGGAGCCCCCCCATCCCCGCTGCGGCGCGCATTGGGGCCGGGCCGCCCGCGCTGCTACCGCCACGCAGCCCCCGCCTGGGACCCATAGTCGGGCTCGGCACCCGGGACGAAGGGAGGACGGGACGGCGGCGAGAGAGAGAAAGAGGGGAGCGAGCAGGAGGGAGCGGTCCCGCGGAGGGGGAGAGGAAGCCCTGCGCTAAGGTCCGTCGGCGAGTCGACCCCAAGTAAAGTTATTTCAGTCCAAGCATCTGCTCTGAGTCCTCCTTGCCCAGGCGGCTCCGGCTCGCAGGAGAGCGGGGCCCGGACGGCGAGCGCCGAGCTGGAAGCGAGCGTGCGCGGCGGCACAGCCTGGTTCCCCGCCACCGGTGGCTGCGGAAGCGGCTGCGGCCTCGGCGACTCCGGGAACCGGGGAAGCCGCGTTTGAGACGAGCAGCCAGAACAAACAACTTAAAATGGCAGCGACGGCGCTGCGTCACCCGCCCTCGGCGGAGCCGCCCCGAGCTCGCTGCGCCTGCGCGCGCCGCGGGCCCCACCATCTGCGCGACAACAGGGAGGAGACCTGGGGCGGGCAGGTCGTCAGGCTTCTTCAGGAGACTAGGAGAGGAGAGCAGAAGGAGGGGGGACGAAAAAGACTTCCCAAAGCCGGATGCCTTTGAAGTGAAGTAACTTGGCCGACACTTCCGCCTCAAAGGGGAGTTTGAGAACCAAGACCCCCCCATTGTCCTGTATGGAACGTCCTTGGGGCGGAGACACGGCAGCTTCCACTTCCTCCGCCCCTCCGCCCGGAAGTCCAGGTCCCCGGAGTTGGCCCCGCCCACCTCCTGTCGTCATACGCCACGCCCCATACTCCGCCCCGCAAAGCACCCGGATGAAACCGCCCTTCCGGGTTCTCCATCGCTCCTGAGACGCCCGCGGGGGGCGAGGCGGGGCTGAGCCCGGCGACAGAGAGGGGCGGGGCGTAGGGAAGCCGGGGCCAGGGTGGAGGAGGGGTGGGAAGGGTGTCCCGAGGTTGGGGCATAGGTTCTAGTTTCCTTTCGTGAAGGTGTCGTTCTAACCCGCTGATGGGCAGTCTCGGGTGGGGGCGGGGCGGGGAGTTCGTTTGCACTGCCTGGAATTGAAGCCGCGTGCAGCAGGAAGTGGCTCCCGCGGTCCCGGTCCCGGGTGTCTCTCTGTTCCTGCCTAGCCGCGTGCGCCGGCAGGCTGGGCGGGCCTCGGGCTGTGAACAAGGTCAAAGATGCCTGGAGAGCTGCGGCTTGGGAGAAAAACACCCCATCACGCCGCGTGGGTTTTTCTCCCTCCCTTCAGAACGTGATTTCTGTTGGGCTGCCCCAGGACTCCAAGCCTGGGTAGTGGAAATGTGGAGAGAGTCCTGTGGGACGTTTCATATGTGTATGAAATTAGCCCTGGGTCACTTCTGCTTGATCTGGCCAAGTTTGTTCCATGATCATCACCAAGGAGAGTTGTTTGTTTGTTTGTTTGTTTGTTTGAATAACACCTTTATGGACAAAAACGGGGGTTCTGTGGCAAGTAGAATGGGTTGATCTGATCATAAACCCCTAACTGGGCAGGCAGGTCCTGGTGAGTAGTCAGGCCCCAGGCATATAATCCCTTAATAAAAAGCTTATCTTTGCCTTCAGCAAGCTCTGTTCCTTGTGTTTTATTATTGAGGTGTAGGGATTCTTCATGCTAGTTACAGGTCTGTTATCAGATACATGATTTGCAAATCTTCTCACCCATTCTGAGAGTTAGCCTTTCCTTTCAATTTCTTGGTGGAAGTCTTTGTAGCACAAAAGTTTTAATTTTCATCAAGTCCAATTTCTCTGTTTTCTCTTTTCTTGCATCTTCTTTTGATGTCTCTAAGAAACCATTGGAAAAAATTTACACTACACTACTATAATGATCATGAAAAGAACAGGTTGGAGTAGATACCGTAAAACATGAGGTTTTCTGTTTCACCTGCTCTGCAGCGGAATTGGAGACACACGCTGAACCGGCCCCAGGACGCTGCGCTCTGGGCTGTGTCAGGCAGGCCCGGGCGAGATGAGCTGAGTGGAGAAGTGGCAGCAGTGTGCCCGGCAGCAGGAGAACACTTCTGGTTCAATCTTCCCTGCCACTTGGGAGGGCTGTGGAATGGGAACCACGATCAGAGGGAGCAAAGCTTTATAAACCCGTGGCGGTTGTGTTCCTCAGTGGAAGTCGGTTAAAAGTCAGGTAGAACACACTTAACATTGAGCTTCGGTAACCGTGGGAGAAGTCCACTTAATCATGGGAGAAACGGCACCTTCGGAGTCAGGCAGCTTCAGAGGCAGTGGGTCGTGGGGACTCTTGGCCAGGAACACCTGCTTCAGTGCCCCTGTGCGGGTTCACACTGCACCATTAGAAACACCGTAAGGCGTTTTCTCGGTTGAAATGCAGACCCTGCGGAAGCAGCTTACATTTTCTGTAAAATAACACGTTAGGAAGGTTCTGTGCCAACCCCCCCCCACCCCAACCCTGTGGAAGACACAGTCCAGTGGGCTCCACGGCTAACCTTCCGACCTCTAGGCAAAACAGCTCTTCCTCGTTCCTTCCAGGTTAAGAAGTGACTGCCCAAACTATGCTTGTACAGCCTTGATATACTTGTTTGACAATAAGAACGACAGCAAAGTACTTATCATTTAGAATGGAAGGGCAGTTAAAGTGCTTCCCAGACAAGGTAAAGTTAAAGAAGTTCAACATCACCAAGCCCTTATTATATGAAATGCTAAAAGGACTTATCTAATAAATAGAAGAAGATCAAAAACTAGGAACAGTAAAATGACAACAGACTCACAACTATAATCAAGTGAACCTAAAAAAAAACGAAAACGAAAACTAAACAAACACTAGAACAGGAACAGAATCAGAGAAATGGACATCACATGGAGTGTTTTCAGTGGGGAGGGGGAGGGGAAGAATGAGGGTGGAAAGGGAATAAGAAGCATAATTGGTGGGCATAAACTAGACAGGGAGAGGTTAAGAATGGTGTAGGAAACAGAGGACTCAAAGAACTTACATGTACAACCCATGGACATGAACTAAGGGGAGGGAATGCCAGAGGTTGGGGGGTACAGGGCAGAAGGGGGATAAAAGGGGGGAAATTAGGAAAACTAATATCATAATCAATAAAATATACTTTAGAAAAGAAAGCAAAGTACATAACAATTGTTTTTCACTATTCTAAAAGGAACCATAAGCTACCTTTAACATATACCCAGTATACTCACTGCACGGGACATGCACTTTTCTGTCAAAAAAATCTGTTTTTCTCACCATTCCCTCATATTTATGGTCAGCGAGCACACTGGATTTTCAGGAATCCTCAGATATCTTGCCCCTAAATTAATGCTATTACGTTTATGAGACGTGGTCTTGATGTTTGGTCACATTTATGACTACAGTTTAGCAAGCATGCACACAGAACGAGTGAAGGCTCCAACTGGCCAGGCCTGGAAACTAGTTCGGACACTCCACAGCTTAACCCCAGAAGCGGCAGCCCCGTGGGCCTGGTCTCCAGATTCCCGCCTCGTGGGCGTTCCTCTCTGTCCTCTCGGGCTGACGCAACGCCTCAGCCCGGCGGGGACCACTCACAGAACGTGTTCTGGTGCAGGGTTCGGAAACAAACATGGCATAAAAACTAGAAACACTCCCTGTTTTGAGGCCTTGGCTTACCCTTTTGCGGGGGGGCAAACAGGTAGTGTGTTCATTTCTCCTCCAGTCTCATCCTAGTTTCACATAAGCTGAGCCTGTGGACATCAGTACTTATTTGACCCCGAACTTGGAACACAGTCAGAACCAAAGGGATATTCAGCTGAGTCTTAGCTGCACCGTGGATTTTTCTTTACTTTTTGACCTCTTTTCTTCCCCAGCTTCCTTCCTTTCTCTCTCTCTCTCTCTCTCTCTCTCTCTCAACTTCCTTTTGTCTTTTCCACTTGTCACACTTTATGCCCGCTGGTATTATCCAAAGACGTTGCTCAGCCCCTTGCGTACAGCCCTAGCCCAAAGCACCAGCCTTCACCACGGGGGGCGGGGGGCGTGCACGTCCCTCGCTGGCGAGGGCTCTGTGCTTGGGGTCAGGGACGTGCAGCCTGCTCCCCAAACAAATCTGCCTGACAGTTCGAGAAGGGACTGCTACCATTTTCTTTGCCCGACAGTCTCAGTCTGTAAAAGACAAAGCAAATGCCATTAGGAATACTGAAATGTTTTGGGATTTTTTTCCTTCCTCTCAAAGGGGAATGGGAACGATATATACATGTATGACACACACAAGGGATGGTGCGGACAGGGGAAAGGCCCCGTGAGGACGCCGCGGGAAGGTGGGTGGCCGTCTGCAAGCTGAGGAGAGAAGCCTCCGGAGAAAGCAAACTCGCCGACACCTCCATCTTGGCTTTCCTCGCCTCCAGAATTCTGAGAAAGCCAATGCCTGCGGTCCCTGTGCTGTCTGGTTAGAGCAGCCCCGGCGAGGCGAACGAATGTGCTGACGAATAAAAGGACCGGGGGGAAGGGGAGCCTGTCCGAGAGGGGAGGTAGGTGCCTCGGGAGGGCAAGGCCGGTGGGGTGTCCCAGGCGCGAAGGAGCACAGGCCGGTGGGGAGGCAGGCAGGCGCAGGGAGGGCGGACTCCTGCAGCGAGTGCGAGGGTTGGGAGCAGAGGCAGCCCAGGGGAGGCGGGAGGCCCCAGCGGGATGGCAAGAGGAAGCAGAGGCAACGCGTAGAGAAGACCCCGCTGGCACACGGGACGGACGCTAAGGAAGAGAGCCCTGGGGGGAGAGAGATCATGTTCTAAAAGTGCAGCTGAGAGGTCGGGAGGACGAGGAGCCGGGAAAGAGCCGGGAAAGGGCCAGGCTGCCAAGGGGTCACTGCGGACCCTGGAGAGCAGCTGCCCTGTGGCTGCGGGGGAGGGAGCCGCACCGGCCAGTGTGCTGTGGAGGACAGGGGGGTGGCTCGGTCGATCGGTTGGTTAGAACATCGTCCTGATGTGCCAGGGGTGCAGGTCCCACCTCCAGCCAGAGCACACGCAGGAATCAGCCAATGAGCGCATCGATCAACACGTGGAACGACAAATCCCCGTCTCTCTCTCTCTCTTTTTCTCTCTAAAGACGATAAATAAACTGAAATGATAAAAACAGTAACAGTGCTGTGTTCTAGGATAATTCACAGTCACGGAAAAGTTACAGAGATCAAGAGTTCCTATCCAGCCCTCGCCGAGTTCCCCAGCACCAGCGTTCACAGCACGGTGGTCCGGCCGCCCCCGAGGGACCCCGCATCGGCGCGAGACTCCTCTCCGACAGCGGCACCTGGGCCAGACGCGTGGTCAGAAACCAGGGCAGGCCGCTGCAGCTGGGCGACCGCTCTGTAATAAAGCCAGCATGAAGGGGAAACAATCAATTTAGTTTCCATTTAGATTAAAATTGGGTTATAATCACAGGCTCTGTCTTTTGGACCCTTCTTCCTCTTTCCTTAACGATTTTAGTGAAT